TAACTTGAAAAATTTTCGTATATTTGTAATATTGAGCAAGAATAATTGACATGAATAGAAAGCGCCGAGTTTTTGGGTCAGAAGCGGCGGTGTGGGACCTTGTTGCAATTCGACTTTCATGGTTTCGGAACTCTTTGGATACTTTCACCGAAAATTACACGTACCTACCTACTGCATATTAGTTTTGGGTTAAGACCACAGGTGACAAAAACTACATAACCACAAAATTTTTAAACATTTTGTTTTAACCTCAAATATGAATAACGTCGAAATTTGTATTTGATTGGTTTTTATTAATTTTCTCTGAAAAATATTTTTATTTCAAGAAATTATGATGTAGAATATTTTTTAAAGACATGACATCGATGGTAACATTTGAAATATTGTTGTAATTATGCAACCCAACATCCCTACAAATTGCAATGCAAATTTCTACAACTTAAACACGATTTTTCAGCTAATTTGTTGGGGTGCACGTTGTGGTACTACAAAATCATTCAAACAAAACACAAGTGAATACAACTGAGCGACGTGGAATTCATATTTAGACTTCAAGAAATATTTACCGGCATTGTTACTAGAGTAATTGAGTTTATAACCAACTTACAAAGCATTAAACAGTTGCCTATACGCATAAAATACAATATTTGGTTATTTTTTACTTCTCATTGGGTTTTTGTCTCCTGTGTGCATTAAAAAAATGAATGTGAATGCTTAAACATTCCGAAATGCGACGTGCAACGAAAGCATGAAGCAATTTTTGGAGGTTGAATAACGGGTCCCTGAATGCGTCGTGATTTAAATTCGGTCAATGCAGTTTTTTTTTTAAATTTCATTTAATTTTTTACCTTCGATGTTTAAGATGCGCGATTGTTTCAGGGTTAATTTGTTATTTACGATGTTCACGCATCGCTTACGATTCATCCATTGCTATTTTGCGTTTTCTACACATACATCAACTTGTCTAAGTCTAAGTGTGTAATACGTACGAAATTCTTTAGGTGAAATCGCCGTTACGCCGTTATAATAATAATGCGCTGCAAGTGCATGAAGAAATGAAGATTATTCGATGTGTCCGCGCAATTTACCTCTACTTTACGTCTTGCGTTTTGTTTCTCGTCTTCTTCCTTGTTTTATGTTTATTCACTTGGATGCCAAACAGCATGGCGCCATTGATTCGTGTTTGTGTTTCCTGCTCTGCTCCACTTGGGCGTTTTCTCTTTACTTTTAGACTTACGACTCACACGCATGTAAATCGTAAATTGCAAATTGTAAATAGGAAGTGCATACCAACAACTTTCTTTGTATTATTTGATTGGATTGGGTGTATTAAACCAGCGGCCATTTTGGTTTTCATGCGGTGACCTATGACACCGGTAGTATTCAAATTGTGGCTCGCGGACAGTTAGAAATTTCCGCTGCATGTCTGACCCCGCGTGTTTTGAGTCCAAATTTGGTGTTGTGCGCGTCGATAACCTCAAACACCTTAGGAATTTTTAACATAATTAATGTTTATACGTAGATATCAATGTATAGTAGCCTAGATAATGCTTCTAATGCACTTTACGCCATCTAAAGTCGAAATATATAACTATTTATATATTTTATCACAATTTCAACGTTCATCCCTTATTTAACACTCAGTAAGTTATTTTCTTACAATAAAAAGTGCTCTATATAATTTTCCAAGGTTAAAACTATTTCTACACCAAATTTTATAAAAATTCATTGAGTAGATTTTGCGTGAAAGTGACACAAACATACAAATCAACTCACATTCGAATATATAATATTCAAACTTGAATTTAATTTGATTTTGTTTTTGTTTCGTGTGGGTTGAAAATGATTTACGCGTTCGCCTTGCTATTTAGTCTTGTACGCGTAGCTGACGTGAATTTACGAAACATAATCTAGATCTAAGAGACACTGGTAATATAGAGTTTGAGCAATATTAAGATAGATCGTTTTGTTAACACCTAACTATACCACTAGGCGTAGTATTTGTCTGTTTGTGATATTTAACAAACGTGGCAATAAATTATTTCAAAAATTGCTCGTAAATAAACACATTGCACAAGTATTCTTTCAGGCACACACGACGTGTGCGTTTGTTTTCAATTATTTTGATGCTGGTAGCCTAGATCTAGATGTCTCGAAGAGTTAAAATAGACGTGTTGAAAAAATTTTGCAATCAGAAATATTTCAATACTAAATGTCACATTAAAATTGCTAAATTGCTTGTAACTTTGTTGTTTGAAGAGATAAATTAATGATTTTTGCGTGGATTGGTAGATAATTTAATTGTTTATAATATAGATTTTAGTTTGATTATTAATTTGTAATAGTTTTTGTTTAAACAATGAAAATTTAATTAAAAACGTAAATTTTTGCGTTAAAAAATTATTATTTTTGATATATCTCCGGAACTAAAAATGATAACGAAATGATTCTTTCATGATTAGATAGGGATTTTAATTCTCTACAAAATGGCTTATCTATAAATTATTTAAATAAATTATTTTAAATGATACAAAGCTCAAAAATGAAAAATTCACACAAAAATCACAAATAAATCATTTTTTCCTCAATTATTCATAAAATAATCACAAAATATTAAAAAAACATATCTTATCATGTGAGATATTAACTACACAATCAATTCCGCTTTTTATTTATCCTCCACAACGATTACAACGCCTTGGGAAGCCCCGCAAATTCGCGTCTACAAAAAATGCAACGTAATTTTACCCACAGCCGCGCTATATTGTCACATATTACACGGTTTTTTTTGCTGTTCGAACACGACACGGAAACACGATGACGATGACGCGCTTCCATGCGGGCATATTCGCGTTTTGAATGCATGCGTCCTCGATTTGAATGTGCAATGTGCGAGCGTGAAAAAATGCCGGCCGCACGCGCCGCATGCGCGGCCTTGGAGTTATCGCACGAGACCACGCCGCGACAGAATGACGTAAAGTGTTCACCATAAGCGAAAATCACTCGAAATCAATGTGTAAATACACGAAAAATATCAAAAATGGCCGCCGGCGGTTTTTGAATGAAATCTACGCTTATCAATGACCTCGATTTTGCTTCGTACGCAAGTCAAATACGTACTACAATAAAACATGTTGAATTCGTGGAGATAAGATGAGTAATGGCGGAACATCCGGTGGAAATTTCGTTTCGGATGAGCGTGGAAGCACGCTGAGTCAGTTTATTACGGTTTCAACATCGCGTAAATACTTAAAATATTCGCGAAAACGACGTCAACGCAACTTGTTTCACATTGTGCATGTCTCTGCTGCCAATGAAGACATTTATTTTTATTTATTCCGCGGCCCGGCGGAATTATTTTTAATTTTTTGTTTGTTACCGCATAATCTACGAGATTAAAATGAAATATTCAAGTTGATTATCACCGAACAACAATATTATAACATTTATAACGTCAAAGTCGTTAACCTTGTGCGGTTACCTTCTCCGTATCTCCATGGTTCGCATAAATTTAGATTTTATTTTAAAAAATACGCATAATATGTGTGATATTGTTAGTTTTGTTATTATTTGTAAATTTTTGCATTTTTTGCGCGTGTTTTGCGAGTGATTAGTGTGATTATTGCGATTACGTGTTTTCGATGGCAGTATATATCCGCTAGTCAGCCTGGTGCTGCGGCTCGCCCACGACTCGTGTCGTCCTTGCTACGCAGGCCGGGCGGCTTGTTTATAAAATATCAGCTGTGTTGTAGTGTAGTGTGGTGTTGGATGTGATGGCGGCGTAAATACGGCGAAACTTTATTCGACACGATTCATTGCGTGGTATTTTTACGCCCGAATCGAATCGCACTCATGCGAATTCCTACAATTCACTTCACTTCCTAGTGGAAAACCATATGCGTACGTTCAGCGAATTTTGATTGCGTAATTTAACTTATGTGAAAGATTGGGTTGCGTTATGTGTAGAATAACGGTCTGAAGGAGATATTTTTGATAATTATTGATAATTTGTTAATATTTTGGTGGAAATTGATAAATAATTTAATTTTACATCTATTTGTGTAATTAATATTTGAATATAAATTTTAGTTTGCTTTTAATCGAGTTTTTTAGTTGTTTTTTGATAAAATTTTAGGTTTTTTTGTTAATAACTTTTGTAATAATTGAAGAATCTTTTAATATTAATATTAGTTTGATAGGGAATTTAATTTTTAATGCATTGTTGAAAGACTTATAATTGTATCTAATGTAGTTATCTAGTTAATCACGAATTAATTCATAAAAACGTGAATTATTTTCGAATGTTACATTATGTGCAGAATAACGGTCTAATACTAATATTTTTCATAATTACTGATTTAATTTTTACCTTTTTGGTACAAATTGATTACTAAATAGATTCTGCACTTATTTCTTCAATTAATATATTTTAAAATATTTTATTTTGTTTGAAATTGAGCAAAAACTGCCACTTTTCACAATTTTTTCGTTAAATTTTATTTTTTTGTTAATAACTTTTATCCTATTTATACAATCTACTTAATATTTATTATTATGATAAATAATTTAATCTAAAATATATTATTGAAGGAATTATTACTGTATCTTTTGTAGTTGTTGAGTAATTCATGAATTAATCCATCCTGAATGTACATTTTCGCAATATTCTGTTTATAGAATATAGATGTAGACAAAAAAACGAACGCGCAGGAATAAAATGTCCTTCATGCCGCGCGCCGAGTTTATGCGTGTGTATGTGTGTATGAATTTATTTACTAGGAAGCTTTGCGCTGTGTTTTTGACGTCGACAACAGCCTGTGGTGCGTAGTGTCTAGTCAAAGTGCGTAACGAAGCTATTTGACTGTTTGGTAATACACACGCTTGAATTTATTCATTTGGCATTGACACTTTATAAACGACTATTTATTATTTTCCTCGTTGGGTTTTTTTATTAGCAGAATATAAAAATGTTCAATGTTTTTTGTTTGTTTTTTTTGCAGCCGGTCCAAGTTCTGATTAAGCGTCTGGACGAGGTGCGTCTCCTGGAGTCGCGCAAATCCCCACGGCTCGCCGACATCGACACGGATTTCGCTCGTTTGGCCGACATGTCGACGGAGCGAGGCAAACGCTCGCACATCATTGATGTGCCTGCGACGTCACCCAATCATTATAGCGGGTGAGTTCAGAATAGAAAAATTAATTTAAGGTCAAACTACGTATAACATCGAAATTTATATTAATTTTCTTTGTGTAAGGACGAAAAATATTTTAATTTCTAGCAATTATGAGCTAGAATATTTTTTAAGACATGACATCGATGGTAACATTTGAAATATTGTTGTAATTATGATTCCAACATCCCTACAAATTGCAATGCAAATTTTATAACTTAAGCACGATTTTTCAGCTAATTTGTTGGGGTGCAAGTTGCGTTACAACAAAATCATTTAAACATAACACAAGTGAATACAACTGAGCGACGCGGAATTCATATTTAGGCTTCTGGAAATATTTACCGGCATTTTTACTAGAATAATTGAATTTATAATCAGCTTACAAATGATTAATTCGATGCAAATCCGCGTAAAATCCAAAATTTATTATTTATTCTTTTAGTATGTGGAAAACACTGTTTTCCACACTACTGTATTCGACAGAAAGCAGTGTTTTCCAATAAATATGTATAAAAATAGCATTTTTAAGGTTTCGTTTATTTTATGATAAATACGCAATGCCGCCGGCCGGCGTACCACTGCCATTGAACCAGAGTAATCAATAAAATCGGCGAGACGACACGGCCCACGACAAAAACACGAATGTAATGTCGCGAGAGACGACGAATAATTAGTTTCTATTATCACTGCACGCCGTAAACAGCCGGAATACTGAATAATCACCGACTGATACTACTCGTCGCTCGTAATGACTTTTTAATCGTATATTGACTTTCGACATTTTTTAAACCAAAATATTAAAATAAAATATTTATCAACAGGTTTTTATGTTTCGGTATGTACCTAGGTATGTTTTTATTTGTATTTAATGAAAATTATAAAATTAAAAACTCAAAGTGAAAGTCGATACTTTCCCAATGGCGGCGGCGGCATTACATCAAAATCACGCGAAATATAATTAGCACGTAACACATTATTAAGCGTGCTCGATGTCGCGCATGCCTGCCTTGCAATTCCTTCTCGCCGCGCAGAAAAGAAAGGCAAACACGTTCAAATAATTACACTTAATTAATTACACGTATATAAATATTTGCTAGAGACTATAAATATTTTCTGTAACAAAAATTAATTATTTTTACATTTTACCATTTTTTTCTTTAAATTTTTATTTTTTTCTTATATTTTTTGCTCTGTTTTCATTAATTTATAATTTCCAGAGTATAGTATGTAATATCACGCACTAATTAACATTAACGTTAGACATCTCAATCCTTCAATCAGTACGCGCATTGCATGTGAGCCACAAGTCATAATTTCGATCCTAATTATCAGCGGAGCGAACGCGCACATAAGTTAATTAGCTCGTAATTGGCGATTTGTTTGCTGCGGCGCTGCACTTGTTCGCACATTTATCTCACGCGGTGCACAAATGCATCAACAAGTGTCCATTAGTTGCGCTTAATAAAGGCACATTGTCTGACATACTTACGAATCACACAACACTTTTACATTTATTTTGCAAACAAAAAATATTTTCCAATTTCAAGCGGTTTTCTGATTTGGTTTCATTTGCGGGATTTAAATCCGATTGACGTGCGGTTGAAGTTTTTCCGGTTGAATATATCGATATTATTTGTGTTTTGCGTTTGCGCTGTGCGTAGATAAGTTTTATCGCAACGTAAATAATATGTGTTACGTCAAGGCCGTCGACGTCACGGTGTTGTTTTCGGAATGCGCACATGAAACACTTGAAAAGCAGGAAGTCGTCGCAGCGCAGCACACAGGTTGCAACCGGATGTGATTTATGGCATTGTTTTTCACATTTTGTATTTTCTAGTATTTAATTAATGAATAAGTGCTAAAAAGCACTAAAATACTTGAAAATATAATCGTCGGAAATTGGCCAATACAATAATTGCATGTTTTGCATTATTTCGAACCAATACACTGGACATAATTGTTGCTATGCACTTTATAAGTGTTAATTTCAAATATTTATCAACGTGCAATCATAAAACAATTGCGACATAAAAATCGAAATGAAAAAAAACACAGCGCTGCGGTACTTTTGCAAAACAATGACGAAGAAAAACAATTATCAGCGGTGTAGAGCACACGGTAAACAATAACGTGTATTGTATATTATTATGTCTGTGTCTGTGTGTGTGTGTGTTTGTATGATGATGATTATCATTGTTTTGCAATTAATTATCAACAGCTGCTTAATTACGTAACGTTTGACGCTTGAATGTGCACATATGCACACAGCGAGAGGAGAACGAACCGAGAATTTAAAATGTGAAGCGTTTTATAAAAGATTACAACAATAGTTATTAATAAATAATTAAATATATTACAAACTGGGTTTTTTGCATACAAAATTTTTATTTAGTCATCAAAATGTGATTTTTTTTTTCATTTCCAGGATTTTAATTCGAATTAAAATGAAATGTAATTTTTTTAAGAATATTGTGGTTATTTATTGAATTATTGCTGTGTGTGTGTCGCGTGCGGGCAATTTTATGCAGCGCGAGCGCGCTAACGATGTGATAATGCGCCGGCGTGACATAGCAATGAAATCGAAATTTCAACATTCAGCGCGTCTGACATTGAAACGCTAAATCACAGAATTTATGTAACGTAATAACGATAGCGTGCCGGCACCGATGTGTGTGAAATTATTAAAGTCCATTTTGTTGACAGTCAAGTACGCCGCCATCAATGACGTGTCTACCTAATCATGGTGCGCATGCGCAGTCACACACAAGTTCAAAGTGTACTCATATACAATTAGTTTATCATTAGGTGTTCACTTTTTTCTCTGCTCTCAAATATGTGAATATGCGTAATGAATGACATTATGGTACATGGTGCATGTTGTGTTGACAATGGCAGGACGATTATCGCGCGAGCGCGCGCGAGGCCGTCGGCGAGCGTTCATGTTCAATGCGACAGGTACAATGTCAATTCGCACACGATATCATTGATTCGAATTTAATCGCGTTTTAATAAGTTGTGGGTTTTTTCTGTGGTTTGCAGGTCGAGGAAACGCCGCCCGAGCAACAGCCAGGACGATTCCAATCCTTTCATGAGCAAGGACGATCAACTGGAGCAATGTAGTGCTGCGTTGGTCCTCATGAGTCTTTCATGTTCACCACATTCATCAAATTTGAGCAGTAAGTGAAAATTGTTTTGAAAAGTTAATAAATTGAGGGTTTTATGATGAAAAACGTGAAATGATTTGACTTAAGTCAAGTTATTTTAAGAGAAAAATGTATTGGAAATTTTTAGGCATGAAAATTTGATATAGTTTAATTTTATAAGACAGTTTATAAAGAAAATATTGAAATCGGAAGAGAATTGAGTGTTTTATGACGAAAAATGTGAAATTATGCGACTTAAGTCAAGTTATTTGTGAATAAAAATGATTGTAAATATTTTACGCATAAAATTTTGACGTAGACAATCAATAGAAGTGACTAGACGGTAAATAAAAAAAGAATTTTGAAAATCTCAGGAAAATTCAATGTTTTAACACGAAAAATGTGAAATTATGCGACTTAAGTCATATTATTTGAGAATAAAACTTAGTATAATTACTTACGTATAAAAATTTGACAAAAACAATTAATATAGGCGACTAGAGAGTTTACAAAACAAAAATTTTGAAAATCCGATGAAAATTAAATGTTTTATGACGAAAAACATAAATTTATGCTCCGCCCCTTTGAGATAATGATCCTTAAGTCAATTTATCTTCAAATAAAATTTATTGTAAATCTCTACGCATGAAAATCCAACGTAGACAATCAATATAACCGACTAGACTGCGTCTCGGCCACCACGCGGGGCGGCTGAGTGCGGGTGGTGAAGTGCGACGCCCGCGCGCGCTTTTTCACCGGCCCGGGGGCCAGACGTCTACGTCTCCACGTCCTCGCCGCCGTCTGGGCCACACTTCACCAGCCGTCTGGCCGGGTCCTCGCCTCTCAGACGAAACGCGGCCAGGAGGCGCAAAAGCCAACGACCAGACGACGTACCGACACCGGCCATTATCCGCCAACGCACAACCCACCCCAACACCACTCGCGCGATTCGTTCATTCACTTTGGCGGAGGCGCCGGGCAAAAAATCGCTCGCCGCATGCACACGCATCAATAAAATTGTTTTTTAATTACCCGACGAGACAGCCATACACTTTTATATACTCCTATATATTCGGAAAGCGATTGTTTTCGGTATTCATGCGAAATTCATGCCGTCAAATCTGAATGTGTGAATGTTGTGCTCTGCTCTTGTACGAGTAGGTAATGAACGTCTAGACACTATTATAACAAACAAATTTGATTTGTATACGAATGCGAGTACGTAAACGCGCAATAAACATTGTCGGTCGTTGTGAAATCGAAGCGCGGCGAATATGTTTTATATTTTTTTTGCGCGGTATTTATATTTGTAGGTTAGGAAGTAAACAAATTTATTTCTTTTGATGGTTTTTTGAAATGAAAAGTAATTATATTGCGCGCATGTTTAAACTAGATTTCGATAATTTGGTTTTATTAGGCTACTGGGTCATGAATGTGCACAACTGGCGCATGCGCACAATCAAATAATAAGTAAAATAGCATTAAAGCAATGCAATTGCGATATCGGCATAGATTTGAGTTGCATAATTGTTTGACAATGCAAGAATATTGTGCAATTGCATAAAATTGCTTTAATATTCAATCTAGTTTAATTTTATTATAAACTGGTGCAGTTTTTAGTAAAAATTTAGTTAATTTATACTTTCTTTATTTAAAAAACATGAAAAATGGTAATAATTAACTTCAACGCCATCTTGAAATATTTAACTATAACTACCATTAAATTGCAATATCAACTTTCATCCCTTATTTAACACCTTTTTAATAATAATTTCTTATATTTTAATGGTTATTATCTTATTCTGAACCAAGACAAATCCAAAAAATCATAAATAATCAAAATCCGTCCAAGCGTTCTTGAGTAATAAACGTTGTAACTAACAAAAAATATTTTTATTGTTCCAGATGTTACAGACATGTCTTGGGCTGGTACATCCCCAGGCAGCAGCAGCAGCGCCTCCTCGTCCTTCCGTTTGTCACCATCTCCATCACCCAGCGAGACTGGATATCCATCTGTACCGTTATCCTCCAGCTCTGGATCGGACGAAGGCATTGTCTTGGATTATCCTGAGGATATGCCACGAAAGAAAAAGGTAAAAACATTTTCAAAATTTTTATTTATAAATATTGACTCCTGTTGTTAGATAGAGGTGCTACACTCGTAAAAGCGAAAGCGTTTTGTCTGTTTGTTGTTTATTATTGACATTTAAAGCTCGATAATCAAAAATTCGGGGCTTGTGTGAAGGTCACTGGCTGCGCAGCTGCTAGATATAGACATTCTCGGCGACATATAAATAAAATTTCTCTTTTTCGTTCGGCCACGGATGAGAATCATTCAATTATTGAATTTTCATCATATTTTCGCGCGCCAATCAGCAGCGCGAGAAACACTTTCGAAAATGCACTCGAGTGTGGAGCTTTAATTGGTCGTCGGTCGCGGTTGTGATGCAACATTGTCACTAATACAATATTAACATTATATTACATTCACTCGCATTTACATAAATACGAATATAAATATTATATTCACGTTTTTTTCGGGAGCGGTAGTCACATAAAGAATAAAAACTTGTTTTTAACTGCCGGCCACTTATTTAATTATTTCGAGAATAATAAAATGCGAAATCTATGAATCTTTAACTGTTTGAGTGAAAGTAATGTTTTGCAATCATGTCAAATTATAGATTCCTTTCTATTTTGTTGTATTATGTTTACAAAATTTTTTTTTGAGTAAATTTAAAGAAATAACGGATTTTTTGCTTTAAATTACAAAAGTAAACATGATTTGCATAAAACATTAACGCGACCTCGATGTTCGCACATTTATGCAAATATTTCGTTAGTTTTTTATATATTATAATATTTTTTGCCGTTGCTGACTGCCCAAACAGGAACAATATGTTGCGCTAGGTTAGGTTTGTGCGAATTATTACCGCCATTCGCAATTATGTCATAAAATGGCGGATACGCTATAAAAACCTAACGGACTTTGAAAAACTACTACAACATTTCGCGTTAGTTAGCCTTGCAATTGTTGTCGAGGGCTTGCTGTTGCCTTGCTCTTTCGCCTGGCAACAAAACGCGTTTGCTTGGCATTGCGTGGCGGCGCATAGCGGCGTTTTAAATTAATTTGGGAATGTGCATGACCTTGTACAAGCCACTTACGGTTGTTCCTGCTTTAATGACGAATTTTAAACGCATATTTAAATTTATCAATATATTGTGCAAGCAATTGTTTCAAACGCGAAATGTTTGCACGCAAATGCATGCAGTAATAATAATAAGAAAAACGCCGCACGTGTACGTCCTGATTTCGCCGCTGCGGCGGGTTGCCTATGTGTGCGTGTGTGTGTTTGGTTGTATAGATGCATAGTGGCACACGGGACCGGTCCGAGTTTGGCCGATGCAGTCGCTGCCTTCAATGCCACCGCTGCCGCACTGCACAACTCTCGAACCGCCGCCGAGCGCAGCACGCATGCGCCGCTTTATGTTCTCTATACTAGGTAGTTGTGTGTGTGTTTGTGTGTGCGTTTCGGACGCAACGTGTGGACGACGAACGACGAGTCAAGGCCGAAACGCGCCGCTCCACGCGAATCGCAATGCCAAACAAAACATCGTCCAACGCCTTTTATTGAATCCTACGTAACCAGTGAGCGCACACTGCAATGAAACAATCAATTAGTTCTTTTGCCAGAAATGCGAAACATTTGAACACGCCGCCATTGTTATATCCATGAGTGAATAATAGAAAGAGAAATCAACTTATAGAAGTAGTTGAAAGTGAAACTATTTTATTCTTTTGTAGCTGCTTGGTTTGTTCATTAGTTTGGTTGAAATTAGAACAATGACATTGTTCGTTTTCACGCGTTAATCACACCATTTTTAGGTTATGTTGGCGAAACTGTTACATAACCACAACGCCTGATGAAATATTACTCAGTTGGATGCTGTCGATGTATGCAAACGTAGCCTACGCATCGCAAATCGTAAACAAAGCATTAACCTTGAGTCTCTTGGGCGCGCGCGCGCGCAGTATAATATAACTGTGATGCAAATACGAATTACTCGCCGATAAATCAATCAGCGCACGCGTGATACACACGTGAATGCTATTCTTTTTGTAATGGACGCTTTAATGCGGTGGAAACGTGCGACACGTGCATTGTGTGTTGCATGCGACCGATTGTCACACGATGACGTCAGTATCTGTATCACATTCCTTCGTTTTATTTTTTTAACCTGTGTGTGCGATGATGACTAAAGCTCGGTTTGCCCGAAATTAAATTCGTCAAGACTCGCACAAGGCGTGGAGGTTCGTTAACCTCCGGAATGAAAATCTTCACTAGCATGTGCTAGGGATGTCAATTTTATGTTCAATACCGGTATTTTAGTGTTTTTTAGATATAAAATATTGGTTTTTGTTAATACCGGTATTTGTAAAAATATGTTTTGTTGAATATAATTTTGTGTTGATAATTATCGGTGTTTGGAAGAAAAAATACCGGTATTTGATAAAAAAAAACCGGTATTTGAAAAAAATATATCGGTATTTGAGAAATACCGATATTGTTACCAGTATTTGAAAACGAAAATACCGGTATACCGATTTTAATACCGGTATTTGAGCAAAATACCGGTATTTCATTCTCCTATCATAAGAAACATAAGAATTTCCTAAGTTCGAAGTTATGTTTTGTATTTTAGACGCAATATTGTGCAATTTTCCAGCTTCTAGAACGTTTATTTCGTAGAAACTTAACGTGAATATTAAATAATCAATTTTCCGTACGGGGGATGTTTAGCGTTTGTTGATACGCTCGCGTGCTGCGCGCTCTTTGATTCCCCGTAATTTGCCAGCGCACTTTTCTCGATAAATTTTGCATTTTAGTTCAGTGGCCGCGTATTTCCACCAAAGCCAAAGTGAGTGATGGAAAATGATTTCGTGAATCGCATGACGTCGAGTCATTGACATGCGCACCATTGTTCGATACACTGAAATAATGTATCAGCTAATGTAGTTAAGCACACTTTATGATAGGCCTGCCATGTTGGTTTCGGATTGAGATGTCTTCACCGCAATTATTTCGCTCTATTATTAATTGAATAATTGAAGAACGCGGAAAATACGCGCGCTGTGCTCCGCCTGCTTGCTTTGCCGATGTGTAGTGTGTGTTGTATATCTAGTAGGTGCGGAAAAGGTTCGGTCAAGTTCAATAAACTTCGCCGGCGCGCGACCGCAGCAGGCCATTAATCATGCTCAACTTGATTTTTCGTGCGGCGATAACACCGATTCCACGCATTGATTGTGTTGTTTTCCAGCGTGTCAGATAATGAATGTAGGTCTGGCTAATAAGTCTAGACTTTTGTCAATATTTATTCCCTTACTAGTAGTAGCGGTTTAAGGTTATCTCTTCGAAACCTCAAAATGGCGGCATGTTGTTTGATTTCGCGCGCGCGTTTATAAATATCGAAGCATTCTAGACCAGGTCCAATTGGATCGCGGTGAAATGTTACCGCACACAAAAAAAAACAAAATATTATGATATAATATTATTTTAAGTGATTTTAAAAAAATTGTGTGAATTATGAATGATAGCGCGATATAAATAGTCCTTGCCGCAACCAAGGACAAAGAGAACTCGCGTGGAGTGCGGAAGTGAGCGGCGGGTGCAAGGATAGGAGCATCGCGGGGCCATGCACGTGGCGGTCGCTGCCGTTTGTATATAAACATATTGATCGCCGAGATAGAGGGTAGAAGCGCGCGTCAAGCAGGGGGTGGCAACACGAGCGTAACAGCGGCCCCGACCGGCCATGTTCGTGACGTCATGCCCTACTTCGCCAGCGCCGCCACTGCCGACAAGGACAACTAGCTAAACACGACCGTGGCCTACGAGCGCACAAGCCGGAGATTCTAGGTCTCTCGCGGGGGGCTGGATTTCTCACTCCTCGCCGCCGATGGGAAATCCTTCAAAGTCAGTTTCTTTGTTCCCCGGCGCGGGGAAAAATTCTATTGCGTGACCGCGGGTCGTTCAATTACAAAATCGGAAATTACTCGTATATCCCGGAATGTGCATTATCAAATGCTGGGGAAAAGTGCGCGTTTTGCGCCTGGTGTCAACGTAATTACGTTAAATATGTATTGGATTCGCTTGGAGTTTGAAACAAAGAAGCACATGTCAATAACCTCCGACGCCGGACTGCATTATCATATTTATAATCGACTACTGTTTATTCTTTTGTCTACTGTGTTTACATTCTTTTCGGCGGTTTTTCATTTGTTTCATAATTCCGTTTGGAGTAGAGAGAGCATGAAGTGTAGGATAGCGGTCCAAACACATAGAAATTGCTGTTTTTGACGGTTAATTGCAAATAACTTGGAAAGTAATTAAGATAGAGTTATGATCTTTCTTGCAGTTAATAGAGAATTAAATTCTCCATCTAATATGTTTCCTTATTTTTATTTAAACTTAAAAAAATAGTAAATATTTGATGAAAACTAATTTTTTTTTCTAAAAATTTTTGATTTTTGTTTATAACTTTTAAAATATTTAACTAATTTTTATAAAATAAATTGTATTAGATGTAGAATTTAATTCTGAATCTATTATTAGAAGGATATTGATTGTATCTTGTTTCGTTCCGGAGTTATAATCAAATAACTATCTATAATTCTGTAATCGGGATGTTGTGGTGAAAATGTAAATGCGCATGAACGGACGTGCATGTGTTTTTGTTTTTCCTCGACATAATGCCACGGTGCCGCGTATACGCTATAATAATAGAGAACAATGAACAACGCGACGCCAAGCGACTTCGTAGCGCCGACGTTCGAAGAGTTAACGTAAAGGTAAACGCGCCGAGTTGCCGGCGCATGTGTTTGTCCCTTCTTCTTCTATTTTTGTTGTTGTTCACAATTTCCGCGCTTCTTCGTACTTATATCCAATCGCCATAAAAATCCACGGGGTAGTCGAAATGTTGTAGTTGTAGGTGGAGATGATAACAAAGAGAATACAGAATACTCTCTTGGTAGCGCACACGGTTGTGTGTTTTAGGTCAATGCTGTGTGGTGTTGCGAACGCGCTGAAGAACTGTTTTTGAGGGGCACGAACGTAATCGTCGGTCTTGCTCGCACCAGCTCACGGCCAGATCGATAGCTCTCACGTAAACAAAGGAACGTGCGATGCGATGGACGTCGCCATGACAACTCGCCAACATGCGAACATGCGAGAGCGCATCGACCGAATGCAAACAAATTTTTGCTCCGATTTACATTTCATCTCAATATCGCTCTGGAGTGCCGCGCAGTTTAAAAGCGGAGAAAATGTGTTCCCAGACTACTAGACCACACCGCATATCTATACCCACTCTGTGTGCGAAGAGTAGTGTTGTTGGCGTGAAACTATGAAGAAGCATGTTGCCGCGGCTGCACGGCTGCAGTTGTTGCTGTTGCGAGGACGTTGCCCCCAATGTTTACATCGTGCACGGCGTACTTTTAATGCCTGCACGCACACACCAAAGCTCACCCGGCGCGCAGTGGTGGCGCATCTTGCCCGGCAGGAGGAGTGCACGATGCAGACTTTTATTCTGCAGTTCAGTATCAAGCTCTTATATTACGTCGTACTAGTTTTTCCACAAAAAAAAATTCATTCGCTGCCTTGAACCCAACATACACACACCACGGTCAGGGATGAGATGACGATGTCTACTCTCAGGTAGAGACTTAAGACCAGGTCGCTAGGGGAGACATTACTGCATTAGCAGGTGTGTCTAAACGTAAACCTAGGTTTTTTTTCTTTGATTCAACGTCGACGCGACACCAGCACATGCATAGGAATCGTTTTATAAGAGCAGCAGCAGCACGCAGTACAATGAACTTTTGTAGATTCAACAGGTAGCCGCCGCTCGAGCGGACGAGTGAGTTCTCTCCTCCCGATCAAAACGCAACTAGTTATTCCCGCGCGCCGCGCGCATTCTTGGCTTTTTTCGAGAAATATGCCCGGGATGTACGCACACGAATGTTGTGAGGGGTTGTGGAGGATGGTGAAAAGGGAAAGTTCAATACTCCACCGGTCGTAAACTGGTCGCGGGTGCTAGGCAACACACGCGGGGGAATACGCTGGGGAACTTGTTTCTTCTGCAGCGTAGCGTGTAAGAGAGAAACGGCATCAAAACAACGAACAGCTGATTCCCTTTTTGCTTTGGGGAGATCTTCACAACAGAAAAGAAATATTTTGCGTTTTAATTAATTTTTGTTTTTTTTTGTTTTCTGTTACAGCCGGTATCTCTCCAGTGCACATGGAGGAACTGCAGTTTCATGACACAAGTAGAAGAACACATGAAGGAGCACATTCGCGCCGAACATCTCAAGTAAGTTTTCTATACAAAATGGCCGCCATACTACATACGAAATGAAAGGCTTGCCAGTGGATAATAATAAAAGCATACGTAGACGTTGTATTGATGGCGAATACCAAGGCCAGTCGGCAACCTTGTATCGAACGGTATTATTCGTAGCACACCGCTAGTTAGACACGCCAAGCAACGAAAATAGTTTTGCCAATAATAACGTATGGACCCCACAACTACAAATTACCTGCAGTAGTAAAAAACCTAACAAAATTTTTATATATTTTATGTTTTGTGTGTGTTTAGAGCTGCGGAAGAGGAAGAAGAAGAGTTCTACTATTGTGATGTGGAGGAAATGACCAAATTACCACCGGCACCGCCCCCAATGATGATAATGCAACCACAACCGACGTTGTCACATCGTGACATGGCGCGTCCACCACACGAAGACCCCGAGTACCAGCGGCAGATCGTCGGCACCTACCGCCAACAGATCTATTCCGGTCCAATCGCCATCCCTCAATCACCCCATAAGCTGATGAAGCTTTCTCCGCGTCCCCACAGCCCCAAGATGCCCGTCTCGCCGCGTCGTGTCCGTGGCGAGAATAAGAAGTGCCGTAAAGTGTACGGCATGGAGCATCGCGAGCAGTGGTGCACGCAGTGCAAGTGGAAGAAGGCGTGCACCCGCTTCGGCGACTGAGTCGCCCATCGGCCGCCGCGCGCGCCGACTCTACTTAGAAGCATGGATCACCTCCAGCAAAAGACTGCCATTCGCATACTCATCGTCCAGCCGCCGTCGTGCTGCGTGGAGAATCAGAACGGACGCGATGGACAGTTATCTACACCGTAAAACCGTCGAGTATATATATACATACATATAACGTGAGATCGATTTCGTACTGATCAGATGGGACAGAGTGTGGTTGGTTGGTTGGATACATAACGAACTGATTATTATTCCATTTGTGCCCAAGTCGCACCGTCACAAACACAATCGTTGCTAGTCGTAAAACAAAAACAATAATATTTAACCGAAAACAAGAGAGAGAATATGCGCGAATTACGCGAGAATATTAATGTTAAAGTTTTACAGGAATTTAAGATAATGTTATATGAAAAAAAAAGCTGTAATGTCGATACTACGAGTAAGAGATGATGCGCCGCCAGATGGCGGTAGTGTAAACCGGCATGGCGATGCTCAGCGCCATCGCAAACCGTAACGGAATCTTTCTAAATGATGTAAACGCTTGCGAAATATGGGAAAATTTGCGTGAATTCGAGAGAATATCAACTGACTTTGCGAAAAACTGCCAAGAACAAAATTTTCTACTACCGATATTAAATTAAATCGAAAACGAGACGCAAAACAAGAAACCAAACGAGTAGTTTCGCCAGCTTTTGCTGCAACATCCGTTTAAATCGACAAGTACGTAGACAACGTGTCGTGAATGTAGTTGTAAAATGAATATTACATATATATATATAGAGAGATATGCATAAATCGCGAAACAATTTTTATTTTTATTCTTTCGTGCACACAAACTGATTTTCATCATTATATACATATAGAGATATATATTTACAACATATTTTACCTTATTATATACATATTACCATGTTTTAGATCTCAGAAACGTAATAAGAGTACAATATTTTTAATTATTAATATTTAATTCGTACGATGAAAATAAAAACGATCTATATATACATATATTATACATAAAATATAAGAGATGATTTAAATCTACGGTGGTTATAAGATATTAATTAATAACGTGTATAATAAATGACGAAAGATGTAGAAAAACGATTGGATGAATAACTCAAGTCGTACTTTCCAACTCAAAACATCTATATCTATATATATAAATATAAACTTTTCGTGTTACATCTTGTACATGCTGTACATAACCTGAGAGAGAGAGAGTTTATGCAACCAAATGCGCACTCGTCATAAACTACTACATGATCAATTTATAAGTGTTTATTGCTAATAAAATTGTCGTCTAACGTTAAATCTATACATATAAATGTCTAACAGTCTTGACACTGAGAGAAAGCAACAGGTGCCGCGCGCATTGCGAAGCAAACGATGACGAACATCACACAACTTCACTTGTTTCGAGATAGAGATCTGTAACTTCTGCACCTTTTAGCTAAACATTCAACGTGGAGAACAATAGTAAACGTACATTTGTAAAAAAAACTCCATTGGTAAAAACCAGTATTTTAAGACTAGGCCGTGATGTGTGGTGGAAAAGAAACAAAAACAACTAAATATCAAAATGTTTAGACTATAATAACATTGAGAATATGTAGGTTTCGTATTTATGTATATTGGATAGCGCGAGGAGTGATTTTTGAAGTTTTAAGCGATACATCAAATATCGATATAATGGCGATAACAGCGGGTTGCAAAGTTTAACATACACACAACACACAACAACATTATCTGTCTACGAATAATAATCTAGTAACTGTTTAACGATAGATTTGGCGATAATGAAACAAAATGGACGCCTATATACATACTACGCCGATAATATGATGATGATGACTGATGCGGGCAAAGAGATGCAATTTGCTGACTGAAACGAAACGAAAATTTGTAAACGAGATGCGTTTGTTATGCCATATTTAATATACATACAGATTGTTTGGCCATAGTGTTAATCACTCTCTAATAACTTATAGAAACATGATGTGCGTGTGTGTGTGTGTGTCCATTTTGTTGTCAATTCAATTGCTGCTGGCGGAAAGAAAGTGCAATGGAACACAAGCAAGCGATGAAAAAAAAGTATCTGTACTAAATCCAAAAATAAACCAACCAAATATTTACACAAAACATTTAATCTAATGCAATAAAATAAATATGCTATAGGCTAAAGTGAATTAAAGCTACACATTACCATAACTAATTAATTTTTAAGACGATCAACAACTGCAATGACGAAACCACTACCATGCAAGCAAGAGAAAAACATTAATTCGCACCTCTTTCGATTAATTTATATATATCATTTATTATCAGCAGCGCGATTTACACAACTAATTGTATTAAATTTATTGATTTACCATTACGTTTTTTGAATGTATATTGTTATATAATTGCGTATCTGTTTTATGATAATTTGCAATTTAAGAAATTATTTATATGTAGATTGTATAGTTGATTGTAGTTGAATTCTTTTTTTTGTGTTTACATTAAGTTATTTAGTTAATTGTGTGACGTTTACTCAAGTTTCATGTTTCATTACCTCTTAGTCTTTCATTTCGTTCTGTTTTATTTATATTATCTCAATCAAGGTATGATAGAATTCTAACTAGGATTAACTAATCGATAAAAGTTATATTCAGATACACAGTAAGGTAGATTATTACCATATGGAATATATTTCGTTTATATTAATGATATCATCTATGTAAGATAAATATGAATATGTTATAACAGACAAACAATTTGAAAGTATTTTATAAAGATATGTTATTTAATTATACTCGTTTACTTGGTGTTGATTTCTTCTTCCTTTCGATTTTTTTCGTGTTTTTTGATTGTCGCATGACAAATAAATGAATAAAGCGCTCGACCTGCCGCGTTTGCTACCAGTGAAAATAAAATTCGTAATTTTAAGTTCGTCACCTGCACAAAAGAATGAACTATTAAATAATTATGTAAAGCGACGAGTAAACATTAAGCAGACACAATATGTACATGATTATACTCTTGTGTATACCATATGTTACGAATGTTTCTAGAATTTATGCCTAGTTAAGTCCCCGATGATATTTTAGAGATCTTTTATATCGAAACACACACGTTGAGGCATTGAGCGACGATATCAATGGCCATCGGGTTTTCAATTGGCGAAAATGATTCAGTACGCTATCGCTTTGTGTACTCATTTATTTCTGATAATTATAAATGTGAAAACTAACGTAAACACAGCAAAAGAAAGTATATTACAATGAAGAGATGTCTAAGATTTAAGCAAATTACGATTTAATGAATGAAAGGAAATACATATATTTAATAACATTACTCTGTAGTTTCATTTTTAATTTCGAATTCATTATTGTTTCAATTTCACTTTTATGCGTATTTTTATTCCCACAGTATATTAGTTCTTATTTACTTTTGATACTGCTAGCGCCCCCTGTTGGATATGTAAAGAACTAGAGATTTGAACGTGATGCGTCAAGGTAAATGTTCGTTACAAACATAACCCTCTAATAAGTTATTTTGACGTTGTTTTGCTTTTAAAAGCCGTATTTTTAAAGAACACGCCGTTATTATTAAGTTTTATCAATTGGTTATAAACTATATCGTGTTTATTTATAATTTTTATGTGTTTTACACCAGTTTAAACGTAAGTGTTGATTAGAAAGTGAATATGCATCACAATATACATACTTGATTGCCCCCCATTAGAAATGAATAATTGATCAATTGGGACAAGTTGGAAGTTCATTGCCTTCACGACGAGCGCGTGGAAATATGTCAATCAATGTAACAGTCACTGGCAATCCAATTAAGATCCATAGAGGCAAATTAATCACCACTGATTTGCAACAAGATGTTGACAAGAGAAGAAAAATGCGCCTGCAGCAGGTATTTGTTAATTTTTTCTTTAAGTTTTACGCTTTTACTGTAAAATTTTTGTAGGTGAGACAGCAGTCAAAAGATTTTGCTGCAGCTGTAAGAAACAATGTGAAAAAAGTCAAGAATAAACAGCAGACAAACTTTGAAAAGCAAAATAATGCTAAATTAAAAGAATGGCAGAATAAAAAATTACTACAATTACAAAATGTGTATGAGGATAATGTTAAAGACATTGGGATTGGCCATGCAGGGGCACAGATTAGTGAAATTGAAGAAATACAGCAGATTGAAAGGCAGAAGATAATCAATGAAGAAATGGCTTCAAGAAGAGGCAGAAGTGCACAGGAGATGCTACAAGTAAAGAAGAATGAACAAAGTTTGCAGAAAGCTATACCAAGACAGGCTAAACAGTTTGCTAGGGAAGTGGAGAATGCCAGAGCAGCAATGATTGTGTCACAGTCAGCTCATAAAACTCCAAAAAAAAAGAAGGTTACAAAGGGAAGTTTTAACATTGATGAAAGCACTAGTAAAGTTGTACCTGATAAAAATGATGTTGAATCTGCTGTGCCAGAATGCAAAGAACAAAGTTCCAATACAGAAGAAAAAGTAATTGAACCAATTGAGACTACAAGTTATCAAAGATCGGAAAGTGTTGTAACAAGAAGCCCAACAAGTAAGTTTTAAATATTGTTAAATGTTTTTACTAATGTTATTTGTCTTATTTTTAAATTTAGAACGATTTAGACATGAAGATACAAGTCGCGTTTCAATTGTATCTTTGGATGTACCAACAGACACCCGCATTACCGATAGGATACGAAGTCGCCATCTGGTGACGGCACCAATGAGTGACATACCGGAAGCTTCTAATTCTTCAGCCAGCAACTTCGAATTCCACGAATCAAATCACGAAAACAAAGAAAATATTACAAATAGAGTTAAAAACTATTCATCGTCAACTCAGCAAGGTGTTTCAATACCACCGGAAACGCGCGAGGAAGTGGTAACATGTCCTATTTGTGTAAAACACGCGAATCCATTCGCTCACGCATGCGCATGCTCGCAAGTTAATACGGGTAGACCTGTCTGTGTGCCAAGTTTAAAAGTTTGTTCGAATACTGAAGGCAATCAGGCTCAAAATTTTGAAATTCCCTCGAAACCAAGTGTGAGGCTTGCCCCGGAGAGTTATGCCCCGCAATATTCTCAAAGAGATGTGAGTTCTGGTAATTCTAAAGAATATCGACGAGTTAGAAGTTACGATCGTAATAATCGGTTTGGTCATCATTATATTACGGATACTACGCATGTACACCGCATACAAGACGATGAGTTGGCTTATTCAGATCTTGAAGCTGGTCCTTCACGTAGGCATACTAGTGAATTTAGCAAAATGGCGGATGAACGTGCGAAGATGGCCGATATGCGAGGTAGAAAAGCGCTGGAGAAGGAGAATATTCACAAAGATTATGAAAAATTGATGAAAAGATTACCGCTTTTGCAAAAACAAGGACGAATTGCAAATTTAAATCCATCTAAAGATAAATTACACATGTCTGAGTCTAGAAAAAAGGAACATGAGAAGTTACGGCAGGAAAAAATGGAACGTGCGTTTGAAAAACTTGCACCAACAACTACAATAACTATTCCTTCTATTTCATCACGTGCTGCACCATCTTCTCGTGCGAAATCGCCTAATAAAACACCGAAAACACCTCAAAAGTCTATAAAACCAATTGGCACTTGGAAGAAAACAACCGTTGAAACTTCCACAAATGCGTCACCGGAAACAAGCAATTTATTAAATTTATTAAAAAAATTACGCAGTCAGAAAGAAGAATTGTTGAAAGAATGTAAAGATTTACCACAAGATAGCAATTTTTATAATTTTATTGATGATTTAGACTTTGTCGCACGTACGCACTCAAAAAACGACAAAAATATTCAGACTGAACCTAGAAAACAAGCCGGAAGTGATGTAATGCGAAAAGTACCGAAACAAGTTTTGATTTTACAAAATACCAGCACGCAGACCAGCCCGAAAGTAAGTAATACAGCTTCGTGTAATACAGAATCCGATGCAGAACCGCCTCCGAAACAGCCAAAAACAGCGCAGGATCCAAACATTTGTAATAATGTTTGTTCTTGTAAGAGCCACGATAAACTGTGTGAGATTTTAATTAAAATTCGTGATTGCGCAGCGCATTCTGTAGAAAAAAAGCCAAGTAACAAGGAAAATACTCATGAAGATAGAAGAAAAGTTGAGGAGACGTTAAATTTAGAAACGGGAAAGTCTAGGAAAACAAATCATTCGAAATCTGATGATAGTGAAGGTAGTATAAGTCCAAAACGGTCTAGATCTGAATCACCGAAGAAAACTCCTCGGAAAGTCGAGAATATTAAACAAAATATCCCCAAAACAACCGAGTGAAAAACAATAGCTGGAAACAACATTTCTCTGTGAGTTCCGTTAGAAATCCAGATGAAATAACTTCGAGTACTTCTTATTATAGCCCACCGGATTATAATCTGCAAGCACCTGGTGAGAAACAGAAAGAAACGTTGTCCAACTTTCCTCCACCGATAGATAATACATTACTCAGTTATATAAACAAAATGTTGGAGGTATCCAAAGGTAAATTGAATCTCTTAGCAGCGAATGTTTCTTCGATTAGTGAAGTTGCAACGCCATCTTCAAGCATAATCAATATACAATCGAATCGTCCACCACGTACTCAAACTGCGAATAAACAAACCAATCATAATGATTCAACACATATAGAAAAATTAACAACATTGTTGAAGTATTTTAATTTAACACCGGGAGATTTTCGGAGTTTTGTAAGCATACAATCCACGTCAAGTCATTCACGGACAAGAAGTAATTCAGTTGGATCTTCTACTACGCAAGGTACGCAAAGTTCACAAAGTAGACAATCACGTAGTAATACACCCGTGAATACTGGATTATCACTTGAACATTATACTCAAACACCGTCGATGAATAATGCTCCCGTTGTGGATCATTTTGCGCAATGGGCTGACCTATGCCAAGCGAGAATCAATAATTTAACAGCGATGATTGATAAAGTTCGAATGGAAAAGAAGGAAATTTTAAGTCCTTGCGATGAGAAGATTGAGGCAATTAATAAGAGTAATAATTTGACTTCGTATTTGAATTTACCGCAAAATCAAGATTCGGATTTGTCAAGTCCAGAACAGAAGCAGTTAGATCGACAATTGCTTGATGTGCAAGATGGCGCTAAGTCACATGCGCCAGTTACTAAAGACCCAAATGATTTTGCGAATTTGTTACAACTTTCAGAGAAACATCCGGATTTAGACCGGGATATTGTTGAGCGTTATATGAAATTAGTAGATGTAGAATTGCAAGCTCAAAGAAGTAAATCTCCTGAACGCATGGAAAAACCAAAAAGTCCTGAGAAATCTGTGAGTTTTAAACCAATGCTTGATATTCCAAAATTACCCAAATTTCAACCACAACCTAGCTTGATGACTGCTTCAACATCCACAAGATCTAATGGTAAGAAACCTCCGGTGACAAATAACGCTTTACGGTTTAATGATGTAATTCATGAGTTATCCGCCATTCCTGAAGCTGAAAATTCACGTTTATCCAAAAGTCCATCAAGTCGCAAATCAGCAAGCCCCCAAAAACGATTACAAACTCAAAGATCTCCCACTAAATCACAAGCTTCGACTTCAAGGAAGCAAATTATCACCAAAAAGACTTCTGATACGAATTTAGACTCGCCTGCCAGTGAAAAATCTAACGAATCGGTTGAATCAATGCTTAAAACACTCGGTTTAGATTGGGCGATTAATACTCTGAAGATAATGAACGCGGCTAATAATAATTCGTCCAGTTCTACTTCATCGATTGATATTGATCAGAAGAAGTTTAGTTATTTGGTCAGTAAGAATGTGTCTACATCGACGGAGAAGACGAATGCTTCTATACATGATGCATCCAGACTTCAGCGCACCTCGACGCCAGTACAAACGACGAATAGTTCAAAAAGTCAGCCCAGTCATAAGTTGTTTAATAGCGGGGAAAGTGAAATTTCTCCAGTTGGGAGTGGGCAGCGAGGAGGAAGGAAGGATAATTCGGATAAATCGCCGGGTTTTGATTCGAGTCAACACACGTTTCACACGTTGCCTTCACACTCGGTTCACCATGATAGCGATAGTTGACTGATGAATTTGTAAAATTGATTGTTGCATACGTAATGTAATTGTACTGTAAGAAATTTTAATGATTTTAATTCTATTGACGCAATTGATCTATTGATGGTTTGAGGCTTTGTTTTTTTTAATAGTTAGTAGTCTTGTATGACTTTTTTACTATGATTGTTTATTAAATGAAGGAAACGTCATATCATAACAAGAAATTTTATAAATCTGCGAATTCACCTTTTATTTTTTCCTATCCCTTGAATTTCCATGATTTGAATGTCTTATTTTATAAAGAATTGCTAAAGTAATCAGAATTTTCAATTTTCACAACAGTAATTTTAGTATAGTTGATTACATAAAATTTATTGTGCGTTTTAAATTAAACTACAACTAAAATAATAAAAATAAACGATGAATTGGGATAAAAATAAGAGATGAGAATTAAATTACGTTGGATTTATTTAATTTTGTTCACAATGTAAATAATATTGTACTCAAAACGAAGCATATATTCTAGAAACATCAACATTCAATTCTTACCTGTACAAACATGCATAAAACTGATATCAACAAACGAGTTTTTGTGATCTCAACATTCTAAATGAATCCTAGATGACTCTAGGATGCACTATTTGCAATAAATTAAATTAGGTGATGTCTCAGCACAAGTTTGTTTACAGCAATGAGATTGTTTGATAGTAGTAGTGTGTGTACATCCATGTCCGTGTGAATTTGAATGGTAAATGCGGCATTGAAATTGATTTGATAGTCGAGCGTGCATTTTGTGCACGCAAAATATTGATTTTAATAAAATTGATATAAAAAATCGACAACTTTTACAGCTGTTCACTATTTAATTTAAATCTTTTGAGTTGCATTCGTTGCATCAAACAGCTGAGCAGTTCATCCAAAGTTTTTCAATCCAGCTGATTTTACATTTGCAAATCTTGCAATATTTTATTTTTATTTAAATTGCGCTTTGATCGTTAATACAAATTTCTAAAATTAAATTAAGTGTAATATTTTTAATTACAATTTCATAAGCATTCTTATTTTTGCAGCGAATTATAGTTGGTAACAAAGACTTGCGACGTGTATTTAAGACGCGTTAGAAAGTGATAAAGAATACATTGAATTGAATGTCTGTATTTTGGGTTGTTTACACCTTTTCGAATTCGGGTTTATCAATGCCTACGTCATATCACCTGATGTTCTTCGCGCGCATGTCGGGGTGCGGGGTAAGACGGGGCAACACTGCTTAATCTCGCGCATCGCACACTCAAGAGTATCAGTCGTGTTCCAACGTTCGATGCAGCGTGCAGCTCCGTTAAGAGATCGCTGAAAATTCACAAAATCTGCAGAAAAGTGTCGTTACCATGCGAAAATCATTGCACATTACCATCACAAGTGAGTCCCTTGCATTATATATTCATATTTCTACGAAAAAACGTATAATATTTAAGATTTGTAAAAATTTGCATGCAGCAGTTTTTTTTATATGGTGTTAGATAGGGGTTTGCTTATCGCCGCGACAGAAACGCAATTTTAACGTTAGGAATCACGAACCCAGCTCATTTTGTAGAACGAAGCGCGTACATCAATTAATTCTAATTAGATTTTTCTTAAAATTTTAACTTTTTGCGTAAATTCGAGTAATTCGGTTTTGCATGCACCAAAAATCATCGTGCGTACGTGCCTTTGCGAATTCGGGTTTATCAATGCCTACGTCATATCACCTGATGTTCTTCGCGCGCATGTCGGGGTGCGGGGTGAGAGGCAGGGCAACACTGCTTAATCTCGCGCATCGCACACTCAAGAGTATCAGTCGGGTCCCAACATTCGATGCAGCGTGCAGCTCCGTTAAGAGATGGCTGAAAATTCACAAAATCTGCAGAAAAGTCGAGTTACCAAGTGCTAATCATTGCATAGTACCATCACAAGTGAGTCTCTTGCATTATATATTAATATTTCTTCGAAAAAACGTATAATATTTAAGATTTATAAAAATATGCATGCAGCAGTTTTTTTTAATATGGTGTAAGATAGGGGTTTGCTTATCGCCGCGAAAGAAACATAATTTTAACGTTAGGAACCACGAACCAAGCTCATTTTGAAGAGCAAATCGCGTTGATCATTTAATTCTAATTGGATTTTTCATGAATATTGCAGTTTTTGCGTAATTCGAGTAATTTGGTTTTGCATGCACCAAAAATCATCGTGCGTACGTGACTCTTCGAATTCGGGTTTATCAATGCCTACGTCATATCACCTGATGTTCTTCGCGTGCATGTCGGGGTTGCGGGGTAAGACGGGGCAACACTGCTTAATCTCGCGCATCTCACACTCAAGAGTATCAGTCGTGTTCCAACGTTCGTTGCAGCGTGCAGCTCCGCTAAAAAATTGCAGAAAATTCACAAAATCTGCAGAAAAGTGTCGTTACCATTTGAAAATCATTGCACATTACCATCACAAGTGAGTCACTTGCATTATATATTAATTTTTTTCAAATTAACTTAAAATATTTAAGATTTATAAAAATTTGCATGCATCGTGTTTTTTTACATGGTATTAGATAGGGGTTTGCTTATCGCCGCGAAAGAAACGCAATTTTAACGGTAGAAACCACGAACATAGCTCATTTTGTAAAGCGAATCGCGTACATTAATTAATTCTAATTAGATTTTTCGTGAATTTAATACTTTTTCCGTAAATTCGAGTAATTTGGTTTTGCATACCCGAAAATATAGTGCGTACGTGACGGGGGGACCGCAGTTTCACCTCCGCCGCAGAGTGTGCGCGGCCGTCTTATCAGTTGTTTGTTTACTTTACACATTCTTCTATCGGTGAATTCTTCTTCGCGGCAGAATAGTGCCAATAGTGCAGAATAAGTAAAATAAAAGAACGTCGCGCGGTGTTGTTGTTTTGATTTTAAGATTTTTACATTTCGGCAAGAGTCGTCGCGTTTTGTGATAAATATTGTAGTGAGTGTTTCTATTTATTTTATTTATTTTTCGTTTTTATCACATTTTATATTTCTTTGTGATTTCTCATACTATTATTACATATCACATTTCCTTTAATTATAGGACCCTGTGACCCGATCTGATGAGATGACCAAACCATGAGGGCCTAAGTATTTTCCATTTTATTCCAAAAATGGGAACAGGTTTGAAAATTGCTTATAATTGCTTTAAAAGTCGGTTTACTTTTGAAGCGTTATGTTATTTTGTTCAAATTCTATTTCTAACGGCACCCGCGTCGCGAATTTTTAGTCATGTTTTGACACAAATTGTCACTCGTAAAATTCGAAATAAAGTGAGAAGTGAAATGCGCGAAAACCAAATCTTAGGTACAGTAAAAAAAAAAGAACTTCGATATTTTTATAAAATTCACTTTTGCTAATTGTTCTTTCTGCTTGTCTTGCAGGTATATATTCAATTTACTTGGCATTTATTTGTAACTCGGGCGCGTTCGTTTTCGGTTTATGTATTTCTTGTTTGTACTAATATGTCTCACCACTTCTTAACCGTTTACTCTTTATTATTTTTATTACTTCCGATATTCGAAAGATTTTAAACTCTTGCATCTAAAAAACTTGAATAATGACAATTTCACACATTTTTCAATTCTAAATTAATTTGCTTACTGAATTCTCAGTTCAAAATTAAATTTCACACATATTTTTTTATGATATTTTTGATTAATTATTCGTGATAAGATTTACACTTATGTCTTTAAGTTTACATGTTTAGTACATGTTTGAGGGCATTATCAGAGACTAAATATTTTGTATCATATGTAGTTAAGTAAGGAAGTTGAGTATTAGGGGACTAATATTGAGATTAATAGATGTAGTTGTAGGTGTAGTTTTTAGAGGGGATGGAATATTGTGTCGTGTATTGAGTGTAATGGATTATTTTGTGTTTGCAAAATTGTATGTTTTCTTTAATGTTTAGGTATTTGTCGTTTGAGGTTTCAAGTATTGTTTTGTTCTATTTTATTGTGTTGGCGCCTTCGTGTTAGTAGATGTTTAGCGTAGTGGTGTAACAGGTAAACTCAAAAATATAAGGGTAATTCATATCACGTACAATTAATTAAAAATATCATAAAAATTATTATCACGAATTACTTTTTCAATAACGGAGACATAAATCAAATTAAGTTCTTTTAGATACATTTTTTATTTCAAATTTTAGTCACTTTAATTTATGTTCCTGTTTTTTTTTTCAATTCAAAGAAACATATTACCTAGTTCTTCCTAAATATTCTTGCTAATCTATATTTATATTCACAGCACGTAACGTAACTCGCGATGACCTGGAGAGGTGTAACGAAATACTCATCGAGTGCGTGCGGGTCGCGCCGCGGTTTAATTTAACACTTTCACTGATGACCAGTCAAATCCCTGGACAACTACCGATGGAGGTCCGTGCCATGAGAACAACATAACATAATTTATAGACTTTTCCGTATACCGATTCTGAGTACCGAGTGCGGGTCGCGACGCGGTTTAATTCAACAGTTTCAGTGATGACCAGTCAAATTCCTGGACAACTACCGATTGTGACATAACTCAAAGACTTTTCCGAATACCGACATAGAAATCCGAGTGCGTGACGCGAGTACAAATCCGAAACTATCGAAATCCATTCCGAGAGACATTCCAAACCCATGAGGGACGAGAGGGGGACCCAGACCACTTCAAGCAACCTACCAGCGTTTTGGACACAAGATTGGAAAATTTTCGACGCATCCTCCTGAGAAACTCTGACGTAGGATCCCAGTTTCTAGGAGCCGGATGAAGGTAAGTCGTGGTGATGACTTGGACCGGAGGGTAGTCACGAGTGCCCCTGACTGGCGGATGCGCAAAGCATTTTGCTGCGTATGTGACAGCCGAAGGGGAGACACACTCGGGGCTATGTCCTTGGTACAGGGATAGTCCACCCAGCATTGCTAGAATCGCCGGATGTCTTCAAGGGGGGTGAGTACACCTGACACCAAACTGGCTGTCTTGTATCTTTATGCGCAAACAAATGCACGTGCATACAAAATCATCATAAATGAACTCGCCGTTTATCTCGGAAAATGCGATTTGTTTTCGCGATTTGCAATTCGGGTTTTCAGGCGCGATACACAAGGAAGGAGAATTCCAAACAACGTGACAACATAATTCCGATTATCGTTTTAATTTCTTTAGAAGTCGGGATACTCCGGTAAATCCGTACGTTTTATTCGTGATTTTCGCGATTTGTAATTCGTGTTTTCCAGGCGCGACCAAAAAAGGAAGAAAATGTCCTTTCAATCAACTCAACTTAACGCATTCAATCCATTCGCGGTTTTCGCGTTTGCTACTCGGTTTTTTCAGGCGCGCATCACTGCCAACCACGGCAGAACACCAATCATTTGATTCATCATAATTCGCGGTCGTAAAACTTCGCGTTCGTTTGCAATGTGTGAATGTGTAGACTGATGAATGAAACCCTATTTTTTATTATTGTATGAATGAATTCACTGATTTCATTGATTGTATTTATATTTGTGTATGTGTGTTAAATTTTGGACGATGTGCTTGCACATGGTACCAAAAGCCCGTTGCCCACTGGCGGTGCACGGGTCACAAGGCTTATTAAACTCAAGTTGGTTATACCGCGGCGAAAACCGTTTCGCCACCTCCTATCACAGATCGTCAAACGCGGTCGCGAGCATTATATTATTAAAAACGATAACAAACATTTTTACAACGGTCTGTGATCTTAGTTAAGTATGTTGTTAGGCAGGGAAAAAGGCAGGTCAACTAAAATCTCGCGATAGAATTAAGAATCCTATCCACCAACCCTTTAGCGTGTGAATGATAATTATGTTATATATTTACATTATTTGATATATTTGTGTAAACTTAATCAATTTTCCGCTTTCAGAAGTCACCGCGAATATTAGTACCGCGTTTTTGAGTCCGTGTGCAGGCAGGGTCGTATTAGGTCCAATCACATTTCCTAATTTTCCTCACCTATTAACCAAATATATAAACATAAAACAACTATGGTTGTCTTGATTTATTTGTCTGTGTGAAAGAGACTCTATTAAACCAATTCCACATTTACTGTTATTTAAATATGTATTAATCAATTTTTCTTTCAGATAAAATTTGTACTTATTGAAATAAACAAATGCCTCTGAATATGTCTTTCTGTACCTGAACTTAATTAAAAATATTTAATTTGTATGATCTGTTTTAGGTGATTGAAGATATATTTTTTTGTTTTATGTTTGTTTGTTTTGTATTTGTCTTTTTTTATTATGTGTTTTTATTTTTCATTATGTGCTCGTCTTTTTATGTTTGCCTTTGACTCAACGGTTCTTTTCCTCTTTTTTAAAGAGAAGAAAATGACCGTTTAGTCATTAACCCGGCTCAGGGGTTGTAAAATGATCAACCACCTGAGTAAATCTTGTCAGGCGCGTCCATGTCGCGGGGGTGGGCACCATTTCAAATTATTTTTCATAACATTCAATATTTATATAAATATTATCAAAATTTTCAATAAAAATGGTGGCTAAGTTCTGACAAGGACCAAAATATCAGAATATTACACTTACACATACAAATAACCATTTTATTATGTTACAGATTCTAGCAGAAGTCAAATACTGCAACTTTTAGAAGAAAACAGACTTTACTCCATTATCAAAGTTAGAAATAGTATATAACATCTTTATTTGTAAAAAATGTTCCAACAAAGTACATAATTACCAAAAAATTTCTTTTGTTTCTTTGACACATTGAAACTTCCTTCACTATTCAGTACATTTCAAGTAACAATTAGTTTTTTTTCTAGGAAATTGACATAAACAATCAAAAACAACTGATTTGGTTCTCCAATGATAACCAAATAAAAAATAACATATTAAATACACTTACAATACACTAAACCGATTTAAACATGACTGTAATCTTCCATTAAAGCTTTACCATAATGTGTAATAACATAGTCGTGATAATAGATCATAATGCACAATGGCTGACCCATAATAATGGAAGCCCACACGACTACGTTACCCAATCTGGGCCCGAACTTCTTCTCTGTAAACTTGGAAATGTGCGAGAGTGGCACCTGCGCCATCATTCCAAGGAACGCCCAAATCTTGAACGTTTTCAACGGTACACTAACCAAATACTCGTGGAAGAAAGCGCTGACGAAAAACACCGCTAAGGCACCGTGATTCTTACTGTAACCCATGCCAACGAGCGGGATATAAAGATGGCGGACAGCCCAGCGATGCACCGGCATGTTCCACGTGCGCCAGAACGTGTCGATATTATTGGCATTCCACCAATCGCAGTAGAATTTTCGGTCGGCAAAGTGCATTAATTCACCGACAAGGTTGAGGAACGAGTGGAACATTATGTAGAACATGCACAGCCATAAAAGATGATTTGGCAACTGAAATTCATCATAAAATTATCAAATTAAACTCGTTTCCTATTATAAACATAGCAAAAAATAAAAATAAACATACCGCTAATTTGAGTAATCGTTCTGTCGCTTTAGCAATATCCATATTACTGAAAGGAATCAAAGAATTTTTCACGGATGGAATAATATATTGTTGAACAATGACAAGCATCATCTGTATACCAATGGCGACTTCAAGCAAACGTTTCAGCAAGAAACGCTTGCGAATACGCGTGGTTTTCGGGAAATTCAATTCATAGCATAATGTCGGCGCTGCCATGAAGTAGAATAAGTCCTTGAGGTTTAAATTATCCGGATATTGAACTGTCTGCGTCTCGTGATCAATTTCATCCACGCCTCCATTTTTAATTTCGCCATTTTCTAAGTTTAGAAATTATTTGTAAGACAAATTAAATTTAAATAACATAATTGCTGCTTACTTTTTGGTAAACTGCTATAGGATAAACTCTGTCTTCTCAGGTTATTTTTATTTCCGTTTCCTCTTAAAATTTGTCGACACCAGCTGTTTACCTGAACGTACGACCATAGTTTTAGGAATACTACACTGTACAAAAAGCTAACCATAGAAGCACCCACTAAAAATATCAATTTTAAGGATTATTTTATAAAATATTTGAAAAATATTCTTACATAAACTAAATCCTTCTCTGACATGAATGGCCACCATTGGTATCAGCACCAATACGAGTAAATTCACCACGTGTGCAACAATTCCCGGTTTAATAGGAATAATTTCAACGGCGAGTCCTTTTTCGATTATGAGACACGCCATTATTGGCACAATAACATCTGAAATATTATTTATTTGATAATATATAGAGAAATATTATTTATTTTGTGTTTGAGAACTTACAAATCATTAATATTAACGTTGGGTGGTCGGCTGTGTTCTCATCTTTGAGCAAATTGATCCATTGTATGGGATCAACCCTTATTCCGTATCTGTTAATTAAAAAAACATAGAAATTTATAAGAAAATTAAGTAATTTTTGGAATTTATTAACTTACTTGATGAAATTTTCTAGAAACAAACGGAACCCGCCGATTAAAAGCAACAGAAACGCCCAGTTGACGAAGCCGGTAAAGTTGTCGAAACCGGAAGTCCATGAAAAGAGTGAATCTTGAGGTCGGTGACATCTAATTTAAATAAAGTACAAATAATTTAATAAATTAAACTTAAAAGTACCTAAAACTTAATTTTTCGGAGACTATTATTGATAAATCTAAAATGACTTGCTTTTAAGTACAAACAAAACAACAAAAAACCGCGATAACAAAATTTCGTACAAACAAATCACTTTAAATTGTGTTTTAATACGTTTTAACCAAAGATTAGTATGTGTACAGAGTATAAATTAAAAATTATTAATTTAAGGCCAACCGCAAGTTATTTCCGCTCAGTATATGTTCAAAGGTTAATAATTATTACACAAAAGTAATTTTTTAGTAAAAAAAGGCAAGAAAAACTAAACTAATCAATAAAATGTAATTATTTGTACAAAAACTTTGAAAACGTGTTTTCTATTCGAAGTAGCACTAGCAGGTATTAGATAACAAATTCTGTGTGCATTACTAAACACAAAATAATCACTAAATCACTATGTGTCAGTGGAATTTACAGTACGACACACTCACGGCTTATCAGGCTGCGACTTGCGTGCCTTCTTCTCCTCGTATTGAATCTCTTCGGCCCTCGTGACGCTCTGCGCACGCCGGTAACGTAATCCATCGCCATCGCCGGTCATTTTACAATTTGTATGCACATTCACTTACAAATTACAACTACACACCAATTTCAATCTAAGTTGTTAACTTAACTGAACTTAACCGAAAAAATATAGATATAATAAAAACAACAGCGCGCTCTCGAGTGTGTGGACGGATGGTGTATGATGGATCGAAATTTGGAGTTTTGTCGCCGACTAAAGTCAAGTCGTTATCATTTCGGATCACTCCGGATACGCCGGCGATCGGGTTGCCGCAGCGCACATGAACATTCGATAGATATATACTCGTATTATCTCATAACTTTAGCACCAATTGAATCGACTTTGTTCACACTTAACTTTAAACGCACGCATCATTCGTATCACTAGACTAAAACTAAACACCGTTGCTGTATAATACAACTATCATGTTGTTACAATATTAAATCCACATGTGCAAATGACGCAGCGCGCGAAATTAATTGCCGCTCCCACTTAACTTATTACTTTAGTTACAACGTTGAGGCAATGGAAGGGACACATATAATGTAACTTAATTTACTCTTGGTGCGAGTGCAAGGACGACGGGCGGGTTGCCTTGACAACGTGTAAACGAACTTGCTGCACGCACACAATCCACGAATTTGTTTACCTTTATCGCAACATTTAACAATAACATGTCTGCAATATGATGGCGACATGTGGTACATGTATGTGGCAATTATACTTATGCAACAGACGCGATCCATCGATTTTCGAGACCGTGACGTTGCAGTATCGATCCGCAACATAATTAAATTATATCTAATAATACGTTACAACATATAGAGAAATGTATTATTTTCAATACCGGAAGTTACATTAAAAGCATAACCTCATTTTCGCTCGCTTCTATAAATTTATTTTATTTTATTGGTTTTCAATGCACTAATCTCTAAAATAAACAAAACATTCGTATTATTTACAAGAGAGTATCACAAAAACACAAACACTCACACCGTGTGGAATGTTCACCGGAATAACTACAATCGTCATACTACAACTGTCATTATTCAGATACTTTGCACTTTCACACTTTGTATCCTCCCAAAGCGTATCAATCTGTCAACTTTGATACTGGGAGCAAAACAAATATTAATCCATTGGTCACACTAGCGTGACTAGACATAAATCAACAACTGAATGAAAAAATGGCTAAGATCTATCTAATGATACTGACTGTGTGTTTGGTGTGCATAGCCGATACAAAGTAATTAAAATTAAGCACACACAACGCTTGAAACTGTGATCTAAGTTTAGGTTGGTTTTATTCTGTAATTATCTTCTACCTACAATGCTTCTTCTGCCTCTGTTTGTCTCTCACGATGTCCTGCATACGGTGATTTGGTTGAATGCGCAATTTATATAAATTAAATTTCACTAACAATAAATAAAACTCTGGATATCGGTATACATCTGCCGATATTTATGAGTTACCTCGGATGGGTAGCGAAAATGTTCGAATTACTGATGGTAATCATGTTAAAAATTAATAAGAATAGCGACTGGTTGGTCGTCGTCAATCAATCTAAATGCGGCGCGCTGGTCAGGTTCGAAATGTCGTCCAAACTCTTGATGGCTTTCTGCGAGATGTCGTCCATGGATTTCTTCGCGCTGCTGGTGATATCATCGATGGATTTGCGCGTCTGGTTGATGAGCTCGTCGGTGGACTTGAGCGTGCTGTTGGCGATCTCCTTCATTTCGGCGTCCAGTTTGCCTATCACCCATTCCATCGCCTGACGGCCTTTGCCAGCATTTAGTGAGATCTTGTTGGTGAGGATGTCCTCCATGTAGTTTGTGAGTGGTACGCCTTTGACGGTGACTACCGCTTCTTGTTTCAACAGTGTTTTTGACGAGTCGCTTGGATGTGGGACGTATTTCAGTGTTTCATGAACGGCGATGTGGCGGCAGAAGGTGAGATTAATCGTCTTCATGATCATTTCACGGCTGATGGGATTCACGAGGGATTTTTCGCTTGCGTAGCAGATTTTCGCGTTGCCAATAATCTGTAAACAATAAAATATCGTTAACATTTGCCCCAGATACGCCCTGGATTCATTATATTATCATTAAGAGCGTGTAAATAAAAAATACAAGAGTCATTAATGGAATAATAGAGCAGCTCATCAGTCTAGACGCGGTATTTAATGAGGCTAGTCAAGGCCAAAGTACAATAATTCACTTTCACTATCTCTGTGTTATCTTATCTTATCTAAATGTGTTATTATAATAAAAATTTATTTGTTTCAAGATATTACAAGGCGCTATCATGTAAGAAAATTGTTTTATACGCAATAATTTACAGTTTCCTGTAAATAAATTTCACGGAAATGTTTTGTTTCATTGTGCGTGGCCTAAAAATTCTTTTTTTGAGTAAAAATAGTATTGCGTAACCTTGGCAAGCGACACGAATGACGTACATGCGCACAGACTCGATTCCAAGCGCCAAGTTTCAAGTTCATTGAATAAAACGCGATTTGTGACGTGCTCAACAATGTTACGTCAGGCGAAATCACCGTGTTGCTATGTGGGACACATTTTTGAAAGATATAATACCTAAGAATTACTCATTTGTCCTTACAAACGGACATGAAGAATAATTCGATGAATTTTCTAGATATTTAATTATATAGAGCCGACAATATTGACAATGATGAGACATCGGAATGCATGGGAATTAAAACAGTTGACCGCCAAGCGCGTGTCCCCCGCATACTCGCACACGCTTCGGAAATGTTCAAAGTCCCCGACAACAAACACGAGCAGCACTGGCGGCACGTGAATCAAATGATTCGCGACCGATGAATCGATCCAATTTCGAAAGCGCGAGACGCTTTTCTTTGAGAACTTGAGAACTTTCGTTTTCGACCTTCCGAACCCAGCTGTGGTCCAAGTGATAGACGCGCACGTGTATGCACGCTCATACACTTGGAAAACATCCAATATTAATTATAACTTCATGAGTGTGACCTATCCTTTGGTATCATATTTTTCACAAATTAAGAATGATTTTTATTGCGGCATAATCATGAATTAAAAGTGGAAATGTTTTGAGTAGAAATCTGTAATTTTGACTTACTGTCTGAGCCCATGATGGAAAATACCACTTGGAGCTAACAAGCCTGTGAGTGTGCAGCACGCCATCAACAACCTCCCGGTCCACAACGTCGGTGCCGACCACGGCGGGATTGTGTGGGTTCGGATACTTTCGCCAAGCAGCCGTCGCAACCGTCTCCCAAGGGTGACTAAAATAAGAAGTACGGAAATGGTCACATTCCAGAATTTTCCATTGAACGGTGCAAAGATTGAATGAAATAATGATGCAATACTCACTTGAACGTATGTTCACTTGTCCAAATTTTCATGATGAAGGTGGTGATCGGTCTGTGTAAATCCAAAAAATGCCTTTGGAAATGATTCACAAACGGATTATTAGGAGGTTACTCAATCCGAACTACTTGACAGGCCTTCGCAGACAGAGAGCGCGAGGAAAAGTCAGCGAACGTAACCAACCTTCACGGACACATTTATATAAGTCGACGTTGCCATAGTGAAATTCAATACCAACACAACACAAAAATCACTAGACTTGCAATATTTTGCCTATCTTTTTGATTAAAGTAATAATTACTTGACTTTTACGTAGAAAATTAATTAATTCAACTAAAATCTATTTATATTTATTATTTAATTGTGCAAAGATTGATTTTACCATTGATTTATTAAAGACAGTTGGTAAGATTTCTCGAAATTGCAAAACGACAGGCCGAATGACAGAGCGCACCGAATCTGACCGAACGGCAACATTGTGAAAATTGCTCTAAGGTAAAACGAGGTGATTAGCGTTTTGTTGAAATATATCGCGGCATCGCGGGGATCGTCTTCGCCGCGTTGAATAACACGGCATCGTCAAGTGATTGTTGAGTTGCGGGTGGAGCGCTACGTCAGCGAGGCATCGCCAATTGAGTCTTAAGAGGAGGGCGTGCTTGGACCGGCGTCGCACATTTGCGCTTGTCACATTGTTCGCGTTCGTCAAAAATGGCGTCCGACCCAAATTACAAGTTTCGGATGCAAGTGTTCAAGAATAAAGGAAAAGATCAAGATGTAAGTAACTGCACGTCACTCATATCTTCGCACCGCACAACAATCCGGCGATCGTCGATTGTTTCGCATTGTGCGAATCGACTCATTAACCTCATACTTAGACATAGCCTAAAAGGTCAACACCTAACTCACATGTCCAAAGGTAGAATCTCATGCGCAATAATTAAATACGTATTGTAGGAGATGCGTCGAAGGAGAAACGAGCAGACGGTGGAGCTACGCAAAAACAAGCGCGAGGAAACTCTCCAGAAGCGTAGAAACGTACCAAAGCCAGATTCCACAGATGAAGATGATGTTGATAGGTCTGCCAACTTGGATAAACTGGTACAGCAAGCCGGACAGACTGCAGATCCTCAACTGCAGCTCTCTGCAGTGCAGTCTGCTCGCAAGCTGCTCTCTTCCGACCGCAACCCGCCCATTGACAACTTAATATGCAGTGGTATTCTGCCAATTCTTGTGAATTGCCTTAAATGTCACGATAATCCACCCCTGCAGTTTGAGGCAGCGTGGGCGTTAACAAATATTGCGTCCGGCACATCGCAGCAGACGAATCAGGTGGTGCAAGCGGGCGCTGTACCGTTGTTCTTAAATCTTCTGCAATCGCCGCATCAGAATGTGTGTGAACAGGCGGTGTGGGCGCTAGGTAACATCATTGGCGACGGGCCCAATTTGCGCGACTATGCGATTGAATTAGGCGTTGTCAAACCTCTACTCTCGTTTATCAATCCCGGCATACCCATCTCCTTCCTGAGGAATATCACGTGGGTTATTGTGAATTTATGTAGGAATAAGGAACCGCCACCGAGCATTGTCACGATTAAGGAGCTGCTGCCATCTCTGAATCTTCTTATTCACCATTCAGATATTAATGTAAGTTTCAATCTTAATAAATTCACTCGGAAATGTAATAAAATATGGCATGACGTTGCAGATTTTAATTGATACTGTGTGGGCGTTGAGTTATCTAACAGACGGCGGCAATGAGCAGATTCAACTTGTTATCGATAGCGGCGTGGTGCCGAAACTGATACCTCTTCTCAGCCACAAGGAAGTGAAGTTACAAACGGCCGCTCTGCGCGCCGCTGGTAACATTGTCACCGGCACCGATGAGCAGACGCAGGTTGTGCTTAACTGTGACGCGCTTTCGCATTTCCCAGCGCTGCTCTCGCATCAAAAGGAGAAAATCTGCAAAGAATCGGTCTGGTTCCTATCGAATATCACCGCCGGCAATCAGACGCAGGTGCAGGCCGTCATCGAAGCTGGTCTGCTGCCGAGTATCATCCAGAACCTCAGCAAGGGAGACTTCCAGACGCAAAAGGAAGCCGCCTGGGCGATTAGTAATCTCACTATTGGTGGCAATCGCGATCAGGTTATCAAACTTATACAGGAGGGCGTAATTCCGCCGTTCTGCGACTTGCTGAACTGTAAAGACGCGCAGGTTATTCAGGTGGTGCTCGACGGCATCAACAATATGCTCAAAATGGCCGGCCCGCAGGCGGATCATCTCGCTAACATGATTGAGGAATGCAATGGGCTGGATAAGATTGAGAGTCTACAGAATCATGACAATATCGAGATTTACAAGTTGGCCTATGATATTATTGAACAGTACTTTAGTGGTGATGTAAGTAACTCAAAAATAAGTTTTTTTCTGCTTCAATTGCCACTTTTTTCACGGTTTTTAGACACGGCCGTGACTAAAGTACTTCTACGTTGCTAAAAGTGCCGTTTTGCTCATTTGATATCTGATATACTATTAATACACTCAGCCTGCTTCTAATTCTTAAATTTTTGTTGGTTTAGGGTGAAGACGATCCAAACTTAGCGCCGACCGTTGGCGATACTGAATTCCAGTTTGACCCGAGCACAAATGTGCCCAATGAAGGCTTCAAATTCTAGACAAAAAGAAAAGCAACACACAGAAACCAGCAAGCAAGACGTAACCGAAACTAAAGATAAGCAACTGTTATTATATCTTCTTCGTAAATAATGCTGCGACAAAATTCAAAGTGAACACACACCCTTCACACTGACATAACAACACACAAGACACACACACATTTAGTTGCATTTCGTGCAAACGAATATCCTCGACGAAATGAATGCCATGTTACGCTTCCAACGACAGTGTGTGCCCACTGTAGACACTGACAGACAACATTTTATACTTTTACGCGCATAGTAAACGCGACTTATCGTACGTATCAACTCGTTGATATCTGGATATGAGTTTTTCTTTTGCTGTCTATTTGCTGTCCTCATCATCGTGAATGCAATAAAAAGACACTTTGCTTCGATCAGAATTGAAATTTTAATCATGTTAGGTTATTAAGCGTCCTTTTATCGCATCGCGTGCGCTCGAGAGCAGCGAATAAACACGATTTTATAAATTTACGAATTTATTTCCGAATGAGTAGGCAACCATGATTACATAAGCAATTAAGAATGTGGACACAATCAATCGCGATACACTCGAAACTTGCAAGAACATCAACAACACATGAAATGCGACAAAAACTTTTAGGATATATAATAAATTACTTTTTTAATATGACTTCTCTTTAATTTACGGAATCAAATTTAGCGGTGTTATTAATTTTTTTCTTTGAATGGATGATGGTTCAATGAGCAATTGTGGCGAGGCTGGGCGGCTCAAGGAGTGAAACAAGCGTGTGATACATTCGATATAAGCGTGTATGTGATCTTCAGTATGACATAAGTAGAAAGTAATCTGCGCATGAATGTAACTTTGAGTTGAAACTTTTGAATTTTTGGACGATTTTCTCGGGTCATGTTGTGTGTATATCAATTATTTGTATGTAAACTAATGATGACTCTATTCCACCAGCAAGCTAGTGCAAATGTATCAGAATGTGATTATTATGTTTGTATGTATCCTGGCGGCATTAATGATGATGATTCGCTATTAATTTCAAATATATGAACTTTATATGAGGGAAAATGAGCGCGTGAGCATCACGGAGCGGGCAATCGATGACAGCTTGTTGCGACGCACGTAAATGATGTGTATGCAAATGACTGATCTAGAATGATTTAAGTGTTTTAGTTTAATAGATACAAGTGCGGAACAATGTGCTGGTCGATCGCCTGCTTTCGAACTCGTTGCGTGACTTGGCTGTATTTACCTAGTGAGAGATGAAGAGATGAATGCGTGCTGTGGGGCGACTGTTGTATAATAAATTAGGGTATATATATATTTGCTCCGCGAAGTCGATAGGCGACGATAGCGCACTTAGTGGCGGTTTGTTTGCGTCGCTGACGCTATTGTACTTGATTTGCAATTTGCATTCGTCGTGCAAACGCAGCTAATTTTTCGGTTTCAAAGTAATACAATGAAAATATTAGTTAACAATCTGTACATTTATATAAAGTAATAATTATTATTAATAATAAAAATAATATTTTAAAGTTCTTGTAATTTATTTTAGGTATTTGCATATAACAAACGCATTTTACACACATTTTCATTGTTTTTACGTTAATTTCACCCAAAATTTATAAAATTTGATGTATTGTATAACTAAATTATGTAAATTGTAAATACGCAACCCAAACAGCAACGGCGGCCATTTTATTGCATATACTACAAGTCTACAAGATGCAAAATCTAAATATGTGTTAATATTACAGAATACTTAATGTAAACCTTCAGAAATGTTGATTTCCAAACACAGTTTTCTCTGTAACACCATTCTTAATCATAATATGTGAATCCGAAGGGAATTTAACGCATAGCTTGAGCGAACCACTAGAAATCACCAATTTTTGCGCATTATCGCTTTTATTTCTATCATTATCTAAACTAAACTGTTTTTGTACTTTAGGAATCTTTAGTTCTTTTCCCGAACGTGCTTTAGATGATGCGCATTTTTTACTATCACCATTTGTGATAGTTTTATCACAAGTTTTAATATCAATTACAGGTAGAGATTTACTTCGTTCTCGACCCATCGTTTTGGACCACTTTTTTGGTTCCTCCCAAGGTATACGCTCCGAATCATCGGATTTTAACGTGAAAATATGCGGACTACACGCAAGGCATTTCGATTTACGTAGATGTAAATGATTTTGATTCTGATCGACGATATTCTCTTGACTGTGTTGAATACTTGAGCTGTGACTTGAAGGTCTACTCATAGTTGAAGAACAACGTAGAGGGACACGATTTAAATACCTTTAATGTTAAAATTTATTATTTTAAACAATTAAATACTTGCTTTTATTATATTTACTTTGATTGTTGTGGTGGTATATTCCAATTATCCACTCTGTTCGTGTTCATAACATAATTAATACGTCGTAATAGAATCAAGTTGTCGTTTTCTATCTGCCGCATTCTTTCGATTTCATTTTGTCGCTTTTTAAGTTTCACTGCGACATGTTGCCGGGATATTGGCGGTCTGTTATCAATAACCGGCACTGCGGAATTAATCTAAACCACAAAGTATTGATAAAAATGTGGAATTATTCGTTAAATTAAGTAGATTTGTGTTATATGCTTACTTTTCTGAGATGATTTTCATATTTTCGTTGCTCCCACGGATTGTTTAACAGTTTATCGCGTCTTGTTATCATTTTTATATTGATTAGACGTTCTACATTAAAGTTACACTAGTTTTACTTGCATGCATTTGGTGACGTGGGTTTTGTTTGTTTGTTTTCGTCGTCATAACTGGTTGCGTAGCAACTGATTAACCGACTGGGGTCTAATCAGTCAACACATTGATTGTTGGTTTGATGGACTTGGGATTGAATCTCACAGTCGGAAATTGGAAGCAGGGGACGCCATTATGAAGGATTAGATATAATAGAATACAATGCATATAAATATAATGTAACTACTGAAAAGAAATGATTTTTAAAGTGAAAACTTCTTTAGAATCGTTGTGATTTCAAAATTAATGAAACTTGTCCATTTTTCTTCTGAATTAAAATTTTATCTCTTAAATTTCCAATTTATTTCCAGCTTATTTTATAGAGAATTTTCCGACTTAATTCAGGGCACCGTACAAGGGTAGCGGTAGAAGTGACTCAATTCAGCGCACCGTATGAGGCTAGCGGTAGAAGTGACTCAATTCAGCGCACCATATGAGGCTAGCGGTAGAAGTGACTCGATTCAGGGCACCGTATGAAGTTAGCGGTAGAAGTGACTCGATTCAGGGCACCGTATGAAGTTAGCGGTAGAAGGGACACGTTTTCAGGGTACCCTACGAGGCTAGCGGTAAAAGTGACTCGTATACAGGATACCGTACGAAGGTAGCGATAAAAGTGACTCCCATTCAAAGCACCGTACGAATATTTTATAATCATCAAACCGCTGATCGCTATCCATTTTATTTTAGAAGATATTTAGGGTACCGTACGTGGATGAATGTATAGCTGACATTTGCCCATTTTTTCTTAGGACTTATAATTTCATCTCTTAAATTTTAACTGACCAAAAATTTAAAAATGTCACTTTCTTGTACTTTTAGTCGCGTTTTTCGACATTTTCCTGTTGGAAATATAATTATTTTATATTTTTATCTGATAGAGAATCTTCCAATCTTTCATAATCAACAATTCGTTGGTAGCTATCTCTTTTAGTTTAAGAGATATGAATTTTTGAAAATCGTCGAAAAAAAGTATCAAGCACCCCCCCTTGCCCATTTTTTTCTTATGACTCAAAATTTCATTTCTCAGATTTCGATTTTAACTAGTCTATCTTGTAGAGAATGTTTCGTAGATTAAGAATCTACGATTTGGCCTTCCTATCTCTTTTAGTTTTCGAGATATTCAAATTTGAAGAAAATGGGCAAAAATTGCAAAATGTCACTTTTTAGCACTTTTAGTCGCGTTTTTCGACCGTTTACTGTAGGAAATATAATTATTTTATATTTTTATCTGATAGAGAATCTTCCAATCTTTCATAATCAACAATTCGTTGGTAGCTATCTCTTTTAGTTTAAGAGATATGAATTTTTGAAAATCGTCGAAAAAAAGTATCAAGCACCCCCCCTTGCCCATTTTTTTCTTATGACTCAAAATTTCATCTCTCAGATTTCGATTTTAACTAGTCTATCTTGTAGAGAATGTTTCGTAGATTAAGAATCTACGATTTGGCCTTCCTATCTCTTTTAGTTTTCGAGATATTCAAATTTGAAGAAAATGGGCAAAAATTGCAAAATGTCACTTTTTAGCACTTTTAGTCGCGTTTTTCGACCGTTTACTGTAGGAAATATAATTATTTTATATTTTTATCTGATAGAGAATCTTCCAATCTTTCATAATCAACAATTCGTTGGTAGCTATCTCTTTTAGTTTAAGAGATATGAATTTTTGAAAATCGTCGAAAAAAAGTATCAAGCACCCCCCCCTTGGCAATTTTTTCTTACGACTTAAAATTTCATCTCTCAGATTTCGCTTTTTACTAATCTATCTGATAGAGATTGGTCCGTAGGTTAAGACGCTGCGATCAGATCTTATTTATCTCTTTTAGTTTACGAGATATTTGCGATTGAATAAAATAATTTTTAATTGGTCGCTGTCGCGTTTAGTTTAGAAGATATTCACTCACCATTTTTTAAATTAGTTTATTCTACAACAGTTGTCAAATACAAAAAGAACGCAGTATCGGCAGTATTACATATTACATATATCAACATCCTCTACGCAATTATTAATTACTTTATTACGTTGCTGTTACACTCTTCTATATTCTCTCCTTTGTACGAATTGAAATCTAACACTCTACTGGCAGCCATATTGCTTTTTGTAAACGCAAACACATCAATACATCCGTCAAACATCAACCCATCGAAAGGTGCGTCAATCTTTCTACTCTCCCACGAATAATTCGCAGGAACACCACCGAGATAAAACTCATCAAAGTCTACATTACTAAAATTCCCAACGTTGTATTCCTTTGCATCGATTGCAATTCTAAACGGATTGAATTTCAACACCATCTCATGATTCATTCCGTCATTTAACACTGGACTACTTAGCAGTTCTATTTCTTCTTTCCTGTTCATAAGCGTGAGTTTACCATTTTGTAAACCCAAAACAAACCAATTTTCAGCATTAGATAGTAGAATTAGTCCATCTGAAGCTGTCACAAAATGTATTGTAATGTTTTTTGATGATTCGGCGATTGAATTACGCTTTTTACCACTGATAACACCCAAATTACTTTCAATCTCCACTGGTGCCGGATAATTTGATGCATTCACATACAAATAACTTCTCCCAACGAATTTCGGACTTCGGATAGTCAAGCCTGTTTCACACAATGCACCAACATAACCAACTTTACACACACATCGCCCTTCTAAGCAATAACCTTCATTTCTACACTTGTGCTCAAGACAATCGTAAATCCTTTCACATTTTTCACCATAATACGGATCCGGACAATTACAATGTGGACGTATATTCGGATCCAACCAACATGTTCCACCATTAGAACAATAATCACCACCACATGGCGTTCCGTCACAATCTTCCAAATTCTGTCCTTTTAGAATTGTCTTCTCATTCAAAGGTACATGAACTGTATCGATGAATAACTTTCGAATGCATCCTTTATAAAACGTGGGGTATTCACAAGTTGCTTCGGGTGGTAATTGTGACAAATCAGGCATACCACCTAAGTAAATCATTTCACTGCTTAAGTCAAGACTATCCCCAATTTGCATTATAGCTGTATTAACAATATTATCCACAAAAAGATAAACTTTCCTTCCGTAGACTTGTATTTTTACCGAGTGCCACATTCCTAAACGCAGTAATTTATTACTGCGGAGAGTAATACGATCACGTCGATTGCGACGTTGCCGACTTGGCAGTATACGCAATTCAAGCAATCCGCTTAACATACTCAGTGAAAAGAAGTAATCATGGTTGCCTATGAATGCAATCAGTCCATCTTTGAATGGACGTAGCTCCAGATCAAAATTAAATTTGTTTACTTCAAAAGTTCTTGGGCCCAAGAGCAAATAGCTTCGGACACCGGTGAAACTAATATCGGAAAGAGTTTCATCTAGAAAATATTAAAAATTAGGTTGCATAACATTAATAATTGTGATTTTTGGGTTGCATAAATTAAAATACTTACTATCTTGACAATATTTTCCTTTTTTATTCAGGGCACAATCACATTCATATCCTGCAATCATCGGAACACAATTTGCTGATGGTGCGCAACTGCTGCGATCACACAGGTTGAATTTATTCGAACACAAAGGACCGTAGAAGCCATCTTGACACATACATCTTTTTAAAAAATATCATAATTAGTTTTAAAATTGTGGTTATGTAGATAAAGCACTTACGTGAATGTACCGCCATGATATAAACAAGCCCCGTGATTTTGACACACGCCTTCATAACATTCAGTGGTACCACATTGACCTACTGCACGTCCGGTGATTTTACCATTGTCCAGTGAGACTGTAACATCTCCCACTTTAAAAATCATATCAAACATACATCCAGCAAAACCGGTGTGTAATGGTAAATCATGCGGTAGTCCTTGGAATCCTTTACTTTTATAACCTCCAAAGTAAATCAATGGTTCCACATCCAAATGCGTTAAACTTCCCTGTGATCTCCCCGTGACATTACCGATATTCTCAACGTGTAACCAAGCGCGTCTTCCTAACCTTCCAACTTGTATCTCATAACTTGCTTTGTCTGCAGGTATGGGTTTCTCTGTGAAAATACGTCTTGGTCCTGCTCCCAAATTCCATGTGAGCATAATAAATCCTTTCACGAATGATACAGACATGTGACTTGAATGAAAATCATGTTGTCCTTCTTGTCCCATGAACATTAGCAATGAGATCTGATTGAGGTTACTTGGAGTGATCTTAAACTTGATGTACATGTATTTATAAGATGCTTTTGGGATAGTGTGGGTTGTGTATGAGGCATATCCTTGCACTGATGACGAGTAATATGCCTTGGAGATTTTCAAATCTAAAATTAAAGGTTATTAGTGTGATTAGGCTTGAATTGAGGTTATATTTACCGTTTTCACAAAAATGTCCGTGTTTACCATACGGACATAAACATAAATATCCACTACCAGTGAATGGTAGGCAGGTACCACCAAATTTACACGGGTTGTTGTCACACACGGATGTTTCACATTGTTTGCCGACATATCCGTTGGTACACTTGCAGAAATAGTTGTTTAAAGTGTTTCCGGGTAGCGCTGTACAACTAGCGCCATTTTTGCATGGATTTGATAGGCATGCTAATGAAGAACACTCGGAAACTCCATACGCATCCACTGCGTCCTTGAAAATCCTCACAGCTTTCCCCGAAATTAATAAATCCGACATGCAACCGATAAAACCGGTTAATTTAAGCATGGAGTTAGTTTTTTCGCTCAAACCACCGAGATACAAATGCGACGCCATTTTGAATTTTAAAAAGTCATTAAAGTTTGCAATTTGTGCTCCGGACATTGTCAAAGTATCATTTAATTTAATAGAAGCATTGCAGTGTTGATGATCGTCCGAAAAAGTTAACCTTGAAAATAAACACATTATAAGTAACTTTACATACATAACCTTAATTATTAATTATATACAGTGCACTTATCCGCATTTCATTTCCATTGTTGACTGGTTTATTCAATTCGCTGAGGAGCATTGTTTGATAGCCGCATGAAAATTTAAACTTTAAATGTGCTTGCTCCATGTACAGTGCCATGTAAGTGTCCTGAATATTTGCGTAGAATAAAACGCCGGATTCCCAAGATGTCCGCGCGGTGAATGCCACCTCCATTTGGGACCCAGCGGACATTTTGTGTAAAATATACGAGTTTCCGTTGAACGCAGCGTTTGTTACGCCCAAAGCAAATTCACATCGTTCTCCAGAGTAGTCATACACGCATGCGCAGCGGAAACCATCCGCGTAAATACACGTGCCGCCATTTAAACATGATTGATTCAATTTTGAGCAATCAAATTGAGTGCTACTTGTTGTAGTTGTTGAATAATCAGTTGTTGTTTCTGTATTGGTCGATAATTCTGTAGTTGTTTCTAGAGTTGTTTCTAAAGTTGTTATTGTAGTAATATCATTCGGTGTTGTTGTTGTTGTGGTGGATATTGTGCTTATGAAGTCAGTAACATGCGGAAAACCAGTTAAATCTTTGGTTGTTTCTGTTGTTAATTCAGTTGTAGAAAGTGTAACGGTAGTTGTATCACTTTCAGATGTTGTTTGATCGGTTGTAGACGTTGTGGACAATGAAGAACTTGGTGTTAAGGAAGTTGTAGTTAATTCTGTAGTTGAACTAGTACTTAGAATTGTTAAGGGAGTAGTTGTTTCAGTTTCTGTAACTGGAACTGAAGTGGTAGTGGAACTAGTACTGGAATTATCACTTTCTGTAGTAATTGTAATTGGTATTGTGACCAGGTTAGGTCCAGTTGATTCAGAACTAGAATTCTGAGGAAATTCTGTAGTTGTTATTGTTTCTGTTTGAGTTTCTGTATCTGTGATATTCCAAAAATCAGTAATAGTTAATGTTGTGTCGTTGATAAATTGTGTTGTTGGATAAGTAGAAGTTGTATAATTTGTGGTAATTGTTATATCTTCAGTCGTAGAAAATGTAGATGTTATTGTAGTAGTATCAACGCTTGTTTCTGTAGTTAAAATCTCAACAGGTGTTGTTGTGGTAGATTGTTCAGTTGTAGTTATAGTTATAGTTGTGCTTTCTGTTTCCGGGGATGTCGTAAACGTTGTTAACGTTTCTGTTGTTGTAGACATAGAACTTGAAGTAGACGTAGACGTAGAACTTGAACTAATTGTGCTTGGTAGCGTAGAGGATTCCGTTGAAGTTTCCATAGTTTCTGTGGTTGAAGTAATCGCTTCGGAAGTTGTTGTAAATTTCGAATTTGGCACAGTTGTTGTTGGCGTTGTAAAAATAGTTGTCTCAGTAATTTCTGTAGTACTTGTAGGCGCATTGGTGATTACTCCAATGGTAGTCATTAACGTGGTGTCTGTGAAAGTAATCATATCCGTAGTACGCGTCATATTCGCAGTCGTCATTGTCGGCGTTATTAAACTGCAATCCAAGTAAGTCCCACCTCGCAACTCCACAATCAAACATTCACAGTAGAATCCTGTTAAATGCGGAGGACATGAACATGTGAAACCATCAACGCCATCTATACAACTTCCACCATTAAGACACCTGTAATATTATAACCTAAATGAAACAACATTTAACCTAGAAAACACTGTTACCAACCTGTTGTTACTAAGTTTACACTCATCGTACTGCCATTGACATCTCTCGCCATGATAATCCGGTACACAATAACACACAGGTTTATCATCCTCCATTAAACACAACGCGTCATTTCTGCACGGATTATCTTCGCAAATCAACACAGCTTCCTCACAATTCCTCCCAGCGAAACCAAACGTACATGCGCATTCGTAATCTGCATGTAAGTCAACACAAACGGCGCCATTTTGACACGGATGCGACATGCATTCATCAATCTCCAACTCACACAGCAGTCCAGTCCATCCATCGAGACATTTACAATGAAAAGTAAATCCGGGACCTTCAAGACACACACCGCCATTATTACAGCGTGCCTCATTGGTAAGATTACACACTGCGACATCCAATTCGCAATGTGCGCCTGAATATCCCGGCAGGCAATTACATGTGTATCCATTTGCTGCGTCCAAACATGTGGCATTATTATGACATGGATTGCTCAGACATTCATTGAGATTCTCCTCGCATAAATCACCGGCAAAGCCCGAAGGACATGTGCAGTTAAAAGCAGCGATGCCATCTTGACACAGGCCGCCATTTTGACATGGATTCGACCAGCACTCGTCCCAATTCGTCTGGCATTGTATGCCTGTGTAACCATCAATGCAATAACAAGAATAAGTGGTGTTTAAATCATCCAAACACACACCATGGACGCAAGGATTACTCAAACACGCAAATCCTCCATCGGTAAAGTTTAAATAACTAAATAAACTCACAAACGTTAATAATTTAAGGTAGGCAAACACTTTGACATTCACTTTCTGCATACACATGTCGTTAACATCAATTAAAATTCACTTCCGCGCGGAAGAAGAGTTCGTTTATTGATTTAATAACGAATTCGATTTAATATGTTTTTTTTATGATTCACTTTGTTGTATTAATAACTTTTATGTTTTTAGTGTGGATTGTTTGTATTGGTTTGAAGTGTGCGATGTGCGCTCGTCTGGTGGTCACAGCACATGTGGACTGATTTATTAACTAATTCACCCTCATAACATTTACCTGCTGCGTGGTGTGTGCAATGTGCGCGGTGGTGAACTGTTTATTATCAAACCGCATTGGTGCGTGATAGCGTGGTGAGTAGTGGTTGGAAAAGGGTCGTTGGCGTGACAACCACACAATCAAACAAAACAAATCCCTACGAACGAGTCTGTCGTAATTTATTCTATAAATAGTAAACGTTTCCGGAGTTCATTCGTCTTGCACCGACGTATTGTGTCGATTGATTTAACATTATCATTATCAATGGCGGCCATTTTAAATTTCATTCATGAGTATTATTAATTTCCGCTATTGCCATCTATAGGTGTTAATAGAAATGAATATTACTTAAGTATGTAGTACAGAGCGTAAGCTACGAAGACTATGGATTCTGTTCTTGTTTTAATAACGGTATTGAGTCAGTTGGTGGTCGGTGTGGTCCGTGACCGACTCAACTTGAATGGAGTTGCATGTAGAATCAGTCATCTGTGATGTTGCCTCAGTTCACCTGGAGAAACAGGTAGAAGAAGCACTGGAGCGGAATAAATTTGCTTCCCGATGTGCGCACAATGTTTGCTTATTGCTCGAGTTGATGACATTTACCTTTAGTTGTTGGAAATAAGTTAAATGATGTTAATTGAAGTGAAATAAAGGTGAGTGAATATTTTTATTAACGGTATTGAATATAAAATATTGTAAATTACTTTTTAGAAACATTGTGGACAAAAACACAATGGATCCAGGAATAATATGCTTCCAACATTGTGGACCAAAAGTCTTCTGCATGAATCTAACAGAAAAGTGCCCTACATGCGAAGAAGATCTCTCAGAAGCAAAATTTCTATTGATGCCTTTTAGGTTAGCAATACACACAACATTTAATACAAGAGTTATTTTAATAATTGTCTTTGTAGAGTTCCGTATCCATTTGTACGAGCATCACAATATCCTTGTGCAGTTGTTATCAAACCCACCGTTGGAGATTTCCTCAAGTATGTTTTTTGTTTGATTTTTCGTGTGTACAACAGCGCCATCTATAAGTTTATGATTGTTTTAGTGATTACTACAATTCAATGGATCTTCACATTGGTGTGACAAATTCATCGGGATTAATCGTTGAATTTGATAAGCATGGTTTGCGTCGTCACAAGAGCAAAGAATGGGATCAATGCTTGTTGTTGGATCAAGTTGACACGCCGTGGCGGGAGCATTGGGATAATGTGCTTACAACATTCTGTAAGGATTCTTGCTGGACAGCCAAAGATTACGACGAGGATGCGCATAATTGTTATTCGTTTGTTTTGTGTTTCTTATGCGCGTTGGATTATGGAACATTGAGCACCGCAGCGGCTAATCGTTCCTTGTTCTGTGAACAGTTTATTGTTGGCCGCACGACTAGTGCGGGAAAATATATATCTTTGTTTCGGAAACTTAAGGAGCGGTGTTTCTATGTACACAAGGAATAGGAATAGTATTATTTATTGTTGGTAATAAATATTGTTGGGTATTTAGTTGACAATGTGATGATAATTTCAATTTGTTTTATTTTATGTTTCATGCAGCAGCGCTATCTAACGGCAAGCATCATAATTAGTAGTACATAACATTCCGAGAATACCGGAACAGTCCGAACTAATCCGATACTCACCAACAGCATATTCGGCTAGTGTGAGTGCTGACAAAAAATAAGATATCAGTGCAAGTGATTCCCAAGTTTAGTTCGTCCTAAATCCTTCGTGGAGGTGGACGCTTTTCTATGGAAATCAGTCCGGGATAAATTTTTGTCTTCAGTGTTCATCAGGAATTTTGCAACAAGATAACAGCTAATATCAACATCGACGATGTCACAAAGGGGTTAGTAGGCAATATTAATATGTTTTTATCATTTTCTCCTTCCAAAACAAGTATTGCACAATAGGTGGTATACTATTTCATCATGTATCATACCCTAATGTTATCATATTTTATGAAAATAGCAATTTAAGAAATTGTATCTGCCAGATGCCCAATTTTGTTTATGTTTTACCTGTTGTTAATTATCAGGAGGTGGAAGAGGAAGAGGCCAAGGGAGAGGTGGCCAAGGTGGTCAAGGCAGAGGTAGAGGTGGGCCACAAGATTCTCAAGGTAGAGGAAGAGGTGGTCACCAGGATAATCGAGGTAGAGGAGAACGTGGTAGAGGTGGGCATGGGCAACAAACTCCTGGTGGTGGTGCTCCACCTCAAACACAGCCACAACAAGCACCTCCACAAGGTGCTTGGGGTCAACCACGGCAACAACAACCGCCTCCGCAACAACAACAAGCTCCTCCGCAGGGTGCTTGGGGTCAACCACGACAACAACAACCGCCTCCACAGCAACAACAATTTCCTCAACAACAGCAGCAACATCCCCGACAGCAACAACGTCCCCCACAACAACAACAGCAGCAGCAGAAACGTCCTCAACAACAACAACCTTCTGCTAGTGGTGGTAGTGGTGAACCATCTACCAAATCTTCCCCCGCGTCAGTCCCAAGTGCAGGTGGCGGAGATGCATTCAAAAAGCGCGAAATCATTGCAAAAGGTGGCACTCAAGGTCGAAGGGTAGAGGTCTACACAAATCATTTCGCTATGAACTTCAGAGATATAAACCAAACTGTCTACCAATATGATGTAGTCATTGACCCAGACAGACCTAAGAAACAAATGAGAAAAGTAATGGAACATTTCAAACAGAAACACTACCCAAACATTAATCCAGCTTTTGACGGATCAAAAGCGCTTTTCAGCGTAAAACAATTTCAATTTGGAGAGTCAATTGAAGGTAAACACATTTTAATATTCACTAAGAATTCAATAGATATTATTTAAATCGCAGATACCGTCAGTGTAATGCTAGACGACCGCGCCAAAGAATACAAGGTGAAGTTGAAGCTGGTGCAGAACATAAACATGGGAGAATTGAAGAAATTCTACGAGCAATTCCGCAATGGAATCATCACTGATGCACCGCAACTGGTACTGCAAGTCATTGACGTCGTCTTGCGCCATTCGCTCTCCCTGCGTCAGATTGTCGTTGGTAGTTCATTGTTTACTCCGCCAACAACCGACAGAACTGTTAATTTGGGCGGTGGAATGCATTTGTATCGCGGTATGTATCAGTCCGCCATTTTGGGCTGGCGTCCATTCTTGAATGTCGACGTTGCGAACAAGGCTTTCCCCAGCGCGTCAAATATCATTGATTTGATCCGGGAGTTTGGAGGTGATCCTCAAGGCCAACTGCCATATTATGTCACCGAAAAATTGCAGAAACATCTGAAGACTCTTAGGGTAAACTACATTAGTTAATAAGAAATTAATTAACTATAAAATAATACTAAATTCGTTTAGGTTCAGTATGAAATCCCGAGAAATTCATCTTCCAGGCGTAATTATCGCGTCAATGGATTAAACTCGACCGCATTGGAGCATCGTTTTGAACATGAGGGTAACACAATTGATGTGGCAACCTATTACAAAAACATTAAGGGTTATCAAATTCGATTCCCGCAACTGCCCCTATTGTGGGTCGGCTCTACGCAGAATCGTGTTCTTGTCCCGGCTGAATTGTGCACAGTCTTGCCCGGTCAACCTGTAAATCGCAAATGCGATGCGAATCAAACACGTAATATGATCCGCGAATGCGCAACGCATACAGACGTACGCAAGGGTAACATTAGTCACAACGTCGCGAACGCACGCTATAACACTGATCCAGTCGTGCAGGAATTTGGCTTCTCTGTCAGTGATCAAATGGAGAAGGTTGAGGCACGCATTCTGAATCCACCACGCATCAAGTACAAAAACAATGCGGTGGCACCCGTGGGGAAGGGTGTGTGGACCGGCCGCGAGTTTATGGTCTCTGGCGTGATTAAAACCGGATGGACGGTGTTGAATCTGGAGCGGTATGTGAAGCCGCAAGATGTGCAGAATTTGATTCGTCAGGCCGAGACGTGCGGCAAACAATTGGGAATGAACATGGGCGGGTATCAGGCGTATTCGAATCGTGAGGTGCAGTTGCGACGCAACCGGGAGAAGGAGGACTTGGAGGCGATTTTCCAGGATGTGAAGAAGCGCGGTCTGGACCTGGTGTTTGTTATCTTGCCGGGTAACAACGATAGAGTCTATAGTTTTGTCAAACATGCCGCTGAGATTGCCGTGGGATGCTTGACGCAATGCATTAAGGGTCAGACGCTGCAGAAACGCATGAATGACATGACGATGAAGAATATTTTACTCAAAGTTAACGCCAAGTTAGCGGGATCGAATCATTTCTTCGAGACGCTGCCTCAAGTCATGAGGGATAACTATGTTATGCTGATGGGCGCGGACGTTACACATCCGAGCCCGGATGTGAAAGATGGCTTCAGTGTGGCGGCGGTTACGGCAAGTCATTGCCCGAATGCGTTTGGGTACAATCTCTGCTGGCGTCTGCAGAAACCCGGCCAGGAGATAATTCTCGATATGGAGGATATCACTCGTCAACATTTGATAAGGTTTTATCAACAGAACAAGAAGATGAAACCGGAGAAAATTATTGTATTTCGCGATGGTGTCTCCACTGGTCAGTTTGAGGCGGTTTTGCAGGCGGAAATGCAAGCTATTCGCAGGGCATGCACAAAACTAGAGCCGAATTACAAGCCAGCGATTACGTTTATTGTGGTACAGAAGCGCCATCATACACGGTTCTTCCCGGTTGACAAGCGCATCAGCGAGGATAGGAACTGCAATGTTCCGGCTGGAACGATTGTGGATAAGTCTATTACCCATCCGACAAGACAAGATTTTTACTTGGTGTCGCACGCGAGTATTCAGGGTGTCGCTAAGCCGACGAAGTATGTTACGCTTTGGGATGATAGTCTTATTTCGGATGATCATCTTGAGGAGTTGACTTATTACTTATGTCATATGTTTTCGCGTTGTAATAGATCTGTAAGCTATCCGGCGCCGACTTATTATGCGCATTTGGCTGCTGCTCGGGGTAAAGCGTATTGCGATGCGAAAGGCAATATTAACACGAATAATTTGGAGCAGGAGCAACGCTTATTGAAGATTAAGGAGTGTATTATTGAGCAATTGCCAATGTTTTTCGTTTAGGTTCACTTATATTTAAACGCAATTTAATTTGTAAAAGTTTTTTTATGTAGAAGAAGTGCTTATTTTCATGGGGATTTAAATTGCGAGACTTGCGCAAATATTCATTTGTTAGCTTCCGATATAACCTAACATTTTTAAAGTTGATATGAGCAGATTCAGAAAGGTTTTTGGACCCTTATACGATACGTTTAATAAAATTTCTACCAGGAATGGGGAAGTAGGTATCCTTTTTTAAAAACCAAACAAAATTCCCTTAGGAAATCTTAAAAATAAGTAAGTATTTTACGATGAGGTTATATTTTCTTAATGCCCAACCTAGACATTCGGAGTGGCGAAAACTTGCAAAGAAGGCTCAAAGACAACGCAAACGACGTATAGCAGCCATTTTACGATCAGAATTAGAATCAGAAGGTTCTTATCTACTTAGACATTGCAAACTCTTCATTAATAGCTACTTTTAGAACAATTACAAAGAGAAAAATCACCATCTTATCAAAACTTTCTGCAAGAACAGCAACAGTTGGAGGAATTCCAAGCAGCAGAAGAACTTAGAATCTCGAAAGAACAAGAAGCACTTTATCAGAAAAGAGAAAAGGAAGCACAGGAAAAATGGCGTATGTTACAACAAAAACTACAAATTGCACAAGCTGCACGAACAGCACAAAATATCAAAATCAGAGAGGAATGGGAAGCAGAACAAAAAAGATTACAGGCTTTAAAGGAAGAAAAAGCTAGGCAAGAGGAATTACGAATATTACAAGAACAAAAACTCCAGCAGAAAATTGATGAATTTATAAACAACAATGGAGAGATGCCAGACGAATTGAATCAATGTTTAGAAACAAATCCAGGAAAGATTGTTTGTCCATTCTTTACCAGAACAGGCGCATGCAGATTTGGTGATATGTGCTCCAGGAATCACATCAGACCAACAATTAGTAATATCTTACTCTTTAAGAATTTTTATTCTCACTATAGTTTGGACACAAAAGAGAATGAGCATGGTGATGCATCACTGGAGTTTGAGAATCAAGAGATCTACAAACACTTTCAGGCTTTCTTCAATGATGTTGTGCCAGAACTGGAAAATTTCGGCACCATAAGTCAGTTTAAAGTCTGTTGTAATAAAGAACAACATTTAAGGGGGAATGTGTATGTGGGTTATTCGAGTTGTCGTGAGGCTATGCGCAGTTATCGTAGATTTCACGGACGGTTTTATGCTGGCAAACAATTGAATGTTGAGTTTTGCACGATCGAATCGTGGAAGTCGGCGATATGTGGACTATTCTTTGGGAAGCGATGTCCGAAGGGTAGTGTTTGTAATTTTTTACATGTCTTTCGTAATCCGGGAAATTTGTATTCCAAAATGGACGTACAACACTCGCAAAGAACTGAAAAAGTTGATAAACATGATGATTGGAATTCCAGGTAAATTATTTTGAATTAAATTGCAATGTTGATTAAAATCAAGATATCTTTATAGCGAGAGGAGTAATTGGCGATGGTCTTCATCACCAGAAGTAATCAAAAAAGATATTGATAAAAATCGTCACAAATTCCACAAAAGAAAAAGAAGCCGAAGTCGCAGTAAAGTGAAAACACGAGAAAAAAGTAGAAGTAAGAGCAGGAGACATAGAAGTACTAGTCGAAAATCATCTAGTTCCCGTAGTAGTTCTAGACGTCGATGAAAATATATAAATTTCAAACATAAAACAATAATGTATGATGCGTTTTGTTTTTTCACTTGTTAGAAACAAAGTTCACGTGATCCAGTAGGTGCGCATGCGCGTCTATTACAGCTGACACTCTCACACCAACACATTGATGTAATTTGGACTGATTTGCGTTGTGTGTAACGCTGAGTTGTGTGTCCTGTTCCGCTATCGATTTTCGTCGCGTTTGTCAGTCAAAATAAACCTAGTAACAGCGTTAAATTCTTCGTATTTGCATCGTAATACAACAAACGCACGATGACCATCATCACCAAGCCATTGTCCGAGAAAAAGGAGGCGAAGCCTCTGACTCCCATCGTTCCCGAAAGTCCGAGTGCCGTAAGTGAAAACACCCATTTTATTACAGTTGTATTGCGTTGTAATAGTCCTATTATGCATACAGTACTATAACAAAATGCTTATCATGCTTAAAATATGCATACGCCATTTGATAACATATGCTTTTACTTATGCAGCCGGAAGATGATGTTGAATCACAAGCTGGAACCGATCCGTCTTTCATTATTCTGCGTACTCGCGCCCGTCGTGTGTCAACTGTAACAACACTATGCCTCCTGATGACTTCCCTCATCGTCGTCGGCGTTGGCATCCTCGCCGGCACGCATCTGTATCGTCAGTACCTGCGCTCGCAGGTCTTCAAGGGCTGGGCAGCTGTGCCCTATGATGTCAGAGAGGCCATGTACCAGCAGTCAAGCAACGACAATACGATGGACATGAACGAGTACCTGGAGAAAATGACCAAAGAGCTGTCCAATGAACTCAACGCTTTCCAGAACACGTTTAGAGAGGAGTTTGAGATTGACACCTACAATGGGGACTACGAGAAGATCACCGTGCCTGATTTCAAAGATGGACGCATGGGTCGATTCGTGCATGATTTCAACAACAACAAGACTGGTATCATTGACATTAGCGGCAAGCGGTGCTTTATTATGCCGCTGGATCGTAATACCACTCTGCCGCCGCGCTCCCTGCTTGATCTGGTGCAGAAAATGTGGGGGGGTTATTACAAGGTGGACACACAAATCATCCGCGAGCAGTACAGGGTAGAGATTCCGCCATTGAGTGACGATGCACAGATTGGTACCTACATTGCCGGCGAGTGTGCAGGCATGCCTATTTACAAGCTGGAGAAATACGTTTCGGGAGGTTAGTTGAATATCATCAGCCATTTTTTTTTAGTAAGTGAGTAACGTAATGTTTTGTGTATGTTTGGTTGCAGTATGGAAGCGATCTGCTGAACTTCCGAATGAAGGCAAATTCGCGCAGTTTGCAGGTAGACATGTCGTTGAACTCGACATCATGAACTTCAAGGATGTCGAAGAGTACGAAAAGAATCTTTAAGCGCTCAAAGCACATTCGGCGCAGAGAAATTTAAAGCGTTTGGAAGTGAGTAACTATATTTAGATTACAATTACCAGGAAACCAGAATTGACGCCCTCTCACAGTGACCGGGCACGGTTATCTATATATTAACACATAATTAAGTAAGCAACCAATGCATAATAACATTTCTTAACGATGTGTTTCTTTCGATTTATAAATTATATATATAAACACGTTTGATGCATTTCTGCGTTGGAACAAATCGATATATTTTTAATTGTCGCTTCGTTTTTATTCTACGACCTACGTTTTAATGGTGTATGTTTTATACTCTATCTATTGATGTTACAAATGTTACAAAATACAAACAAGACGAGAGAGAGAGAGGAGAAAATATTGAGAGAGGCCGATGGCAAAATTTGTCTATTCCGGAGGGCTGTGTTTGCATCGAGTAAGCAAAATGCAATATTTTTAAATATAAATAAAAGGGCGTGTATGTATCAACCGATGATATAAGAAACAAACAACTGTAATTGTTATTGTATTTACGCGCTATGAGTAATCCGGTTATCAGCATAATATATATATACATCCGACATACACAATTCCGAAGCGGCCGAGAGAAACGGAATCCGAAATACATATTTGAGATAAAACAGGGAATCAAGCGTATATTGAAACAATGATGGAATTTGTGTAATATTGCCAGTAAACTAATTAAATTACGCCTGTTCTTGGAGAGTAACTAAATAAACTTTTAGCTTATCATTTACTACAATTTATAGATAATATATATTTAGGTTGACTAGTTTTGTCACTGAAAGGACGTTATTAGGTACACGCACGCGCAGGGTGAGTGTCGGATTGGTTTTTTGTCAATATATTATTCTACAATAAAGAATTTAGAGGTGTAAATCTTTATTTATGTAAACAACGGCCTTGGAATTTGATTTTCCGCTTGTAAAATATGGCGGGGATGAATTTTTAAGTCAATAATGGCCAAAAATTTAAATTTACTTTTTGATTATTCATAATTGTATTTCTTTCAGCTGAAACGGCCTTAAAATCCCATTTTCCACTTGTAAATTATGGTGGAAAGTGGATTTTTATGTGAATAATGGCCAAAATCAAACATTAATTGCTTTTTTAAAACCAAATATTTAATAATTTATAAAATAACTCAAAAAGTTGCTTTCCTTTCAGCTAAAACATTTTCTACATTGTTACAACTGCCGCTATTATACCCATGCACAAAGTACAGATCCTCCAAGTCGACGGCACCCATATAATTATAATGATTTGCATGGTCGCAGGGGAATGTTACATAACTAAAACTTTCATTGTTGTCATCCTCCAGGACGATTTCCAGCGCGTCGCATTTCATTGTCTCCACGTACTTGCGTATGTACTCCTTGTGATAATCCACGTCGTTCTGACTTTTGTTTTTGCATGCATTACTTGTAGTGTAGTCCAATAGATTCTCAGCCTCCATAAACTATTTAAGATAAAAGAATTAGTAATTCAATGTTAATAGTATCAAGTACGCTAAATGGCTGCTTTGTTTGACTGACGGCGCATGGCATTTCATATGGTGTTGTACTGCACCGTAGGCAAATGCGCACGCGCAAACTTCACTTTCTGACTAAAGTACTTTAGTCACGGTCTTGGCCGTCTGTCATTAAAGTGCCACTTTTCGTGTCTCAAAACTGGGGTAGAAAAAGTATACTCGTAAATTAAACAAGTAAAATATTATTATAAACACTAGGAAAATATGGATGAAACGTAATAATATCAAATTTAATTTGTATTTATTAACACTAACAAATTGCCGTCTCTTCCGTGTATGTTAGTTATATCAGTATCAGCAATTTGTCGCTTAATAACAATTGTACTATTGATTCAATCAGAATGATCCTTTCGCAGCACACACCTCAAAATAATGCTTTTTGGTATTCTGCATCCGTGTCTCTCATTCGGCTGCTTAAATATACAATACAACATACAATTCACGATAATATATTGTTTTGATAATTTGATTAATATTGATTAATTCATCATTTATCATATAAATTGGCAATAATCGTAATGTAATGATCAAAGTATTTCTCTCCTCTGTTTTTTTTTTTCACATTACACATTGGGTCTCTGGTTGGGTGGGACACAGGGGAAATGATACAATTAATTTAAATACTTTTGTATGCAATGCATTCTTTTGTACAATATAATCTGGTGTTTTCTCTTCCTAATAGCTAGAGTTAATAATAATATTTTAATATTTAAATCTACTAATCGGTTAATTTGTCTTTTGTAAATCAATATTATTCATTACGATCACAAGTAATTCATTTACCATCATATATACTTTCATAATTTTTCTATGTTTACGCTTAAAAAACACTGGAAACCACCTTTTAGGCACTATATAACAGAAACAATTCAATAAGAATCAAATTTCGTAACTTAGCCATTAATATATTTTCATTTTGGAAGCCTGAATGTTGTTTGAAAAACTTCTTGGCAGAGAATCAATCACAAGTCAACAATAAACAGATAACGTGACAAAGGGGGGAAGCTCGTTAAATTTTCCAAACTAGAAATCAATCATTAAAACTTATTGGCCATCATCATCATCATCATATATATATCTTATCATCTTGTGAAAGTTTGATTCGTCTTAATTTTGATAAATTTTGAGATCTATTAAGGCACAACCTCAACACACGCACACTACATCGGTAATAGTGCATTACACATCAAGAGTGTTTGATTTCCACACACTCTTAATATGTAATACCACCATTTTCATCTGTTACCGAATAAATGTTTTACAATTGGTTTTACATTTAGTACAATATTTCGTTTTCCTAGCTTCACATCTTATTACAAACACTAGGCCACACATGAAAAACAACTCAGCTACATTGTTTTTTGGATTTTGGAAATCAAATTGAGCAGAAAACTTCAAATTTAAACAATCGATATTGTCTCCAAAAACAATTCGAGTGTATTTAGTACGTGGCCCGCCGTGTTTTACTTAATTGTTTCTCATTTATATCATTTCTAATGTAAATTGTAATTGTTCTTGAGTATTTCATAATTTTGTATGTGTTTTACATATTTGGTCCCAAAAATTATACACTTTAGGTATAGATTCACTAAAAATCAAACACAATTCATTAGATATTCGTGTTTACAGAGACGTTTAGACATAATATCCATATTATTTCTTCCATGATAGCACGCGTCATCATGTTTGGTAAACAAAATGGCTGCCATTACAAACATGGTGCATTCTATCATCGAAAAAACATCTTTCTAATGAGAAATGATTAAAAATCAGTTAAAAGTGAAATTATGTACTCGAAATCTTTTGTTTGATGTTTTTTTTTGTTTTGGTTTTGTTACAGTCCTTGTAGAAGGCACACATTCTCCGAATTTTTTACGCATATCAATGACAAACCAAGCAACTAAACGCATATTTATAAAAATTTGGTCATAAAATTCTCTCCACAATAAAAAATCATCATTCACTATCATTATATATCATATTTTGATTTCGCAATACTTAATACGTACCTAATTAAGTAATAATAATAATTATTCAATCAATTACGTTCAATAACATTTCATTTGTTAATCATTTGGCATATGTGTCATGTAGATTTTTCGGCTACATTCGAACTAAATTTACATTAGTATTAAGTAATTACTTATTCATGTTTTTTGGTTGATTTTTCGCTTTTTATATATTCAAATTGGTAAAATATGCATCTTTGTAAATGTTACTCTTGCTACACTTTTTTTGCATCGGTATAACGATCATTATATATAGATTTTCATATATATTACTAACTAATCGTTTTCTTCTTTTGATATAATTTTTGATATATAGATATATCTTATTTTTATATATATATATACTTTCTGTAATACACACTTGTCGTCAACTAATTTCGCTAGCTATGCACACATGCGCATTACATGCGCACATGATGCATCATCTATGATTATATATTAAAATCGTCAAATTTCAAATCGCTATTCGTGAGGAAGAAGTCTAGATAGCCTTGTTTCGGCTGCAGCCGCGGCACCGGCGGACTTTGAAACCGCCCCCGTTCGGTCGAGCCAAACGCCGCGTTGAAATCGGGTAATGACTTTTGCGGTTTTGTCGTCAGCTGCGGTGAGAGTGCTGAATTCTGCAGACACACATTACAATTATGTTTCATTCAAACACAACATTACAATAACTTAATTTAAAAGCATAGTTTGAGGTTAGAAATAAGGAAAAATCCTCAAATGTATATGATCTTCAAATGCTGTCAAATAACATGACACTTTGACGTATAACAAGTTACCTAACAGATTATAACCAAACTTTACACTAAAATGAGTTAAATTTTAAGATAATATAGACTTACCTTTTTAATTATGACATTATCTTCCTTCTCAAAAGGATTCTGAATGATTACATCCTCTTGATAAACGTCTACGTTTCCATATCCGCCATTCTGCGCATCCGATGCGCTGCCACCATTGCGGCCATTGATACTCCTATTATCCTTCCGCTCATCAAAACTATTCGATTCCGTCGGCGCTGGCGATGAATTTGCATTCGAATGCGGCGATTGCGACTGTGACTGTGATTGCGCATCGTCCGGCATCGAGTACGTCGTATCCATTTGCGTTTTTAGCTTCTCCGAGAGCGTCTCCAGCGCCTGCGTACTCGTCGGCTGATGTTGATGGTGTTGATAGGCAGACATTTGATTCGACGGTAACATAAATTGATCAGCTAAACAGAGAAATACACATTAATATCAACATAAAATTAAATTTTTATTTCCCAACCTGTTGGAGGACGCATTGGACTTGTGCTCTCGTGATAGTGCCACATTTCAGTCTGATGCTGCAGCTGCGCCATTGGATTCGTCTACAAGAATACGAAAAAAAACAAGCGCATAAAGAAAGAAATTCTAGTTGTGTATAGTAATGTGTGTTGCTTTTGCGTGCGAGGGGCAATTACCTGGAGATAAGGCTGTTCGTGTGGGGCGAGATGAATATGTTTATTGTAATGCATCGGCCCCATAAATCCATTCGCGCCGTTTCCGCCAATGGGGAAACCATTGCCGCACATGGGCGACGCAACGCCACGCATTCCATGCGACGCCTGTAAAATCATTTCATTCATATATTGTCATCGTGTGTTTTTGTTTACACAGCAAAATGTAAATTTTGAATTCAATACCGGTATTTCGGTTTACCGGTATTTTTTGTATCAAAATATCGGTATATCCTTACTAATATTATAAATGCAAAAGTCCTGATGTTTGTTACACTTTCACGCAAAAACTACTTAACTGATCATCATGTAAATTTGTACACATATTCTTAGTGGTCCCCGAAAGGTTATAGGCTACTTTTTATTTAATAAAACAAAATATTTTTGAAATAAAATAAAGAAATTGTTTAGCCAATAATACCTCTGCATCTGGCTATTTGACTACTTTAACGCCATCTAGCATTGCAGCAATGAAGCTCAAACCTAAGTACTATAGTACCATCACACTGTATTATCACACTGTATTACCGACAGCTTCGTCAACATCAAATCCAATTGACTACACTATGGAGACTGTACACTATACTTCCATAGACTATACTTTCAGCCATTTTAAACTTCTCGCCATTCAACTTCATTGTTACTTCTTCTGTGATTACAGACGCGTACGGAAGCAACTTCATTATTTTAGATATTCGCGAGCGAAGCCAAGGGTTAAAGCTAGTCAGTATATATTGTTTTTTAAAATATCGGAGCCTGTAAATAAAAATACCGGTATACCGGTATCAATACCGGTTTTGAAGTATACCGGTATTTTAAGGCTCACAATTCGTATATCGTATTATTATCGTAATAAAAATACAAAATACCGGTATACCGATATTAATACCGGTATTTCACACCCCTAATTGTTACTTGAGTTGCCTCCAACAATAACATAACAAAACAAAATAAAACAACTGACCTTGCTCAACAAACAAACTTTCCGCGAATTGTTTGCAAGGAATTACAAAACTTTTCCCTCCAGTGTAATATTTACAAGTTTAATAATTTTAAAAATTTAAATTTCTTTCAACTTATCGATCATTTGCGCATTTTGCGCATCCGGGATAAAATAAAATTGCATTTGCGTGTGGGGGTGACAGCGCACACCAGCAGACATGGGCGTCCTCTGCGCGCCTGCAGCGCTATCGACGTTAGTATCAGCTCAGGCGCGGAAGCAGGATCAGGCGGCGGCGGCACGCCACTTCACGCCACCGCCCCCGCCGCTCGCGTGCGCGCTATCGACGGCGGAAACTCGGGCGCCAGGACGCCGTCGCCTGGCAACCACCGGCACAAAATGTAGACCATCTCGGTTGCCACGAGAGACGACGGGGTCCGCGCCGTGCCGCGCCGCCGGTCGACGGACGCGCATCGCATCATCGGATATCGATGGAGCCGCGCGCCCGCGAATTTCATATCGGCGGCGGCGGTAGTAGACTAGTTACACACCGGCGTCGGCAGTGTGGAGGCGGCGGCGGCGGCGGGAGCGGCCGTCGTCCAGATAAGGAAGCCCCTCTGGTGTCGGGCCCAATATATTGATTGCAACCCTACAATACGTTCTCTGTCGTGCACGCGCGCACGCTACCACTGCCGCCTCATGCTTTATCTACGACACATTTTTATCTCCGGAACCGTATCTCTGGTGCTGGCGCGCGCTATGGCGCAAGATTATATTTTATCAAGCGTTAAAAAGCCAAAATCGAAATGCGCAAACTTTCAAACTTTCAAACAGACGGGCAGAGAGACACAGTGCGCGACACAAATTTTGCTCGAAACTTTGCGTCCGCGTGGCGGCTCTCCTTGGCCCCTTTCACCTTTGCAGCGGCAAAGCCTTTAAGTATTATAGATTTCCCATTCAAGGACTCCGTAATGTGTGATGCGCGTGCAACGTGCAAAATTTCATTTGTTTTCTATATTTGTACCAAAGGGATAATCAATATTTCAAATTTTGACATTTTTGACATTTGTGAGCAGGTTTAAGGCAGTTTTAACGTTTATTTCTAATTTTAAACTGGGTTTTAGGGTAAAATAAGTGAGAAATATGTACAATATGTTGAACAATCATCATTTTCTAATTGCTTCTTACTTATTTTAAGTTTTGGAGGATAATTTTTGTTTTTCTCATTGTGTACATTATTTCTTTGCTCATCTGTCAAAACGTTTGATATTTTTGACATTTGACGCGTATTAATGCAATTTTAAAGTTTATTTTAATTTTAAATTAGTTTTTAGCGTAAAATAAGCGTTATATGTGCATAATATGAACAATAATCTAATTTATTTAAATTTTTATATTTCCAATGATAAATTGTCAATTTTTCTTATTAAACACACATTATTTCTCCATTCAACTGTCAAACTTTTGACATTTTTGACATTTGACAGCGTATTAATGCACTTTTAAAGTTTATTTATTATTTTAAATTACTTTCCATCGCAAAATATTAATAATATGAGTATAATATGTTCAACAATTCAATTTTTTTAATTTTATCCTTTCAAAGGATAATTTTGTAATAAATACTTGAAATATTTGTTTAGACTAGTTTTACCTAGTTATAGATACATCTAGATACATATATCTTACCATCATAAATTGATCATCCTGCTCCGGTAGGACCCAAGGCTGCGTGCGGCGGGCGGCGCGCGTGGCAGGCGCCACCCCCATGGAGCGCTCCCGATTGGCGTCGCGCATGGCCTTGCGGATCCGCGCTTCCTTCGGATTGTACACGTAGTCTGCAAAACACCCACACACAAACATTATATATACACCACCAGCGAGAGAAGCGGGAATCCCGGCGGTGGTTACACCCACCTTACAACTTACACACACACAGACACACAAATCGCAAGCAACTAAATCTAATAATATTTACATTTAAATTTTCGCGCCGCGCGCGCTCACAAATTTCATGAATGATTCCGAAATTAATTTCAGCATGCACGTACGTAGAAAAATCAATTGAATACCAATCGATATTGCGATTGGCGGCAAGGTCGGATACGGATATGCCTCTGCCATGCGTATATATGCCGGTTTAATTGCAAGAATCAATTACATTAGTAACAACACACAACATGCCATCGCTAAACATTGAGTGATTGAGTAACCGCACACACGCGTAAAATATTCGTCAGCATTGTTTCGCAATAACGAATTAAACTAGTTTAACGCCTAGATCTTGAGTTTTTTGTTTGTTTGTTTTGCTTTGAATCATACCTGGAAAAGGCGGCGCACCACATTGCCAAGGATGCGACGAGTAATAGGGGGTGTTGCCGTAGTAGTCCGAAGGATACGGCGAGTTGTAGTACTCGCCGCCGTGGTACTGATGCGGCATCTGGTCGAAATACTGCGGCATGCCGTAGTAATTGTTCTTGTACGGCATGTAATTGCAGCAATCCATTTTTTACGCACACACTTTGATTATTAATTATATCTCAAATTGGAATTTTAAACTCGCACCAATCACTAATTTCAAATTTTAATAAAAATTAAATTAAACACAAATATTAATTAATTAGAAGAAACCTAAAACAGGTACGATTTATAAATGTTTTTTTTTGTTTAAAATTTTTAAAAATTTTAATTTAATTTTAAAATTTAATTATTGGCACATTGACACCACCCACTATAAAATTTTCTCGCTCTGCTTGCATTCGATAGTTTCTAATAATTTTCAAAGTGCAAAATGTGTGGCGGCTGCGAGCATGGTGTGATCTGCGTAGCGCACGAAACGAGAATGTGCGGAAGAAGTTTTCGCGCCAAGCGCCGCGGCCGGTGTGCGGTGTGCAAACGTGCGACGTCGGCGTCGCGGCATGAGTTGGCGTGTGTGTGTGTGTGTGGTGTGGGGGCGAGAGAGGCACACACAGCGCGACGCGGATCGCCGCCGCCGCCGACTGAAGCGTCGCGGCCGGTGATCAATACGCAGAGGCCTCACCTACCTACACCCCGCCGCCGACTACGGCGGCAAGCGGCGGCGGCAGCGCGCGCTCGCGTCTCTGCAACGCCCGGACAAGTGGGTCATAGTCCGCCACGCGACCCACGCAAGTGTCAGCTGTTTTTGCCACCTCCGCGCGCGCGCTCGCTCGCGGAAAAACATCGATACGCACACACATCACACCCCGCCTCTGCCTCTACCGCTGCCGCCGCCGCCGACGCCTGCATGCATGCAACCAACACAAACCGCCTCCGCCGTGCGCAAAAATCATTACATCCAACAACGAATTAAACGCATTACCAACTACTACAACTCTATACGCAAATTAAAAAAAAATTATTACCAAACATTTGCACCTAGTTAAATAAACAAATAAAACAATTGCGGCATTCCACGCCGTCGAGTCAACGCGTGCATGTTAAACAAACAATCGATCAGGTTGCGTCTTTATGCTAATCGCCGTTGGACGACGTTATTGTCTGCGCCGCCGTCGCTTGTCGATTATTATACGCCGATAATTGCGTACGTGGTGGCGGCGGTGCGACGCGCATATAATTACTGTTGATAAGTCTCTTCGTGCACTGGCGGCGGGCGGACGACGCACAGAGCGCAAAGCAACACGTTGTTGCCGATTGAATTCGGCATCGCGTTGCGCCAACGGCGCCCCGGCTATGAATGAAACTTAATACGCGCGCCGCATAGCTGTAAACAAAACGACGTGGACGACGCGGGGTAGTAACACTAGTCACACTACTAATCAAAACAGACGGGAATAGTTATCGCGATTTAATGTCTCATGTTATATAATACGAGAAGTTATCGTAGTGGAAAATATTTAGAAGTAAAACATTGATTTTTTGGACCAAAATGCGTAAAATTTAACGTTTTTTTGAGACTTTTGATATAAAAGTGCGTTGAATCACTTTCTTAACTTTGGTTATGTCAACTATCAATAAAAATTCATTTCCTGGGTTGAATATCACAGAAAAATCATGCGTTTTTTAAAAAGTAAAGACTTCATCATTAAAATTAATAAAATTGTATTAAAAAAGGTTTGAAGTTAGTAACACCAGAAAAACGTATTATTATGATAAAAATGCATAAAATATACGTTTAAGGCTGTCAATTAGTTATACTTTGACATAGGAGTGTGATACATAACCTTTTCTGACATTTCAAATGCCAACTGTCAAAAAACACATGTTTTGTTGCTTTATTTTGCTGAAAATTCAGAAATTCAGCTTCTAAGTAGTCTTCCAGCAATACTTTGACGCAATAGTGTATAACATAACCTTTTTTAACATTTAAAATGTCATCTGTCAAAAAATACATTTTTATAGGTTAGATTTGACTATTAAACATTTTCAAATATTTTTGTACAAAAATCAAGTAAAATCAAAGTTTTACACTCGCAGAAAGACTAATTCTGAAAAATAATTACTTTTAAATTCATTTTATTCAATTTTCTGCATTTCCTCCCCTCCCGACCTGCGATCAATAAAAAAACCAGCCTACATTCTATATTTATCGATGAATGTCAATTTGTTCCTACTTCTATTTCAGTTAATCCCCGCGTGCAAAAGTTATAAACTGCTATCGACCAGACGCGCGCGTCTATTCCCCGAATGCACACATCGTGACACATTTCAGGATGCACTCGCGACTCGCAAGTCTGCAAAAGGCCTGCGCGCACGCGACACAACCCTTCTCCTCTCTTCAAACACCCGCGCCACCACCCCTGACGTCTTGTTCAGCGCCGCGAGAAAGGGTTTCAATTGATTTGCATCAATCCTGGCGCGCAAAGTGCGCCGCGAGGGTGCACAGAGCCCGCGTGCTGAGTATCGAACCGCGTGCGCCTCCCTTTTCACCCCCTCGGCTCTCGCAAAGCCAATTTCGCCAACAAATTGATTTCTCAACTCACCGGGATACTTCTCCTTGTGCGCGGCGTCGACTTCCTTCGCCATCTCGTAGTAGCCGCCCTTCGCCTCGCGGTCCAGCTCCTTCCAACCTCTGCCCAGCCGCTTGCTGATTTCCTTATTCGAGTCGAGCGGAAACTCGCGTGCCATCTTTTTTCGATTCGCGTTCGCATAGAGCATGAACGCGTTGGCGGGCCGCGGGATTTTCGCCGGCGGTTGGCCGCCATCGATCTGGATGTGTTCTGTGTATACACGCGCCCAGGACGAAATAAAAACATATGAAAATAAAATCGCAACATGAATATGTATACACGCGGGCGCAAAACTATTCGCAAAACGCACGCACGTGGAATAATCTCGCAAGCGTATTCCATTGTAATTAGTAATTCTTGTAAACGATTCGATTCTTGCAGCGCGGGGGGAACGGGAACGCTGTGCGCGCCGACAATATGTCACTTGATGTGAAACAAAACTGTGTTGCCATTGTTGTTCCCAAGGCATACTGCGTTTATTTCATATCAATCAACAACTTTATTGAGATTTCCTACACATCTATCAATAATGATTGTACAATCATATTGTTAGCCAAACCAATGACTAGCCATACAATCCGTCGACCATTCCACTTGGCATACCCAACACCAATGGTACCCGCACCCGGCTCTCGTACATATCATATGCATACATCCACCTGAAACGGCAATTATCGATTGTGAAACAAAACACTCAACCAAATGATCATTAGAAAAGTGATAGAATTTCGTGTAATACGAACCGTCGCGTTCGGTCGGCGTCCTACATTTGGGGCACGGTTTCGTAAGAACCTTGATGGCCACTTTGGAGGCTTCATCCCAACGCGCGTCAGCGGCGCGCGCCGGATCGACGCTGTACGAACAACTCCCCGCCGAGTTTGTCACATCAGGCGTGCGGCATTCCCCGATGTGGTATCCTTGCAGGCACATTCGACAAAACACATACTATGATGGGTTAAATTTGATTAACCTATGTAAAATACAAGATGGCGATATAATTACCCCGCAACCATTTATACACGTTATTTTAGTACAGTCGGCGTCCGCTAGGATACCCATACCGCATCCTGGTTGCGGACAAAGGACGCCACCGGCTTGCAGGACGAATTCTTCGGTTGCAAAACGTTGATATTGATCGTACTGCGCAAAATTCACAAATAAAACATATAAATTTATAAATTTCTTAATGTTATTATACTTGTTGGTCGGTCAATAGTCTAAAATGGTGGATTTCAGTAATAAAAGAGTCTGCGCATCCGGCAGGACATCCTAATGTATAACCAAACTCCGGATGCTGCCAGAATTGTCGATCCATCAGGCGCGTGCGGCAATACTGCCGAAAACAGTCCAAACAAGTCACGTGTCGTTCAGCACATTGAAAAACAAAGACAGGATCACTGAAAACATCAATAAAAATCAAAGTTATATTAAAATGCTAAATATTACCAAACATCAGCGCAAGCCAAACATGGAACTTCCATAATATTCGGTCGTATGTGATACAATGGCACTGATTGATCTTTTTCGCCCAGAGATGTGTGCTCGGAACATTTAAAGTAAAATTCGGCAAAAGTTGGTTCGACATTTTGTAAAATCTTTAAAAAATTGAGGTTAGAAATTTAACTGTCAAAAATTAAAAAATATTACATTAGCGCAATTTTCATCGGAATTCTCGCATAATCCTGTGATTCTCTTTGGTTCCAATACATCTTCCCATCCTTGCGGATCCCAGTGTACGGTAAATGCGCCGCTTTTACAAAAATGACAGCGCACACGAATTTTTCCCGATTTTAAAGCTTTGCATGTTGGACAAAACACAAAAAAATGTACTCTATTCTTAACTACATCAGAAGTATCTGATATATTGTGAACAGTTTCTACATCATCTTCTGATGTAGAAAATGTCAGATCTGATAATGTTTCACAGAGTGGTTTTGATCCTGACTCTTCCTCAACTTCTTCCTGTAAACTTGTTGATTGACTAGGCAATTTGATCCTTTTGTTTATTTTCACTGCATGTAATATACTCTGTTGACCCAAATCACATTCCTATAATATAAAAACTTTAATATTTTGATATTATATTACATAATTTGATATAAACTAACTGATAGCGTAATTGTATCTCCCAATTCTTTGCCAGCAAATATAATTTTAACTTCTTCAGGCTCCAGTCCCAATTGTGGTGCAACCAGTTGTTTAACATTCTTGATATCCCATTGAGGATCCAAGTCGACTGATAGTGATTTACCAGTGTTTGTTTTTATGTAGATGTTGAGTGAGTTTGTGAGTTTGTTTTTGCCAAACGAGAAAAACTGCAGCATGCTATGTAAAATATTTCTTATGAAGTTAAGCAAGAAACTCATCACAATGGCTGTACGTACGCGAATTGTCACAAGCGGCACGATGTCTATTCTTATCAAATAGGTAAAAATAACTTGTTTATATCATTATTTTAAACTCATTCTGCGGATGTTTTAGGTTAACAGAATCAAATAGAAATATTTTCCTGGTTTGATATAGGCAACCAAGATTACGAATAAAAGCTCAGGACTGATATTATTTTTAACCTGTAAAAGTTGAGTTTTGTTTATTGACACTTTCTTATTAGTAAAACAGTACAAGAAATTTTAATTTTTATTGGTTCTTTTGGTGTTATAGCAATGTCTGATTCAGATTCAGACGATGGTTTCGCCAATTTGATTACGAATAGTGAAGAAAACTTCTGGAAAACATATCAGACAGCTCCAAAAGTTGAAGAACCCAGCAAACCATTAAATTTTTATAAAACAAATGATAATTCGGTTAATACACCATCAACTTCAGGCACATCTTCTAATATATCAAAAACAGTCAGTGATAATACAACAAATGTTTCTTCAAGTGGTGATTTGAACAGTTTTAAACCACAAAACAATAAAAGACTATCAACATCACCAGCAGGAGAAATACATGAAGCAAAACAACAAAAGATTCAAAATGAAAGCGCCCATACATCAGAAGATGATTCACCTAAAGCAAGTAGTAGTGCCAGGACAACAAAAAGAAATCTTTTGAGTTCAATACTTGTAACATTATCAAAACCAATGGATTGCACTCCTGATACAACTGAAAGTCTAGAAACAACAAATGAACAACCATCAAACACTTCAAAAAAGATTGGTAGAAGAAAAAAGGCAACAAAATCAACTAGAAAACAACCAAAGCGAGGAGCACAAACACCTCAACAACCAACAACTAGTCTTTTATCAATTCCTTCTCCTAATTCAATAGATACAAATAATTTTGAAACCCAAATTGATGATCCGTCGAAAACACCGCCACGAGAACCACGAACTGAAACCTATTCGAATCGAATAATGAACGTAAAAGTCCTCTGGAAATCATTATACCTAAAAATATTCAAAATCAAACGATTCACACCATTACAACGCATCATAGACCACTTTGCAACCGCAGAAAACGTCGATCCCAAACACATTTGCTTCAGCATCAACGATAAAATCATCAACTTAAGTCAACACTCATGTGTGACACTAAAATACAAACCGCATGAAGAAATAGAAGGCGGCGTGCTGGACAGCGATGGTCCACAGACAAAGTTTTCAACCAAAGAAGAACACGGTGTTAAATTAAAAGTGCGCCTCAATAAACAATCAGAACTAATAATCCTCCCAGAGGATATTTTATCAGAACATTTATACGCGCAAGTTGTGATAAAATTCGGCATTGATTTCGGCCGTTTTAAATTAGAATTCGATGGAGAAATCATCAACTTTTCGGATACAATCAAAGAAACCGGTTTGGAAAGTGGTGATTGTATAGATATTTTGTTATAGGATAGATTAAAAAGCAGATTTTTAGAAAAAAATTAAATTTAACTTATTACGCAGGTATTTTCATATTACTAAGACGCAGAATAAAGTCTAACAAATGCATTTGTACCTTTATATCGATCACATTCTTGGTCGCGAAGAAACCGGGCACTCCTGCTTTCGCCAGCGTCGTTTGTTGATCATTCACCTGAAAAAAAATTGAATTTTTTGTTGTTTTGCGTCAAAATAATGCGTAATGCGTAAATTTCGCCATGTGCAGATGTGCAGAACTGACCTTCCCTTACTCTAAACGCAAAAGGGCGGAGCTTACAAGATTTCAAACTGTTTTTTACCCTTAAATTCAAAATTTATAACTTGAAATTTACAAAACTACAATCATTATACTATTTTTCATGTTTTTACTTGTTTTGTAAATGAAATTAAACGCTTGTTAAGATGCAATTAAACTTCCGCGATGCGTATAATTGTGTTTACGATTTGAAATTACCAACGCGCACGCCGCGCACTTTATTGATTCGAAAATTTCAAGGCTGAGTTGGATTATTGATTCTCCCACTGCCGGCCAGCGGCAAAGCTGCAGTGCAACCCCAACAGCACACACCACCCCACAGCATGCTTATGTAACACACTCTTGTGCTTTGCAGGGTGACTTGTGTGCCTGTAACCTAAAATCTGCACACAGAACTCTGTTGCAAAGAAGAAGAGCTGCAACTCACCTTCTCATCCAATTCAATCACCAAAGACATGTCAAACTGTTTCAAGTCAATCCTCTGTGTCTCCACCAATTCCCGCAGCAGCTGCACCTTCTCCTCGCCGGTGAGGTCCGTGCGGCCGGCGATTTCCTCCTCGGCAACTATTAATTACAACAATTAGACAATATAGTAACATGAAAAGGATCAAAAACGAGCGGTGCTGTGAGTGTGCTCTGAGTTGTGATGATAATCTAGAGTGTTATTAATACATTTGCAACATTTGCAACTATTTTAACAACTTGTTATGATGTTGTTTAAGTAAAGTTTGAATTTAGTGTTATAATCAAAGTTACTACAATGGAAATAAAGGTAATGTTGGCTTACTTTTTTGTTTGTTGAGTAATTGAATGCGTTTTTGGAACATGTGCTGTTCGGTTACGTTTTGAATGTCCATTAGACCTTTGACTATTTCGAAAATTGTTTCGTTGAGTAAACTGTTTGCCAGGCTTGTGAGTAATTCATAGGGTAAACGCATCTGATACTTTCTATAAGAAGAAATAATTGTGATTTTAGTTAGATTGAAGGATAATTTATGTTTTGATGTGTGATACATACGCCGGTAAATCGCGTGACATTTCCTGTAGTTGTTCTAAAAGAAAATAAAGCTTCTTTTGGAGCACTTCAGGGCTTTCGCTTTGCTCCATCGCGGTTTGAATGATCAAGTTTTGACAGGTTAGGTGCAAAGTAATGTAATTATAGTGTTAGAACAGTTGCCTATATCAAACAAAAAAAAAACTAAATGCGCAGAAATTAATAAAAAATGACGAAAAAACAATCAAATAATATAAATAATTAATGTATTTTATTAAATTACACGTAAATATAGTCAAAATATTCATATTAATAATATTATTCTAGGTTAGCTAATTAGGTTACGTAGGTTTTATAGTTCCCACAAAAATTACTTCATAAATTGCTATATTATTGCTTCTTGAATAAAAAGGATACAAATAAGTCATTCAAAAGTTGTTTTGCACCCACTTAATAGATGCATTAATTTAAGCCATGCAACAACAACACATTTTTTTGCGCAAACAACTTGATGTGTATTAAATAATTGCTCTGTTGCAATGTCTGCAGTCTACTAAAAATAAACTAAGAAAACAGGACTACTATGCACACAACTTTTTTGTTCTACTTTGGGAATGTCAATTTATTGAACTGTGTAATCAATAAATAGACGCCAACGGAGCTATCAATACATTTCATGCCTTTTTTCTTGCGTTTATCGGCATGTAACTCAAGTTGTTTCCGTTTAGAAGGTTAAGTAATAAATAATAAAAGTAAAACTAGCTTAAGTACATAGTATTAAGGACCAAAAAGTATAAAAAACATATTTTACTATCTCCTTAATAAAATTCAGTACAAATTATCACTTAAAATATAAATTTTTAAGGGTTTTTTGCTTTTTTATGTTAAATTTGTTATAACTTTTAAACAAAACAAGCTAGAGACGCCATTTTTGTTCCAGTTGATAAATAATGAAGTAAACTATGCAATAAACTCTTAACAAATGAATATTTTCCATTCATTTTCCTATAATAAGCAAAAAACAAGGAAAGTTTTTGATTTTCTTGCACCGTGTTGATTTGCATAATAAATTAGCACTTTCTTGTCGATTTTATGGCTTAATGAGTGCTTGGCTGCTTTCCTGCAATTACTAACGAGCCCATTTGCTAAATTAGCTCAACCTCAACAACATTTAAGGCCTAACACACTTTACGCCACTCTTGCACACGTGAAAGTAAAAACATACACTCACATCAACGCAAAATTTGCACTGACTGCTCAACCGACTCTCATGGAGACCGATTTCCCTATTTTCAAATAGCAGAGAGGCAAGAGTGCATTATTTCATGGCACACATATTTTCACCACGGTCAGTTGTTCATCTGTCGCGCGTTGCGTCGCATCAAACTTCATCGACAATCGTGCCAATTTACAATCATTGCAATTCGGTCATTTTCTACAAAACATGTTGTTAATTACTAGAAAAACATAATAAGCAACATTAAACTAAAAAGTTTTGTGTATCTCGCAACTTTATTCACTTTTTAATTAAACTTGTGTTTTATTTGTTTTAATCTCGTTTATATACTAGTGCACCGGTAGTGTACTCGTATGTCTGTTCAGTTCCAATAAATTACAATCAATTGAGTGAACGTGTCGAGCAGTGGCGGCAGCGGGGATGAACGTTTAATTAAAATATTAAATAGTGTACAATCAGTGTGGAAGTTATTCACTGCGCACGAATGTCGCGTTTGCGGTGACATATCAGTTTTGCCTATAAATACAACACGTAAGTTGCACAACAAGACAAAATCTGTGAACTTGATATCGAAATAGAACACGCAAGTATGCGAAAATTAAACGTAAACTAAATGTGCTTTTCATCCATTGACATCATTAGTATACTAACTGCGCATGCGCATGTTTGAAACAATTTGACAGCTGACGCATGCACACATTGTGCGTAGTTTCAATCAGAAATTATATCAAATACATGATAAATTGATAAATCATTGCGTTATTATTTTGTTCACAGCGTTAACGAACCATGAAATATTACATTATTCAAATATACTGCTTGTGTACAATATATTTAGCGGTTCTATTAAAATATTCAAATGTAAACTTATTGTATTCGATTTCCGGCGAGATAAAAATGCATTAATTACATTGATTTAGTTTATTCCTGACTCATATCCGATAGGGAATGTGACAGAGTTTAATTTGAAGTTGTTTATTTAATATTCCAGTGTATCAAGTTTGTGTGTACTGTGAGGTTCAAAGTTTTCTTGTTTTTAGTAAAGTGGGTATAGAAATAAAAATCACAATACATAATCCATCATTTTTTCTGATAATCTGAATATCAGATGACAATTTTTGAACTTTTATCGACGAGAATAAACAACAAAGTTGTAATTTTCATCTGTATGCACGCAATATAATTCGTATTCACTCATGATTGCATAATTATTGCAGTATAAACATGCAATTAAAAAAATACAGCGGTTAATTGCAACAATTACTAAACCTGCCTTTTAGTTTGCTTCTATTTTTTCCCTCTCTCTTAAGTAATGAGTTTTATTTGTTTGTTTAGTGTGCAATTAACAATCGATTCTATTAATACAATGTAATCCATTATCAGAGATCTGATAATCACTTTATCAAGCACATGCAATTAACGAAAATAGATTTTTTTGTTTGATATCAATTTGTGATTTTATTAGCGCGAATTCTGTTCAGTTTGTTGGTTTCTGTTGGTCGAACAAGTCGATTGAATAGTTGATTTTGTTTTAGGAAGAAGAAAAAGCATCCAATATGGATTTGAAGCTTCGCCTCGCGAAGATTATGTACTTTTTCTTCGCGATATCGTTCTTCATCAGTGCGTTGGTCACGTGTGGAGGTGCGATGACCATTCTGCTCATTGTTTGGCCCTTCAGTAAGCCATTATATAGAAGAATAGTATCTTATTTTGGTTACACAATGTTTGCACGTAAGTTGAATTAAATTTACGTTGATTTGGTTGCCTATATATAAGGTTATGTATGTTTATACAGAAGCAGTATTCATGTTACGATATTGGTCAACGGCTGATCTAAAGCTGTACATCGACAGGGAAGTGTACGATAAGTATTTGGGCAAGGAGCATTCGCTCTGCATATTAAATCACAGCGGTGAATTGGACTGGATAATTATGTCTGCGTTATTAGACAAGCTCAATATTCTCGGTGTAAGTTTGGTTGCTGACTATGCACAAACTTATATTATAACATTTTAAATTTTAGAATGTGAAAGCTTATATGAAAAACGCAGTGAAATTCATTCCGTTCGTCGGCTGGGGTTTCTATTGCTGTGAGTTCATTTACCTGACAAGATCGTTCGAGAAAGACAAGATTATCCTCAAAAAGAGTGCTCAAGATCTTTCCGAGTATGAAGATCCTATAACTATTCTACTATTTCCGGAAGGAACGCGTTTCTCTCCCAAGAAGCACGAGGAAGCGTTGAAGTTTTCGCGCGAGCGCGGCCTGCGGGAGATGAAGCATCATTTAGTGCCAAGAACAAAAGGCTTCACAACGAGCGTGCCATACATGAAGGATAAGATTCCAGCGCTCTACGACATCGAGATTGCTTTCGATGGCGTCAAACCGACAATCACGAATATGATCAAGGCGCGCAGGTTCAATGTGCACATGTATCTGCGGCGAATTCCAATGGCGGAGGTGCCCGACACCGAAAAGGAGCAGGATCTGTATTTGCGTGATATGTTTTATCGAAAAGTAAATGTTTAAATGTAATTTATCATAAAAAACTGATTTAAAATGTTTTTAGGATGAATGCATGGAGAGTTTTCGTAAAACCGGAGACTTTTTCAAATTGACAAATCAACAACCGCTGGATCCGATCACGATAGAGCCGAACGTGAATTGTCTGTACAATGTGATATTCTGGTTCATCGTATCGCTCTCGCCGATCATCTATTTCCTATTCAAGATGCTGCTGAGCAAGCAGTATTTGTACTTTGTTATATTTATAACGTGCATTGGTTTGGGCTTCAGGGTATTAGCAAAGTCAATAGACAACATGGAAGTGAAGGATACGAAGTTAAAGAAGAACAACAACGTGGAAAACGGCGAGAAAATTAAGTCGTCTTGAATCTGCACACACACACATTATTACACACACACTGAAACACCGGCAACCAATCTGTCCAAAGAAATGAAACAAATGCACTTAAGTACTCTAACTACACGTACATTCTCAGTATGATACCAACGGATGAAGATGGCGCATTTTTTATATGTACTCAATACGCTGACGGTGCAAAAATGATGAAGATGAAGATTATTATTAACCAAAAGCGCGTTTATGCCGCGATTTTGACCAACATGTATACTGTACCTTTATATCATTTATTAATTCTATAAATTAACATATAAATTATTAATCATGTAATTGATTAAGACAGTTTTAAACGTTGATAAACATGTTACGAAGGCATCGCACTCTAGTCGAAACTACAAATTCTTAGAGCAGCTGGTTATTATATAAAATTTTTCCAATTTTGAATCGAACGCCGCACATTTTGATGCAATCAAAGCGGCGAGATTTGTTCAAAAGACTTTGGATAATACTGTTTTAATGTTACGAAAGTTAATAATCAGTAACTCAAAACAATTATGTACTATTATGTATGACACTTGAGGAATAAAAGTAATTTATTTTTAATTCTGTGCAATGCGGAATGATAACAACAGCATAGAATAAGTAATTATTTAAATTGTGTTAATATTTGTTTATTTTCTACTCTTTTGTATGCATTTTTACATCATATTCTTGATTTTTTTCAAATTTAAATCTACAACCAAGGTCTACATGCGGATGACATCAACATAACCTCAAAAATGAAGTTCATAAATTTACTTAATAAACTTTATCGAAAACCAAATATCGGCACAATAAATAATTTCTACGTGAAATCAACGAGATGTTTTCATACAGAAGAGTTGAAGATTCAAGATTTATCATTAACTAACTACATTAATCAACTACAAACTGAATACAAAGAGTTATCTAATGCAAACAAAACTTCACCTCGATTAAGACAATTACAACCAATTGTAAGTCTATTAAATGACCGTAATGATCTAATTAAAAACGTGGAAGGTTTAAAAGACCTTCTCCAGGACAATGACAACGAAATACGAAAACTAGCTGAAGAAGAACAGGAACAATTCAAGTTACAATTAGAAGATTTAAACAATTCCCTCAAAGAACTCCTGTTACCAGTTGATGAAGAAGATGATTTCAATAGTATTACACTGGAAGTCAATGCTGGAGTTGGTGGACAGGAAGCAATGCTTTTTGCCAGTGAAATGTTCAATATGTATCAGAATTTTGTCATGCTCAAAGGCTGGCATTATGAACTAGCAGAATATCTTGAAACAGACACAGGTGGTATTAGACATGGTGCTTTATTAATAAATGGAGATGGGGCTTATAAATATTTACGCCATGAAGCAGGAGTGCACAGAGTACAAAGAAACCCAGCAACTGAAAGATCAGGAAGAATTCATACCAGCACTGTGTCTGTTCTAGCTTTACCACAACCAACAGACATTCAGATTCATATTGAAACTAAAGATTTAAAGATTGAGACTAAGAGAGCAACTGGTGCTGGTGGACAACATGTGAATACAACTGATTCAGCTGTGAGGATTGTTCATTTGCCTACTGGGGTTGCAGTAGAGTGTCAAACGGATAGATCTCAAAGAAAAAATAAAGAGATTGCTTTGTTAAGACTCAAAGCAAAATTATATCAGGCACAACTTGATGAACAACTCGAAAAGGTTCAAGCTACAAAGCGGAGTCAAGTCAAGAGTAATTTTCGTAACGAGAAAATACGAACGTATAATTTTAATCAGGATAGAATCACGGATCATAGACTAGAGGGTTATAATGTTCATAATTTAAAGGGGTTTTTAAGCGGGGGTGAACAATTAGAGAATTTGATTGAGAAGATTGATTATAATAGACGGATTATGATGTTGAAAGAATTAATTCAAAATTGAGCAAAATAACAGCTTTTGTTTTTGTAATGTAGGCAAACAAATATACAGAAATTATTTTGGTTCATATTAATTGTAAATAAATAGTAGTAATTTTATATTTTCATATTTTCCTCTGATTTGTTAGATTTGATTGATAGTAGTTTTAAATTTGTTAATTTTTAAACATTTCATGTATAAGTTGGCTAAATTGTATTGTGATTGCAGCGCCCTCTGCGAGTTGTGTATCAGGTGCCTTGACAACTCCATCACAACATCGGTTCAACAAGTTTGAAACGTCGCCCAACGGTTTTTAACGCTTTATCGCCCGTGTGTGCAATCAATACCGGGTTTTTAATTTTCTTGTGCCTTAAATGATTTACAAGTAATCGGTTTTTATCACGATGGACAGTGTCACGAATGCAGTGGACAATTTCAGCATTATCATGGACGAAGCAACAAAGTAAGTACATAATCTCATCGGTTTTGAATACAAACATAACCTAGATACATCTCATTTATATTATTGATTTATTCAAATATTGCAAGTAATAGTTAAGTACAAAACAGTAATATATCATAATCACATAACTGATTTATATATTTCTGCATGAATATTGTGATTTCTGATTTCAAAAATGAAATAACATGACGGTTAGATATAAAACTGAAAATAAAACAAGTGAACGTCAACCAATGAACCAATCACAGCTGACTTCATGTCAGATTTGTTGATTATTTGAATTCAAAAACAAAATTCATCTAGGATACAACTGCGCAGGCGTTATAAAAGCTGGCACATGTACCGAACGAAAACTCAAAGCAGAGGTGTAAGTATAAGCACGACGAGAAAAGGATGCGAATGAAAGCGCACGCACGCGTTTAGGGGGCCGGGCCGGGATGTGACGGGAATAGGGTCGGAGAGACTGTGACGTCGCACAGTGAACACAACCAACATCCGAATAATATTCAGCCATCACCATCAGTTGTAAAACGGGCGCGCGTTTAGCAGTCACGCAGAGCATTCGTCATCAAATTCACTATCAGTGTGTTTCGTAGTTTAGTTTAAATGTTTGTTTAATAAGTGATCTAACCACATACATTACACATACATCCATAATTTATATAAAAAATAGAAGTGAGTGCAGAATTTTTGCATTTAAAAAATAAAATCTAAAATGATTTGCACATTTAGTGGTTTTCTGCGTAGTATGGTGTTGGGAAGGACGTAAGACGCAAGATTGAATACCGGGCAATGTGATTTTGTAATGTAAATTAGCGTGCGCGTCTCGTTTGGATTGTATTTTGTTTAGTTTGGTGGATGAACAGGGAACAACATGTCGTCCGTGTTTAATTTCTCAGGGATGCGGAGTCCTCCGCGTCGGCCCATCATCTTTCCATCTCCTACCAGCCCCTTTTGGTATGTTACAATTATAAAATGCAACGTTTATGTCGTTTTTAATTTGTATTTCCGTTTGGTTGAGTTTTATTCAATATGGCGACATTGTGTATTTAATATTTATGTACTTATATGTAGTTATTATCAGTTTTATGATATGTAGTAAGGTTAAAGTGATTAGTTTTAGTTTAAGAACAGTTGGGTTGTTGTACTAATATGTATGACCTTTGAACTCTACTTTAACTTTAAAAGCGTTCTGATTCTGTTCTGACGCATCCACTTTTATAAACTCTGCTGCTGTAAGTTATAAACAATCTGTGGTGTGTGGAATGGCCACGTAATGCTTTTATTTTTTTGTTAAATCTGCTTTTACAAGTAGATAATTGAAGGAAGCCTTTCCCTGGTATTGTGATTGATTAAATTTGTTTGTAAGTGGATCGGATTGCAGCGACAATTGTTCGCATTCATTCGTAATCAATTACTGAATGTGCTGAATGTGTAAGATTGTGAATTACTGCCATAATTGCAATGCACGCTTTTGTTTGAGCATGTTGGGTTGGTGTGTATAATGAATACAATAATGTATATTGTAACAAGTGGCGTTTTGTGACTAAGCGGCGAGGTCAATTTAATCAAAACTCGAGCGGTTTCATCGAGTTTTATTTCAGAAAATTTACTTCTGTATGCAAATTCAGTGTGATTATAACGACAATTTCTGGGTAACGACGAAAAATATTTTTATTTCTAGCAATTATGACCTAGAATATTTTTGCAAAGACATGACATCGATGGTATCATCCCTACTAATATTATAAATGCGAATGTCCTGATGTTTGTTACACTTTCACGCAAAAACTACTTAACCGATCATCATGAAAATTTGTACACATATTCTTAGTGGTCCCCGAATGGTTATAGGCTACCTTTTATTTAATAAAAAAATTATTTTTTATATAAAATAAAGAAATTGTTTAGCCAATAATACCTCTGCATCTGGCTATTTGACTACTTTAACGCCATCTAGTATTCCAGCAATGAAGCTCAAAACTAAGTACTATAGTACCATCATACTGTATTATCACACTGTATTACCGATAGCTACGTCAACATCAAATCCAATTGACTACACTATGGAGACTGTACACTATACTTCCATAGACTATACTTTCAGCCATTTTAAACTTCCCGCCATTCTACTTCATTGTTACTTCTTCTGTGACTGCAGACGCGTACGGAAGCAACTTCATTATTTTATATAGTCGCGAGCGAAGCCGCGGGTTAAAGCTAGTTTGAAATATTGTTGTAATTATGATCTCAACATCTCTACAAATTGCAATGTAAATTTCTATAACTTAAGCACGATTTTTTAGCTAATTTGTTGGGGTGCACGTTGCATTACTACCAAATCATTTAAACAAAACACAAGTGAATATAACTGAGCGACGCGGAATTCATATTAAGACTTCATGAAATATGTACCGGCATTTTTACTAGAGAAATTGAGTTTATAACCAACTTACTAAAGATTAAACAGATGCCTATCCTCTGAAAATCCCAATATTTTGCTATTTTTTGTTTCTTTATATTACGGTACCTAGATTACATGGGCAAAATCATATTTTGTGTTGTAATATAGTCCCAAGGGTTGAAATTCAATATGCAGCTTTACGTTTGTCAAATTTCCGGTTTGGTTTGCACATGTGCAGTATCGGTCCCTTCTTGGTTCTTTTCTTGAAGTATACAGTAGCAGTCACGTCCACCATCCGCATCTACATCCTCCACGCTTGCTTTATGCCGTCATATGCCGGTGCACGGTGCGGATTCTAAATCTAAACATAGCGAGAGGAGCGAACGTTTCCTGTTTTCATATTTGTGCAACAAATCGTACGTCGCCGTGAAGTATCTTTAAATCTTTACGCGCTGCTGAAACTTTTATGGCTTCAATCTGAGGCTACTAATATGTGACAGACAAGCAGGCGGGCTTTAATTTGACAGATATTGCATAAATATTGCTTTTTTCTGTTGAAAATGAAGTATATATTAGTGATTTAAGAGAAAAATAGAAGAATTCTAGAAAAATCATCTGTAACTCTTAAATTACAAGGGATAAAAATATAATTATTGTTTCTAGAGGTGAATAATATTAAAATATCTATGATCTGTTGAGGAAACTCTTAATTAATATTTATAATTAGGCGTAATTATCCAAAAACTTGAAAAATTACGCGTCCATTTTGTTTTTATTGTTCAGGTCTAGACATGGGCGATTAACACGACAGAAACAGATCTCACTGTTTGGTGTAGCACACGCGTGTAGAAGAGTTACATCTATATCTTCTTCATCTTCTATATTTAAGTAAACATGCGCGTACACGAGATGCGCGTGTTGCGTGCGTAAATGCGCTTAGACAAACAATTTACGGCCGTCGGGGTGTCGTTAATGGCGACTGTGTGTTTAAACAATGTCCGGTTGCATCGTTCATTAATAAAATTACGGCGTGCTTCCAGAGCACACTACTGTGTTGATTAAGTTTTCAGTTTTTCAACGCGCAGACGCTTTCAAAAGAAAGCAACACGCACACTGCATATGCACCATATGTACATGCTTTGTTATCTTAATGTTTTGTAGTTTGGAGCTTCCTTTTTTCTGAGCGGAGGAATGAAGTTTAATAGAAAGAAGTAGTTAGGGTTATCTTTATGAATATTACTTTATGCTGGTTATGGTGAGCGTGCGCTTATGTAATTTATGTTTGTGATTACGATTGGGCTTTAAATAGACGTTTGAGGAGATAATATTAGTGTTTATGTTGCTAATATAGCTATTAATATTGATATAATTGCAGTTTAAATTGTTAGCGTTTTTTGTATGAGTGTAGAGTTTGTTTGGGGATTAGACTAGACAAGATGAGACTTGTTAATCAGTCAATGAACGTATTTTATATTTATTTTTATTAAAATTGGCATTTAATGAAATTTTTAAAAATTTTTAAATGATTATTTTAATTAAAAGAATTTGCGCACTTTAGAAATTGTTAAAATACGTAAAATCTAAACCAAAAACGCAAATTTCTATCATTTTCATATAAAAAAAAAGATTAATCTACTGAATATTGATATAAAACTACCCAAAATATTTATATTTGTAATATTCCTACGCGCGCATAACTAGCTTTCATCTTTTAATCCAAAATAGAACTTGTTTCCAAAATAAAAACAACATTAACGCACCCACGAAAAAGATTTAAAGTTCTCGCGCACGCAGTGAGACGTAATCGTTAAGCTCGCGTGCGGGAATTCCTCCAATGAACACCACTACTGCAATGAATGAAAAAATGTTGTTGAGGAAATAAACTGGAGGAAAACGGCCAGCTGCCGCGTTCTAATATGTTTAAAAGGCATTCAACACACCATCAGGAGGAAGCTGGTAGTTTATGGATTAAAAATAAACGCAATGAGAAAAAGGGATAATTAGAATTATTTTCAATGGGTAAAAGAAGCGTATGCATGAAATTAAAGAATACCGGAATTAGAATAGAAAGAATTTAGTGATGAGAGATAAATTTATGGTGATGAAGCTTTCATTATTTTTAATTAATTTGAAAATGAAAAATTTAAATGTTGTGTTACAAATTATTTTATTTTTCACATATTTCGCTTTATTGATATTTTCCATGGTCTAAAAGTGTTTAAAATGGCAATAACTATTAAAAGTAATAATTTTAACTCAATAAATTTGTGTTTATTTGTAGTTAAATTGTTTTCGTCGTCATTTTTCACATAATTATATTATGCACCAAGAATGCGTGCGGTTGGCAGCGTGGTAAACGTGTTCGATCGTAAATAATAACACGGAAGTGATGCTAAAATCGTCTTAATTGCCGAAAAAGCATTAGTCCTGTATTACGCACGGAGGCACGCGACATTTTTGAAGTATTCCTGATGCGCGTCGTGCTGCATGCCTGCACATACACTCACATAAACACCACACACAGGAGAGAAGAGAGACCATTCCCGCCCGCCCGCTTTGCATCAACTTTTTTAATCTTTTCCTGCTTTTACTGTCGCTACCGCTGAGGTCGCCGGATCAGAAAACTTTATGCCTACCTTCCTATATATGTGTGAGAGGAGTTTGTGTGTTGAGCGTCGCGACGTCGTCGCTGGACGAGTTGCATGCATGCAGCAGGAAAGGTGGTGCACTGATGCGTTTCGATCGCCGCCAACGAAAATAACTTGGCATTTACCATTCCCGCGTGCGGCGCTTTCTTCGGCGGCCTCTATGTCTGCTATGCTGTGTGTTATGTGTGCTTATTACTTGCACAGGTATAAACTCTGTCGGAAATTATTATCTTGCTCTCAATTCCACACTTGTGCGCAAAGTATGTTCAAAGTGTCTTTGATGTTAAGTGCGCACGAGGGTTTTGCTTTGTTTGGGTTTTCTGCTTGTTATAAAAGCCAGGTAGTGAAGAACTGAAAAACTGAAAAGAACTTCATGTTATGAAAGCACGAATGTAACATAAATTCAAATTTACTGAAAAAATTTAGTTAAAAATCTTTTTATTAATTATTTTTATGGTTTTTGTTTCAGTACGAGTCCTAGTCAACTGGAAGAAGTGACGTTGGACGCAGATACACCGCTGTGTAAGTTATAATTCATTTGAAACATAAAAATCTATTAATAAATTTAAGTTAGGCATAAAAATTGATATAATATTTGCCAAATAAACATGGATTCAAAGGTTTGGCACGATGGTTTTTTCGCGTGGAGATTCTTTTTTGAATATTGTCAATGTTGAATCTTTGCCAACAGTGATTTGCGACTTTGGCGTTGCGCGCGTGGCGGGACAAAGTGTTTACTCGGCGGACATAATATCTTTGTTTGATTTTCGTCCTCGTGGCATGTAAAAATAGATTTTCTTAAATTATTTGAGTTTAATATTTGAACTCTAATTTTTTTCTTGTTCTTCTTTTAATTTTTCTAATTATTTAATGAGGAAAATTCTCAGACTATTGACCAATGTGAGGGGAATGTTCGGATATGGGCCAAGGCTTTTAAATTGCTCAACACGTTTTATTTTTGTTTCATTCATTAAAAGAAATGTTTATCGACACATTTAAATACAGTATAGCCTGGATTTAACGACAAATTCTGTGTAACGACGAAATGCGGATCAGTTTTTTCTGCTATTTTGGTGTGATTTTCTTTAACAAAACTATAATATCTCTGTAAATATTAAATGCACAGTATTAATAAACATACTGGATATTTAATAAGTTATTTCCTATCTTCTAGACATCGTAGTTATATAAAATCCCAACGTTTTTATCATTAACAACGCAGAAACTCCAATTTTAATTCTGATTGCATTTAATTATGTCATAAATGTGTGCAATAAATAACGCGTGACATCAGTTGATATTTTTATTTGTGGTTTGCCGATCGAATAACCACGAACAAAGAACTTAATAGAACATACACAACTCACGCATGTAGATAAATAAATAATACATAGATCTATTAAACTTAATTAAGACAAACGCTCATCTTGCTTCCGGTAATATTTCCAAAGCGCCGCACCTCAGCAAACAAATCGAAAATAAAAGCCTGCGCATTTTGACAATGCTTCACATTTGATTGGTAAATCACTCCAACATTATTTCAACTCAACAACCACATAATACAACACATAACTATAACTGTGAAGTCGTGAAGTAGTTTATAGTGGTACCCGGTGGTACAAATTTCACCGTTTCCGATTTCCGGTCATGACAAAGTGTGTCAAAAATGATATCCAATCAAATCGCGAATTATAATTGCAGTTTTCAGTTGTTTGGCTGTTTATAATCACTCTGAAATGTCAAAGATTTGATAGTGGTGCATTCGATATCGCAGTGTGTATTAATACACTAATGTAAAAAGAAAAATTATGCATTTTGAGCGTTTTACACATTTTATATCTTGAGTTTTTACGCAAAAAAGTCAATTGAATGAAAACTGCGCACATTAGTAAAATTGATGTTTTTATAAGAAGAAAATTGTGTTTAAATGACAGTGATTTTTGTGTCAAATATAAAATTCTTGTAATGTTGAACGCGCATGGCGCAGTTTTACATTAAGGACGTTATTAAATCAATGCTAAATATGAATAACGATGAGGGGAAGCAAAATATTAATTTACAATCTGCTGAAGATACTGAAGAAACATCTGTTGAAGGTTTAATTATTAAATTAATATTTTTAACATTTTATTTCTTTAAATATTAATTTAATATTTATTTTCAGATTCAGCAGGACTGCGATCACCCATTCTCGGCTCGCGCGGGCGTTCAATCAAAGAATTCGAGGAGCAATTGAGCGGCCTGCGCAAGGAAAATTTCAATTTGAAACTGCGCATATATTTTCTAGAGGAGCGCATGGGTAGTAATATGGACCAGGAGGATGCTGTCAAGAAAAATATCGAACTTATGGTGAAATTAATGATGCTAGCTTAAGACATGTGTCATTTATTTATAAATGATTTGTGTTTAGGTGGAGCTGGAGAGTCTGAAGAAGGAAGTGCAAGAAAAACAAGATTTACTGTGTCAGGCTGTCAAAGCGATGGAATTGGAAGAGGACGAGCATCGCAAGGAAAACGAAAAGAAAGAGCGTGATGTTAAAAACTACAAACATCAACTCGAGACTATACAGCAGCAGTATGATGCGCTGCAGGAGGAAATGCAATCGCAGGTTGATTTGCGTGAGAGGGATTTTTTTGGCAGTGCGATGAATATGCAAGAGGATTCACAGGAGATAATCGCACGGTTGGAAAGTCGCATTGTTGACCTTGAAGGACAAGTAAGTTTTTATTTCATTTTAAACTTCTGTCAAAATAACAGAAAATATTGTATGTTTTGTTTGTGTTTATAGTTGCACATGGAACACGGCGACCACGTGTTGCCCACAACGCATGTAACCATCGAAGAACTCCAGAATAGTCTCAGTGAACGTGAGGATAAACTACGCGAGGCTCTCTGTAAGTTGGACGAACAGTGTCGAAGCATGAGCGAAGTACAAACGAAATTAACCAGCCTCGAGTTGGAGTTGCGCAACAAACAATGCGATGTTGATTCGCTAAAGCGTAAACTCGATCAAACCACAAGTGAGAATAAAGATTTGCACTTGAGTATCGATGAATTGAAGCGGTTGCACACCGAAGGCACATCGCTGTATGAAACCGAATGCAAGCGCAATGAACGCAATCGCGCGGCGATTTCCAATCGCAACGCCAAGATCACCGAGCTGGAGCATGCGATTGAAAAGTACAAGACGCAAGTCGGTAATCTCGAGCTGAAGCTGGAGACGGCTGTAAACGAGGTGAAAAGTAAACGGGACGTGATTGCGGCGTCGCCGAAGAGCAGCACCCCTAAGGCGCTGCTGCAATTTACTGACGGCTCGTCTATTTCAGTGCGAAGTTCGCCGCCGCATGCAGAATATTCGCCTGCGCCAAAGTCGTTGAGGCTGCAGCCGTCGAAATCGCCAAATTTTAAGTCGAAGAGCAATAGCGTCGCGTCCGCTGACGACGATGCTGATAATGTTGATAATGCGCCACTACTCGATGAGGTGCATTATCAAAATCTCGGCGCGCAGGAACTATGCGCCGAGCTGGTTAAGTACAAAAATCATGTGGCTAAACTCGAACAAGATCAGCTGAAAGCGTGTCGCATTATTCAAACAATGCTTGAGACACGCAAGAAAAACGGGAAAGAAATTGATGACCTACAGAGGTCGCTGCAGAAACGCGACGCCATTATCAACGATATGCGAATGGTGAAGATACCAGCGGAGAAGAAGACGATTCAGGAGCGCGTCTCCGAGCTTAATCTCACTGCAGCCGCACCGACGTCGGACACTGAGGTACGCACGCACGCTTTTAAAACAAACGCAGCTAGTAGTAGAGTTGTTGATGTAGTAGTTGGTAAGAAGAAAACGAGCCGGGCGACACAATGCGCGTTGTTGGGTAATAAGCGCTGATTGAATCGAATTGATTTGCATGAGTGGTGTGTGTGTGCACACACACGGGAGATGCTAAAAATAGCACCGCGCGCGCGCGTCCTGAATAGTTGAAATTCGTGTCTCTTGCGCGGCTACAAATTGTCACTGCGCGCGGTAGATATTCATAGAAGTTGCTGCGTGGAATTTAGTCAAATTCTAACGTTAGCACTTTAGCATGTCTGTCGACAAAGATAGAAGTGCATTGTGAGGCGCTGCCCGCTAGTAATACGATGTTTTCGTCGTGCATTTGTCAGAAATCGGCCAGACGCGTAATACTCACACACACCCACATAGATTTTATTTGATTACACAATCGTGCTTTATTAATTTACGTTTAGCTTTGGTTTCAGTTGCGTTATTCTTATAATTTTTGTGTTTTGTGGTAAGGGTAACTCAACTATACGCGTTTGATGAGACATTGAGAGTCATTAAGCAGATTGAGTGATTCTCAATTTCTTTTTTAGTTTTGGACGCGCATGGTGGGAACTTGCGAGCTCGTCTCAAAGTATCTGAATAATTCGCACTCGCAAACCGTGTAACACGCTTGAAACGCTTGCACTAACAAAATTTGTATGAATTATTGCGATTAACACAGTAAACACTAATTATTTATCCTACAACTACAACTGTTTTGAGCAGGTAGCAGATGGATTCTTTTTCGAAGTTATTTTTATATATTTTATATTTGTTTGATGATTGGCAGACTGGAGAGTAAAATAAACGCATGCAAATTTTGTTCTTTTGCGTTTTATTTTAACACATGTGATAGTTTTAGCTGTTTTTGTATTAATTAATCATTGTGTTATTGTATTTATCGCAGCGGGCCGAGTCGGTGGATGAGCACGATCCGCACTTACTCTTGGAACAGTACAAACAGTTTATCAACGAATTAGATTTACAAAAACAGGTGAATTGTTAATCATTTTTAAGATTTATTAATAAAAAAATAATTTTTTATTTGTTTATTTTGTGTGTTTAGAAACTAGCTCATACTCTGCATGAAAAAGACGTTTTTATTGAGCAACTTGAACGTAAATTTGAAGAACTCTACAAGGATAACAAAGCGAAAGAGAATCGCATTGCTGATTTAGAGTATGAATTAGTAAATACGCCTGATAATGAATCCGGGAATAGTGTTAAAGAAAAAACAGACACTGGTAATGAGAAAATAAGTTTCTGGATTAAAGAATCAGAAGAAAAAGATCGTGAGATTGATAAATTAGAGAAGGAACTTGCGAAGCGAACGAATGATCTCCAGAGTGTTGTTAATATGGAGCTATGGCAGAAAAATCGTGAGATTGAACGCCTGCAGAAGTATGTAACAAATTGTGACAAGAAAGATGTGGAGATTGCTAACCTCATGAAACAAATCGCTGAATTAGAAAACACAAATGCTGTATACACGCTGAGAATCCAAGAGTTGGAAGAAGTAAAGTATGAAGAACGTAATGAAATTCAAGAGAAACTTAATACGAGCAATGAAGACCGAAATGATTTACTCATTGAAGTGAACAGTTTGAATGCACAGGTTGCTACAGCAGTCAAAGAAAACAAGACTCTTAAAGAAGAATTGAAGTTGAGTGACGCACTGCGTGCTGAAACGCAGGAAGTTTGTGCGATACTCGGAAAACGCCTTGAAGAACTCGCAAACTTTTTGGATACGCTACTTAAACAGAAGTCTGTACTTGGTTTCTTAGGTTTCAAACAAAATAAGATGCTAAAACAAAAAGTGGAGGAAAGTTTGGATTTGTCAAGGAATTTATCGATTACTCTGCAGATGGCTGGCGATCAGAGTTTGCTACAGTTAAGTAATATATCAGAACTATTAAATTCTACGAATGCGCATGCGGGAATGGAAACAACTTTAGATTTGAGTAATAATTTGACAACGCTGAGTATTGTACCTGATGATATTAGCTTAACGTATCAGAATCATTTGAATGTCAAGAGTAATGATCAATCCGAAGTGATTCGCGTGTTGCGCGCGCAGATTGACAAACTTAAAGGCGAAGTGGAGATTCGTGATCATGAATTGTCACAGAGAATGTCTCTGAATTCCATGAGGCAGATTGATTTGCTTGATCAGATTGGTGATATTAGTGGCACAGCTGCAAATACACCACTTTCTGCTGAGGAAATTATGTTACGGCTTAAATTGAATGATAAAACTAAAGAATGCGATAATTCTGACAGTGAATCATGGTCCGAACCAGATCGGGATGTGAGTAAAGCAAGAATTGGTCTGGATGACCAAGTTCTCAAACCAAAAGTGAAAATGATCAGTGAATCCACCGAAATGGAAGCACGGCCTGTTTCTAGAACTCCATCGAAGAAGTCGGTGAGTAGTGAGAATCGTTTAACTGAACAACTTAATCAAAAAGATGAGTTACTCAATGGTACGTTGTTGAAATGTCAAGAAATCGAAGCTAAATACGCGGAAGTTTCGAAAAAGTACGAAGATGTCTGCGCGAAATGTCGCCTGCTTGAAAATAACAACTCTACATTGAATAAAGAGTATAAAGATCTGGATAATTTATATCAATCGTTGAAAACTGCCTACACTAGCGAAAGGGAACAATTTGAAGTTACTTTGAATGATCGCGCTGAATTACAACGCACTACGAAAGATTTACAAGAGAAACTTCGAGCAGCGAATGAGGTTAAGTTGTCTTCTGAAAATGAAGTTGTTTTACTGCGTGGAAAGATTGAGAATTTAGAGTCGTATAAATTAATGCTGATTGAATCTATGGAGACGAAAACCAAATTCCTTGAAAATCGTGTGCATGAATTAGAAGTTGAGAAAAATACAGCTCAGCAAGAAAGCAAGATGGCGGAGGGTAAACTTGAAGAAGCACTCAAAGAAATCGCACGTATTAAGGATAAATTATTATCGGTTGAGTTCAATCATGCAAAATCTACATCTACACTTATAGACGACGCAGAAAAGGAAGTACAACGTCGTAGGGTGGAACTTGAGAGAGATTTTGAAGAACGCGTGCGTAAAATTGAATTCAACGCGCAGCGTGAAGTCAATCGTATTCGGGAGGCTGCCGAGGAAGTTGCCAATAAATACGAGAAGGACTACGTTGAAAAGTCGGAGATGAATAAACTCAAAGCGATGATTGAAGACTTGGAATCAGTTCAGGATGTGTTAAAACTGACTGAGCAGAAGGTACGACAGTTGGAGGCTTCCGAAAAGTGTCTGAAACAAAACTTGTTTGATTCCGAATGTTCGTTTAGGAATAACCTGAATGAGTTGCGTAGGGAACTCGACACTGCGACAGAACAAAACTCACAATTGCAGTTGGAGAGGACAAATAGTGAAGAAGAACGTACGAGTTTACATTCACAGCTGAAACAGTTTCATGATCGCGAGGAATTGTTTGAGACACAGGTTGCTGACCTAAAGAATGATTTTGCGCAGTTGAAAGATAACTTTAAACGTCAACTACATGCGATAGAAACAGAAAAATCACATCTTGAAGTTAAAGTCAGCAGTTTAGAATCACTCAATGCAGATTTACAGAATCAAATTGTCAAGTTACAATGCAATTCCGAATCGAATAAGTCTCACTCAGCGCCTGCTACTCCCACAGGAAGAATATTGAATATGTATTTGTCTAAGAATCAACTCTATCGTCAACCAAATTATCACGTCAATGATATTTTCGGGAATTATCAGCGTAACAATGAAAATATCGAAAATGTCGATGAAGCTGAGCGAAACCAAGCGAATTCATCACCGGATTTGGGCATTGAGAGTGATCAGGGACGTTTTTCAAGTCTCGATGCTAACATTGTCTCCGTGCGACCACTTCAGCCATCTATTGAGTTGGCAGTGTCGATGAGTGAAAACTTTGACCAACATCGTCTTTCAAATGAGAACTGCGGTATGATTTATTTATTAAACTGTTTTTTGGGATGTTTAATGATGTTTATTTTGTTTTTGTTTGTAGGTAATGATAATTGCGGTCGTGTAGTCAAAGAAATGCACAGCGAGAATTACCTGCTCAAGAAAAAACTACAAAAGTCAAACAAACTTCTCGAGGATACTCTGACGCAGCTCGCCAAGGCAAATCAACGCAAACGTGAAGTGGAGAAGAATATTTGCAAACAGATTCACAAAACCAGTCAGGTGCTCAAAATTGCAAAGGCAAATCTTGATTCAGGCTCGGATACTGAGCTGGTGCGAAAGTAATTGCTCAGTTTCCCTCATCAATTTTTAATTCCTATTTATTTATTCATCTATGACACATTGCTCCTCATGTGTGGTTGGTTGCGTGTCCGTCTGAATGCCGAGGCGCGCTCATTTTCTAACAGTTTTCTCTCCTGTACTAAACAAAAACCCATCACATTCCTATTTTTAATTGTCTACACATACAATATTGATATACTAACACATCCCGTCCATGGTAATATTTAAAAATTGTTTGTTTTGCGATAAAGCGTCTACCGATCCAGTTTTTAACACAACTATTGCAATTAATACATCCATCCCTGAACTTTACAAGTTTTAACATGTCGAATATGATTGATTAACACACCTTCCACGGCGTTTTTCGCAAACAAATTTGTGATCTGCGGCGTGAGCCTCTGTGTGCGTGTTTTCTGTGCGTATGTGGAGTCAATTCGAATGTACAAGATGGATGATAATGTAAAAACACACGCAGTTATCTTTCCGATGCAAAATTAATACGAGACTGGAATGTGATATGCGTATATATTACATATTTTTAAAATGAAACTGATGAAAATTGATCACACGTGCCAAATTGCTGTGCATTCAGTATATTTATTTGATTTGATTAGTATTAATCTTGGTTTCTGACCGTTTGTGGCTGTTTTGAACGACGTTGTATTCAAATTGTATGTACATAATGGATGGCGTTGAAATTTTTGTTTCAGTGCGCGATTTTTGCTTCGATTTTGACCATGTTAAATTTTTAATGATAAGTATTAGTTATTGTATCACTTTGATGAACTGACTGTATATATTTTAATTTTAGTTACAACAAAATAGCACAGTAAATGAGTTATTTTAAAAAATACTTTGTTATCATGATATTAGATAATATTTTTGTGTTTTTATCTTGTTTTCACATGAAAATGATGATTTTTCATTGAACAGGCTTGAAAATCATCGTTTTTACATTTTAAATCATTGAAAACAACGCGATTTTTGAATGCGCAAGTGATATTTACCCTTTCTCTTTGTTTATGTGATTTATCAATTTGCGCATGCACAGTTGACTCAAATATGTCATCTCTTTCAACTCAATCTCTTCTCTTTAATATTCTCTTCTATTCTTTATTGCGCATCGATAGAAAACGGATGTACTAACTAAATTCTTACGCGTACGGCGCGTTCTTGCCGACATCCGCCATTTTGTGTACCGGTTTAAAACCACGTGTTAAATTAATATCAAACTGCGGTTGCGAATAATTAAATAATGGGTGCAATTTATGACGGTAATATAATTGAAGTAATTGACGAATCGAAGAACACTAATCTGCATAAGCTTGCACTTAATGGCGAGCATTACGAGCTGACCAAATTCGAAGCTGGATCGAAAATCGACACGCCGAATGCGTACGGTTTAACACCGCTGATGCTTGCGGCGAGGTTCGGCCAGTTAGAAGCTATTAAAGTGTTGTTAGACTTAAGGGCAGATGCTACTAAAGTCAACAAATACGGTAAGATTACTTTCTTAGTTTGTTAGTTTTTATTTTTTATACTATGTAAAATGGCATTATTTGCACTTTAGGAGGAAGCGTCTTTTTAATGGCAGTGGCTTCCGGTAGCCTGGACGTGGTGAATCTTCTTCTACAACATTTATTGCAAGGAGGAGTGTCAAGACAAGCACTTGAAAATCAACTTTCACCGATATCGTTATCAATTCTATTCGGACACGAACACGTGTTTAAGTTTTTGATTGGTAACAAATTTAACGTGCAATCAATTTCATTATACACAGGTTAGTACAATTCTAAATCCAATAACACTTCTATTGATCCTTTTTAATTGTTTTTGTAAGGATTAACACCTTTAATGTTTGCTGCACTCAACGAAAACCCTGTTTTCACCAAACATTTACTCATGATGGGTGCGGATCCACGCGTGCGTAACGCCAACAATGAAACATGTCACGATTTAGATAGATGGTTAAATGGTCCACCGGAAATTCGGGAACCACCACAGCAGCAACACCTACCATACCAACAACAACACCAGCCATATCAGCAACAACCACAGCAATCGACACATCATAATCCCAATCATAATCATAATCATAATCAAGAACTACATATTCAAATCCCTCAATATCCTTATCAATACCAACAACAGCATCAGCAATATGAACAACCACAACATCATCCACAGCATCAGCAGTATGAACAACCACAACTTCAACCACAACCTCAACAACTGCAACCTCAACATCAGTCACCACTGATAATGATAAGTCCTCAAGCAGCTCCATATTACAATCTAATGCCAATGCCCCGCAAGTCTTCCAACTTGTGCACACCGGATGAGATAACACCGACTGTCTCACCAGTAGGTTTCTATCCGCAACAAATGTTCTTCCCTGCTGATTTTACTCCTTCACAATACGCAAGTCCCAATTATCTTGTCGGCAGAACCTATCAACCTTACAATCCAGATTATGTAGTGTCTCCTGTTTATGGTATGGGCCCATGGGTTTTCACTTCGCCGTACACGCACAATGTGAACACAAACATGGCGGAGGATGTCTTTCAAGCGTAAAGTAAAACTACTAAACGGTAAAACTGAACCAATATGAATTTTTAAATTGTTAATCGTATTTGAGAATGATCAGCACTTTTGAAGGACATTTAGTCCTGAATAAGTGCTTATTTTATTTATTTGACATAATTTTTTTGTTTGTGAAACTCGTGATGTCTAAAAAATGGGTTATTTTGATGGTAACGTTAGAATTTTTATAAAACTACTGAAATACCGGTCTATTTGTTGCGTGGAAAGGTTTAAGATGCAATATTTGAGCGAGTAATGTATTTAAATCTAACCTGCAGCGAGTAATCAATTTTATTTATTCAACAATTTCGAAATTTTTGTATTTAAATGTATTTAAGTGTCCTGAAAGGATTGTTTTCTATAAAATATGCAAACTTAACTCATCTGTGACAATAAAGAAGCATTGACTATGAGAATGAGTAATGGCGGACAATAATAACACATTCAAACTTACATTATTACTAAATTTATTGAAATTGAATAATTTTTTATCACTTTAAGTGCTAAAATACACTTTATACCATGTTAAAACTAATACAATGTATAAATCACGTGTTTATAACTTTTCCACGTTCAAAATGATGTCTTCCGCTGCTTGGACCAAGACGCCATTTTTAAACTTGACTGGATACTGGATTTTCTTCGCGAAAGTGAAGCGGTAACGCGTCAGGAGTTGAATCAGACCTATTTTGGCTTGTAAAACACCAAAACGAAGACCTAATACATAAAAAACAAACAAAATTAATAATTTTAACCATAAATAACATAAAAATATTAATTACCGATGCAAATTCTGGGTCCTTCACCAAACGGCATCCATGTATACGGATGACGAGTCTTCTTATTCTCCTCGGTGAACCTCTCAGGATCAAACTTCTGCGGATCCGGATAATACTCAGGATCATAATGTATTCCCATCAAGGGAATGAATACTTTGGTGCCTTCCTCTAAAACCACATCAGTTCCAGGCACTTTATACGCCTTGGTGCATTCACGATTCAAAACAGGTAAAGCCGGATACTTCCTCAATGTTTCATTAATACATTGTTCTAAATACTTCATATCATTGACACATTCATAAGTCATTTCATTATTATGTTGTTTTAGGACTTTCTGGACCTCCTGGCGTGCTTTCTCCTGTAAATCAGTATTAATACACAACTCTAACATCAAATGTGTCATTGTGGATGAAGAGGTTTCAAATCCAGCGATGAAAAACAAAAACGCTTGACTGACAATCTCCTGCATGCCAATCTCAGCCTTCTGCTTCATCTCCAACATCAACTGTAAGAGATCATTGCGTTTAATTTGATTATTCTCACGGTATTCAACTGTTTCCGTTGTGATTTTCGTGTAGAAGTTGGCGATGTCATGCGGGAAGTTGACCATTTTCAACCAGGCACCCAGCTTGGGGAAGGCAGCAGTGAAAGGTAACTGCATTTTGAATTGTAAGGTGAGGTTGATCAATCTGTTGCCGTAGTACCGGAAGTCCGAGTCTGGGTTTTTGAATGAGTTGCAATCGATGCCAAACGCACAGGTTCCAATTACATCTGTGGTAAATCTTGCAGACATTTCTTTGATGTCAATAGGTTCACCAGTTCTGACGTGTTCTTCGATTTTATCAACCATAGGCACACTGCAGGCCACAATCGATGGATACATTGTCTTCATCTTACCGGAAGTGAATGTCGGGGTTAGTTTCACACGTAGGTTCTTCCAGCGATCACCGCCGATGTTGAATAAGTGTCCGTTGATCGGTTGGTCTTTCTCATTGAAATAAATACCTTTTTCGTCGAAATAACTGTAATCTTTAGTCATAATCATCTTCATTAGTTCAGGTTCCACCGGGACGTAGACAGGTTGTTGGAAAATGTATGCTCCGCCATGTTTAAGACCCTTTTCTTTGAAGTAATTGTAATAATCTTGGAATTGCAGGCCCATCATGCTGGCGTTTGGTGTGAAGATGTTCTTCAGGTTGCCGAACGGAAGTGACGCACCTGGATACGTCAATATCTTCCGTTTCTCCCAGTAACTGTAGGTTTGTTTCCCGTAGACGTAGCATAATGCGCTTATGATGGTTATAATGGCGATTAACACAAACATTTTGAATTAGTTTTTATTATTTTTTAGTAAAATTATTAATTAAACATATTTTTTATGTTTTAGAGGCTGGAAGTCGTTGTTTGAGAGTTTGATACTTAATAAAGTTGATCGGGATGTTTGCTGATCATTAAATAGAAGTTGCGATATCAGGGCCGTACTGAGCGTGATGATTATGAATGTACTTGACTTTACTAATACACGTGTGTGTATCAAGGTTATCTTGCTAATAATCAGTGTCTCTTGCAAGTCATTTCAATATGATTTTTGTTTATCTCTCGCCATGAGTAGCGTGAATCAGCAAGTTGATATATTGGTGTTGGTTGCGATGCTAGTTTTAGATGGGTTCCTGGCCATTTTTTATTTTTTTCGGTTGTTTATTGTATAAGCAATGATTTTGCACATTTTATAGTGAGAGGAATTAAATTTATACAAATTAGATGGATTATTTGCGTGTAAACAAAACAATTTTTATAAAAATATTGAAAAATTCATTTTATAACGGGAAAAATGGTAACTTAATGTTTTTCAATGATAATTACAAGGTTTCTTGTTCAATTAATTCCGGGATTTGTTATAAACAAAATTGTACCTTGGAGAAGTTGTTTGACCACTGATATTTAGGTAAACATAGATTACTCTAATAAGTTTACTGAATTTATAAGTAAATTAAGACTTAAGTATATGTAAAAATTTTTTGAAAGTTATGCCAAATCATTGCTGATCGTGATGATTTGCGTTTTAGTTTTAGTAACTAACTTAACATGACTTGTTAGTTATGTGAGTATGTGTTATGTAACAAAGTTTTGCGTTTTGTATAATTACAGTTAGCGTTACTTTTAATGGCAATTTTATTTTGCGAGCAAATTGCGTGGCAAACTCGCACGAGTTTGCAAATGAAAGTAAAAGGTTGATAAACTTAATAATAGATTTGTTTTCGATGTAGATCGGGTCATTTGATGTCTGTTTTTTGATATATTTGTGATAAAAAGATTGTAATCAAGGTTGTCGTCTCAAATGTGCGTAAGTTCATCCGCCATTGAGTCTATTGCCATCCGGATATTATTTACATTGCGCATGCTCCTAACTTAAATCTGAGCTTCACGAGTAGCATTACCATAGTACTACTTTTCACTATAAAAATAGGAGAAACGTTGTGCTTTCTCTCCACTGGAAGCTATTCTTACAGGTTTCTAGATAATTTTCACGCAAAAATAAATAAATTTAGGAGAATATTTAACGCACAATGTTGGCAACAAAACGTTGTGTACTTGGACTACACAAATATTGTATATTTCGTGAAACTTTGGAAACTTTTGAGCAATGCCAAGAGTAGTTCATACTACGCCCGTGGGTGGCGCCACTTATCTCTTTCAAAATGTTATCCAAACCAGCCGCAACCTGTAACCGCACCATACGCAAATTCATAAATAACGTTTGTGTTGTTTAAGAATCATCTATTATACAATTACTAAATTAAACATTAAACTAATAGCTAAATATGTCTGAACATGGAGCGACACTACAAACATTCAACCAAGAACTCGTAAAAAGTAAATATTCATACATAAACTACACATATTTACATTTCTAACCTCATATTTATATTCACCACTTTTAAAACAGGTCTAGAAGAACTCAAACAACGCAGAAAAGAACTCTCCCACATCATATATCACCAACAAACACAGAAAGAAACATTAGAACAACAAATAAAATCACTCCAAGATGATTTAACCATCGTAAATTCAAAACTGAATGAAAGCAACAAACTTAAATCCTCCTATGATCAAGTTATCAATGAAACTGAAGAAGGATACAAAAAGGTATAAACAAAACACAAAACCACATAAAACCACAACAAATAAACATAATATAAACATTTTATAGATTTTAGACACATCTCAAGCACTCCTCAGTGCAATCCAACTAGAATCAACAAGATTATCCAAAACTAAAAAGGTATACAATTAATAAATCCAACAAAGAATATTTTTACAAACTTTTATTATCACTATCATTACATATTCATATGGAAGACTAGCATAAGTTAAACAGTTCCATTTCAAACTTGATATATGTACTAAATATCACATAATCAATACAATTACAATACATTATGTTTGAAATGTCTCATAAGTCATGCACTTTTATCTTAACCACTAAAAACTAACAAATAATCAGTTAATATCATCATAATATGTATTACAATCATCACAAATGTTGAAATTTCGAGGTGCAAGCATTATTGCTATTCATGTACAACCACAACAATCTAAACTCTTAAAATCTACGCATTGCCCGCAGATTTCTGCTCATTCCACGCGGTTATCAACTCCACCGGATCACTAAACCCATGCGAAGCCACTGTAAACGTGTAAGAATCCCTCGAATATTCTTTTTTGTACATATAAAACTCATCGGAGTGGAATGGCTCGATGTTTGTGCGTAATGCAAGCAACGCGACGTAAATATCATCAAAACGAAAATGTTGCGTATAAAAACTCGCGTAGTACATCTCCATCAACGCCTCACGCGATAACAGATACGCACCGGCCGTTACATACGGCGGCCATCGATTGTATGGATATTCAGCTAGGCCAATGTAGAATTTCGTGAAGTAATGCCGCAATGGTTTCGTATTAAACACATAACCAGCGTATAACTTCACATCATTCGGTAATTCCATATCAACCAATTGACGTCTTCTTCTGTGATTTATCGTCTGTTTACTTTTTAGTGATCCTTTGATATATTCCGGATAGTTTGTTGGATTGCGAACGAATCTAAGGACGTTTTTTGTTGATATATAGTAATCATCATCAACAAACATGTAAAATTTCGCAGTGTTGCAGTGTTGCACCGCCCACTTGAACCCCATCATTGTTTTGATTGTATTGTTATAGTAAACATCAGTGAAATTGCTTTGTAAAATATCGCCGAATTTTGCAGATTCCTGATTGAGTTTTTCTTGTTGTTGCTGTTGATTTGGATCATCTCTGTAGCCAAGCATGAAGACTCTTCGTATTTCCACATCTGAGAAGCGCTGTTCGTATCCCCAGGTAGCGCGTATTACTGACCGTCGATAGAAATTCTCTGGGGATGATTTAATCAGGTATACAATGCGTATGGGATCATTTGTTTTGCACTTATCAGTGAGCTCATGGATGAATGCATAGTTGTATTGGTTGATTGGTGGAATGTCGGGTTTGAGACCCATGCGGAGCTGATATGCTGAGTAGGAAAAGTCACCATCGTAGGGATAGTGGAAGTCTGTGTGGAAATCTTTCTCGAAGAGTAGTTGTAGTACACCAAACAATTGCAGTATTATTACTAGTACTGTGCAGCAGAGCAAGTGGCGCAGTTTGATTGAGTGTTTTATTCGGCGGAACATGATGAGTAGAGATTTACACGTTGATTAAACACAAGTGAAATAATATTCGAGTATTTTATTTGTAATATCTTAGGGTTTCACATCTTGCACTTGAAGGTTATGTAAGTTTTGTTTGGAATGTGTGTAGGTATGATAGAGGGATTTAAACCGGAATCAAGCTGCAATAAAGTTGAATCATGTATCATAAAGAGTAATTAACAGATTACAGATATGATTAATGTCTTTTATGATGATAAAAACTACAAAAACAACAATGAATTTGTTTTAAATGTTTTTTTCATTCATTTTAAAGATTAGGTTAGTTATTTATAGGTTATAATATATTAAGCTAACCTCTTTAGCTTATTGTATTTGAAAAACAAAGTATATCCGCAGATTATATTGATTTATTGCATTCTGCTCTAGATAAAACCGGTGATTAGCACCCACAGACATATAAATACAAAATAGTAATAAATTAATATCAGTTTTCTGCAAATTTCTGCATCCATACTTTATTTAATTAATAATTTCAAAATGGTTGCCATTCAAGGCAAATTCTTACTTCTTGCTATTTCATTCTATAACAACTATTTTGGCAAACTGCAGGATAAATGTAAATTATTCCTTATTAAACTATTAAAATATTAATCAGAGTGTTATATTGTAGTTGCTGCTGTTAATAACACTCTTCCATCACGTTTACAACAACCACAACCATATGGACGTTATGAAGATCTTGTCATCGGTGTGCTGGAAGAAGCAAAAGCTTTGTTTATAACTGGTGTACCTGAAATGGGTATTCCAGTATTGGATCCATTAGTTCTGGATGCATTACCGTTTAATTTAAATCTACCAGACTTAATAGAGTAAGTGAATTAATGTTATCATTGCAGTTTAATTGTTTTTTTTGTTGTTTTCAGGGCTGATATTGGCTTATCACATGGCATGTTTAAAGGATTGAGTGATTTTAACGTCACCGATGTGAAAATTGATATAACCGAAGATATTTTCCCAATAAAAGCGAGCATCAGTGTTAGATTCAATGATCTTTATTTTGTATCGAACTATGCTATAAATGGAAGCGTTGGAGGGTCAACTCAGGCATTTGGTGGCATTTTAGCGTAATTTTAATATAATTTTTTGTATTTATTATCAGAATTTTTATTATTATTATGAATATTTTTAGCCTAGAACTGGATAATTTTATATTTAGTCTTTCGATTGAGACGGGACAACATTGTAACGTAATTACTCTGGATAAGAATAGTTTTGGATTGGAAATTGAGGCGGCTAATGTAAGTTGTTTCAAAATGTTGTATCGAAACACTATTTGATTGCTTTCAGGTTTTCATCACTGGACTCATGAACGATGAAAACATGAGCAGTGAAATATCAAAATTATTAACCGAAATATTGGCTGACACTATTACAGCAAGCTCAGAAGGCTTGGATGAAATGGTATCGCCAATAATTCAAAAGGAACTTAACAAGATACTGGCGTATTTATTGTTTGAAGTTTAAATACAACTTTTTAGTTGCGTGAACTGCCGCTAGAGTACTGGCATTCAGTTTGTGTGAAGTTATCTAAAGTAAATTTTAAATAAATACGTTTTAATGAATTACTAAGTAAATAAAATAGTTACCATATATTTTTAGAGCTTTTTAAAAGGTGAATAAAGTTGTATTTGTGAGTTTTGTTGTGTTTTAGGTGCTTATAATGTATGAATAGTAAGTAGAAGTGGCAACATGGCGCACGTTCAGCTCGGTCCTCCTTGTTTTCTGCGTGCATGCAGTTCGCGGCAGCGGCAGCGGACTGATTCTGTCAGTGACGCCGCCATGTTTACCCTGCGGAAAGTAGGCTGTGCGCTCGAATCGGTTATTTAAATGCGTCGCTGTGCAATCCGTGCGGGCGATTAATTAGTTCACCGAATCAGTTCGACAATAATGGATACTAAGGACAGAGGTGAGCGAGCACATTTCATTGAATAATCGCGCGTAAACGGCCAACGGGCCCGCGACGTATCGCAAGGGGCAATGGCAAAGTCAGGGTCGAGAGATTTGGTTCACTGACCGCATTTCTCAACAAACGCCGCACGTCCAACAACCTATTTCGTGCGCCTGCATCGCGTTGCTCATTTCGGCGTGTTTCATTTGTTTTGACATTTATTTTCCCAATTGGATTGCGATTGCGGTCGGATTGTATGCAGGCCAAAAGCGGACCGAAAGTGATAGGAAGCGAATGGGAAAGGTTCGTTAATTTGGGTTAAAACAAAATCTAGTCGGCCTTCATCTAAATTCGTACGAGCGCACATTTGTATTTCGGTGCGGTTTTAATATTCACAGCTCGAGATTCAAGAGAAAAAAAGTAACTAATTTTGTATTTATTATCATAAAATTAATTCTTCTAACAAACAAACAAACTTAATAATGTAAATGTGTATATGATAAAATGTCGTTGGTGCATTTTTTTATTTAATTTTATTTTGAGTTTGCGTTTTTTAATACTTTTTACATTATGCTTAAAATGTGTAACAGGTTCCCGAAGTCAGGCGAGTAGATACGATAGGTTAGTGTCGTCACCGACGTACAGGTGTCTCCCTCATACCGTGAACTCAACATAATTCTGCTTGCGCTGCCAGCTGTCAAAAATATTCACGACTTTTACTACTTTAGAAATATTTTGAATTGTAAATTATTTATTTACAGCCCTAAACACCCAAAAAAATTTATTTATCTTCTAAAGAACAATAGTACATTAACAACAATATCAAAATCAAATATTTACATCATTGAATCCCCGCGTGATTAGTGATTATTTACTGATTTGCATACTGTTCGCTTTGCATGCTGGCAATTACGTTACATATGCGATGCACTCGCATTATTAACACGTCAATTTGCGACGCTCACCACCCGAGGGGTTTTGCCTCGTCGCTGTTGTTTTTTCCTCCTCATATTATTATTAGAGGTGACCTACTTTCAAACGAGCTGCATGCGCATCGCCAGCATCACGATTCATCTCCTCCCTCGAGTGGAAGGAAGACGCCGACACGAAGGGGACGTGCATGCAGCGACCCTGACCTTGGTACGTCTATCCTGGCGTGTCAAGGTCTTGCTCGTTTTGCTATTCACATCTCCCACACGCTGAATGCGCCGACTCCCAATGCCCCAATCATTTAATTACGATTATAACCCGCCCGCTCTCGCTCGCAAAACAACATGTGCATAAAAATTATGATTTAATGTGTGTGGTGTATTGGGCAGACAGGAAAACAAATCGTTTAAGAGTTAATTGTGATCAGTATTTTTATATTTTTATTGTGTTATTCTTATTTTAGTCGCGAGAAATGTAATTAAACGTGAAATGTGGGTTGGGATTTTTTGTGTGGTTTTTAGTGTTTGAAAGGTAGTTAGGCAAAGTCTCGACCTAATTTCGGTTAAGACCCATCCAGACCTTGCGGGAATTGTATAGAAGATCGTCCTTGAGACATTGCACACCGGTTTTAGAACGAGTAGAAACCCTTTTGCCTGTTTTTTTGCTATTCTGTGAATGCGACCTTCGAAAGCGCTTCCGGGCGGTAGATATTGCATTCAATCATGTTGATTGGACAATATATTGTCAATATAAGGAATTATTTTTGTTAAATTTGATATATTTGCATTAATATCATATTAATATTATATTAAGTTGCAACACACGTGAATTATTGTTGATTGATCAATATATTGTACATTTTCTTCATGTACATTGATCAATAATTGCCCAATATTTCAAAAAGTTGCAATTTATGAATAGTTTTATCAGAATTTTTTTTGATTTTTAAAATAGGTATATTGTAAAAATAGAAATACGTCAATCATTTAATTAAAATTTTACAGATTGATCAATATATTATCAATATTATTAAATTATTTCCATGTTTTCCTATAGATTGTTCATTATATTGTCAATAATATACACTGCAACTACTTTTGAGTGAGTAATATCTGTGAATTCGTCATTTTGGCAGCCAGAGTCATGTGAGTACGGAGTGAGTGTGGTGGCTCTCTTGCTGCAGGAGGAGCACAACCCACAACGCGCGCGCCAACTAGTAAATCATCGCGTGCGGCTAGACGCTCGGCGCGTCCTGCCTGCCACAGTCCTGCAAACGTTTTCGCGCGGGCGGGCGCAGCGGACGAACGCGACGACGACGCTGTGCTTTCCAACTTTTCATTCGCAGTAAATAAACGCGACGCGGGCGACGCAGACTGCACCGCGCGTACACATTTCACAATCGACGAAATGTCGAATTGTTGTTGATTTAAACAATCGCGCGCGCGCCAGCGAAAATTATTATTGTTCGTGCCGGCGGCGGCACCGCGCCGTCGACTGATGATAATACGCGTTTATCGCTGCGCGCCGCACTGTCTGGCTGATTATAAAAACGCGCGCGCCGCTGCATTGTTTCGTAATTTTACCTAATTAAAAACCAGCTCAACTTGATTGTGATTGGAAATTTATTTAGTGGTTTATTGGAAATATGTGACAAAATTTTTAATTTTTATCAAGTGTTTTGGGAAAAAATTAAAATTAGAAAAAATGAACATGATGAAAAAGGATAAGCCCATGATGAGTGTGACGGCAATCATCCAGGGTGCACAGGCCCAGCACTGGGGCCGTTTTGCAACTGGATTTGGCAATAATTTACCGCTAGGTAACTAAAATTACAATTATACACCTATGAACCTTCAATAAGTTTCAATGTCAAACGAAATTGCTTTGGCACTTTGGGGGTTTATTTATGGCGCAGTTCCGAGAAGAGTTCATTTTCATTTGATTGCGGATATGTTAATAAGTCACGAATGTGAAATAAATCGCGACGAAAGTAAATGTTTTTGTTATTCGGACAAGCGTTGCGTGTTTGTGCTCATTAACACGTCGAAAGAAATTACTTCGATTACATTTAGCGGGTAATAAGTTATATTTTTTCTTCGTTGTGGATTAATACAAGTTAAATATTGAATTTTATTGATATTTTTGAGATTTTTATAGACATCGTTTGCCGAGCGCATCTAATAACTATGTAATATCAATCGAGTGCTTACCGTGCTCGACCTCGAAGTGTGTTTACTGTTTACTCATGCTCTATACGCACACAGAGAAACAAACAAACACACGGCGTGGTTTTTCTTTGTTGTTTTTCCAGCCCGATGAACTATTTGCTTTCCCATTTACTTGCGCATCAATAACGAATGCCATATCAACACGCCATCGGATTGATTGTCCGTTTGGTTTACTGATTGTATCATTGTTAATCAGTAATAGTAATGGTAATAGTTATTTAAAAGGTTGAACGTGCTTAATTAAGTTTAATATTTAAATTTTTGGGGGTGAAGGTCTTGATTTGGTTCGATTCGATTGTGTGTTGCAAAATTTACTTTTTTTGTTAATTGTGGTATTTGAATTATGCATTGTCAGTTTTCCGGTTTGTGGCGCACTGAATTATTGACGTAGCCTCGAACTATGTATTACTATTTGTTGGTGGAATACTAAAGTGTATTGAACGGGTGATAGAGGAGGATTCTATTAGTATGAATATAGTTATGGTTAGGGCTTGTATTTGAATGATTAATTTAATTTCATGTTGGAGTATAAGAAGATGTGCAATATTTATTTAAAAAAATTAATTTAATTGTTAACCTTACTCCGTATAAAGGCGAAATTTTTACAATTTGGTTGGTTTATATTAATTTTCTTTGTGTAACGACGAAAAATATTTTCATTTCTAGCTATTATTTATTTATTTATTTATTTATTTATTTATTTATTTGTTTATTTAACATATGAAATATTGTTGTAATTATGATCTCAACATCCCTACAAATTGCAATGCAAATTTCTATAACTTAGGCACGATTTTCAGCTATTTTATTGGGGTGCACATTGCGTTTCAGATTCTGATCTGCATAAAATTTCAATGTTTGTTATTTTTTTGTTTCTCTAAATAACGACACTTGTTGTAACGTGATAAAATGCCTGATCTCAAACCTCGTTAAAATGTAGCCTCTTTTAACTGTAGTTTAATTTAATTCTTCGTTTTTTTACAAGGTTAACGTGTTAATTTTCAACATTTTATGCGTCTTAATTTTATTTTTCATTAAACTTTAAATAAATCTTCAATTAGCCGTGCGGAAAATTGATTTTACTGCAGCAAATCTACCGAGAAAATACATTTAACTATACATTGTATTTTAAAATTAATTTTTCAACTCACAGGCAGTAAAAAAATCACATTTATTTTTGCTTAATCTGCATTTTTATGCGTTTATTTGCTTTGATGTGCAAGTTTACATTGCGTATTCCTAATGTAAACTTAATATTTCTTAATCATGTTTTTGGAAACAAAATAATACCTACATGTATGTACAAAGTACAATTAATGTTCTACATATACCCAAACAACGCTTGTACTAATTTTTAACATTTTCTTTTATTTCACGAGACAAATTTGTTACCGTGGCCGAAAAAAAACACTCAAAACGTTGCATTCGCCACAACTTGTAACATAAAATAGTTGAAATAGTTGAGAAACGAAACCTGTGGGCTCATTCCCACCGCAATATTTATATTTAAATAAATATTTTGGCTGCGGATATGTATTGCTTACAGAAAAAATGCCTTCGATCAAAATAGGTTTTATGAGTTTATCCACCGTCCGGCCCGGCCTAATGCATGTACATGTACCTAAATCGCTGCACAAGCATTTTACGTATTTGCAACCTTGCGCCATCACGAATTGCACGCATCGAAATAAGCAAGTCTAGACGGGAATGAATAAACGTTCCGCACATACACAAAAAAAGTAAATATTTACAATAGCTATAATTATCGTCATTGCAGCCGCGTATGAATCAACCGCATGTGTGTACGATGTTTACCTAGTATATTCAACTAAATGTGATTACAACTTATATTCTAAGTATAAATGTAAAGATGAATTTATTGAACGAAAATATTTAAAAAAGCGGAGATGTGTTGTGGTTTTTTTCGTTTTTGCGTAGTTTGTAGCTGCTTGTAGCACTCTAGCTGCATATTGCGGACGAGTATAATTAGAACATCTCAAGGACGACCACAATTTTTTTCTCTTCATCATATATAATACATATTATATATTATTGATGATGAATAATGAAGATTTATTTATTATAAGTTTATTGTTTTGTTGCAGGTCTCAATCTGGATCAAAGTTTATCGATGAATTCCATGGGCCCGCAGTCGCCGCTGGATATGAAACCTGACACAGCGAGTCTTATCACATCCGGACAGTTTAGTCCGCAGGGTGGTCCCAATAGTCCGACGTATTCGCTGGGTGGACACGCGAATATGCTGAGTCCTGGAGGCGGTGGCGGCGGCGGGAGTAATAAAAGCGCCTGCTCGCCGTATCCGCCGAATCATCCGCTCAGTGGGTCGAAGCATTTGTGTTCGATTTGTGGGGATCGTGCGAGTGGAAAACACTATGGAGTTTACAGGTTGGTAGATAATTTAAAGTTTTAGAGGATTTATTTATATTTATTTCTTCTGTGTAACGACGAAAAATATTTGCATTTCTAGCAATTCTCAAAATTTTGTGATTTTTTGTTTCTTGGTGTAACAACATCTCACTATAACGTGATAAGAAGCTATATTGCAAATTAAAGTCTTAAATCTTTTCATATATTAACATTTGCTTAATATTCTATTGTTTCTGGCATTTTGTTAAATATTTTTGTTATTTTATGCAATGAATTGTGCAACCTTCATGACAATGAGATTTATTAGCTGGTGTACGGTTATATTTTGTGTTTTTTTTCGTGAAGTTAACAATACTTGAAATAATTAGCCTCGTCCTTGAATCTAGCGCCTCGCGATAATTGTACATTTATGCTTGCCGGTAAAAAGCGCATTGCACGAAGGTTAGATTTCCTATCGCGCTTACCTTCTACACAGCTCTCGTAAGCTCGAGTGCACCCACTGTGTATGTGTGTGTGTGCAAACTGAAACATGAAAACACGGAAAGTTATGTCATGTTTAATGTCGACCTTGCATTTGATTAAATTGATGATTCTCTTGTGTTGATCGTGTCCGACGTGCTGCGCGCCGAGGCGGTAAGCGATCCTTTTTGCAGAAGCCGTACGGCGTTCGCTTGTGTTATGCAAACTGAGGTGACCTTGGTGAAGGAAATCTCTTTTACCGCAGGATTAAAGCATCAGATCATCAGATGAACACAGAAAAAATTTCAACACGATTATTTAGATTAAAATAAAACGAAAAGAAAAGTTTGAAGTAAATTTAAAGACAAGTATAGGTATGAATCCGGCCGGATTCACGGACCTGTAGTTCTTAATGTTGGAGCATTAGAACATTGGAACTCATAATGAGCGCATGCTGTTTTGAAGGTCATATTCTAGCTTCATCGTTTTTGTTCCTATGTCACGTACGTAACTCGGCTGAATGTTGATTATATTATTAGATTCTCCATATTAAATTAAATTGACGTGGAATGATTATTATAATTGGGTGCATTACTAAACAACCGTGATTCTCATTCTGATTCACATTTTAACTCTCGAAATCTACAAAATATTAAACATAAATTTATAAAAATATATGTGATGTTTTGCAGTGGAAGAGAAATGAAGGCCATGGTCATGGCAAATTCTCAATCACTTACATATTATGCACGTATGTTAATCTAATGAATATATTTACATAACACACGTAATTGTAGCAATTTGTTATAAATTATAATCAATAATGTTCAAATACTTCAATATTTTACTTTTATATGGATGTAGTGACTCATTTTAATCTGATTGGTTGAAAATCTATGACGTTTCAAGATGGCTGCATTTTATGTAATGCTGGTTGCGGATACACAATCGAAACCTCTTGAGTTAATGATGCTCAAGGTGTTACTTAGCTGTACTATCTAATTCTAATTGAAATTGAATGATCAAATGAATTCCCACGTTGTGTGTGTGTGATGTAAAATGTTTGAAAAGTTTGTTGCGCGCTCGTAAGTCACCGTCGATCGGCCTTGAGACTCCTCGTCGAGACGGAAGCTTGAGCGTTAAGCGCGCTCAGTTGCGAAATGCATCATGCATCGGCTTCCAATGTCGTTTATGTCATAGAATGCGTGGATGATGTGCGGAATGATGTTGGCTGGCCGCTCCTCCGGTTATAAAACAGGTGCTCTACTAGTCTGTACATTCGCCAACATGTAATATATTCAATCAGCTGTGTTGGCAGCCCATTCGATATGTATTTCACTTTTGTCTTTGTGATTTTTTCCTTTTGGCAGGTGCACATAGCGCGCATCTTTCAACAAAGAAGTTATTTTCATATTTACGACACCAGCGCCGAAGTTTTCCAATTGTGCCAGAAAGTTTTCACTCGCACTTTTTTTTTGTTTCCATACAAAAAAATTGATTAAATATTTCAAATAAACTTTTGAGACGATGTATAATTCATAGTCTACTTAGAGTTTAAATTATGTGTTGGTTTCAAAAATAAATTAAAGCATTCACGAATGCAAACGTAGCATAAAATAAACAATTCTACGGGCACCGGTCGTGAGCCTAGTCTTGACCTCAACAACGCCGAGTGCAATTTTAGTTTTAATAACTATAATTGGTCAAGCACTTGTATAATATTGCAATGCAACAAGGCACGACCGATGACGCCTGCGGTTTTTGTCGACTCGGTTGGCTAACAAGCGATAAATAACACCAGAGACACCTTGAGCGCAAAAAAATTCATGCTGCACGAGTCACTTTCGAGCCAAAAGTGAACCGAAATTATTTATAAATGCATTTATTCAACTTTATACTTCAAATAAATATTAATTTCTATTGTTTTACTTTCAGTTGTGAAGGATGCAAAGGATTTTTCAAGCGGACAGTGCGAAAAGACTTGTCGTACGCGTGCAGAGAGGAAAAGAATTGTATTATAGACAAACGACAAAGAAACAGGTGAATTTTTGTGTGAAATTTTATGGAATATTGATAGAAATATGTGCGATATCGTTGAATAAATATTAATTGTGTGTTAATCTTTGTAGATGTCAATATTGTCGATATCAGAAATGTCTAGCCATGGGAATGAAGCGGGAAGCCGTCCAGGAAGAGAGGCAGCGCACAAAGGATCGAGACACGTCCGAGGTGGAGTCGACGTCCAATATGCAAACCGAAATGCCAATCGAGGCAATTCTGGAGGCCGAAAGGAGAATGGACTGCAAAACCGAGACAGAATTAGAGGTAAACCATAACGTAAATTCATAATCATCTTTTTAAATTGTTACACAAACTGAATAACAAAGTACAAGTGTACATTTAATCAATACTCGTCATTGTGGTTGTCAAGGTCACCAGTGCATTAGCATTTCTTAAAACAGACGATCAATTATACGCTGAATAATGAATTCGTTTTTTTCTTTGATTGTTTTCGTGCAGAACCCCGTTACGAATATCTGCAAGGCGACCAGTACGCAACTCTACCAATTAGTCGAATGGGCGAAGCTCATTCCGCACTTTACCAGCCTGCCCGTCTCTGATCAAGTGCTACTCCTGCGAGCCGGCTGGAATGAACTTCTGATCGCGGCGTTTTCGCATCGCTCAATCGATTCCAAGGATAGTATCGTGCTTGCTACCGGATTCACCATTCAGAGGTATTAATATTGTGCAATATATTGTACAATCAAATTTTATAAACGCGTAAATTTTAGGAATTCAGCGCAGCAAGTTGGTGTCGGTGGAATATTTGACCGAGTGCTCACTGAGTTAGTCTCGAAAATGCGTGAAATGAAAATGGACAAAACGGAATTGGGTTGTTTACGCACAATAATACTTTTTAATCCTGGTAATTGAATATTTTGATTGTTTGTTGATGTTTTTCTTAATTAAAATTGTTGTTTGTTTAGATGTGCGTGGATTAAAATCCATCCAAGACGTAGATAATCTGCGCGAAAAAGTCTACGCCGTCTTGGAGGAGTACACGCGATCGACGCATCCGAACGAGCCGGGTCGTTTTGCCAAGCTACTGCTGCGGCTGCCAGCGCTGCGATCGATAGGTCTTAAATGTCTGGAACATTTGTTTTTCTTCAGGTATACGGGCGCAGTGTCCATCGATACGTTCCTCAACGAAATGCTCGAAAACACGACGGATACATAAACACTCTCATTCGACAATAACACACCCACACACACATAAACAAACGCATGAAAAAGTTTGAAACTGAAACATACAACTCAACAAACATTCCACATCTCACTGTAAATATGTTTTTTTATGAACGCACTCAATTATCGTACTTTTTCGTAACTAGTATAGCCTAGCTCTAGGTGTACCATTTAAGATTTAGTTGTTGTTTGACAATGAACTTAATCGGAATGTTTGTTGGGCATCAAAAATCATTTTTTTTCTTTCTTCTCTCCGCGCTATTTATTAATTTTTTATATATTATATATCTGTGATTTTCTTTTTTATTTTTTAATCGATGATAATCTTTTGAATATTTTATTAGGTATTTAATGATAGTGTTACTATTGGGTATTAATAATCGCGATCTTATCGAATCAAAAAGCACCTGCAACTGGGATGCAACGTTTTTTTTTGCAATATTTTCACATACGATTTACATTTTTAGCGTTTAGATCTCAGCTGATCTTTGTTTGTTTGACTTTTCTGTTGGTAAATGTGAATAATTTTTGGCATACTTAATCAAAATCAGAGTTTTAAATGTTAGAGATGTTTAGATGAATAGAAACGGTGCTTAAGTTGTTGAAAAAGAATATTTTTATGAAATGTGAATCATGTGTACCTCAAAAGTGATGGAAAGTGCCTGATTTAGAGAGCGATAACAGCATTAAATGAATGAACGAATTCAGGAAAATGGAAATAAGGAAATTGACGAATTGCAATTGAATAATTTTAAATTATTGAAATGTGTAATGAATTGAGTTAGGTAGATATTGTTATATTCAACATGCGGCTTTAAAATTAGATTGTAATAGATTCGAAACAGTTTGTGAAAGATTGCAGTAATTATTCTAAGGCAGCTTTGCACACACGCATGCGCACTGTACATACGTTTCCCATAGTAACTCATACAATAAATTTTAGTTTGACATTCCACAGATTTCGTCCGCGTTCGGCGGGCGTTATCGTACGTAGAGAATGAGGAAGGAGTGTTCAAAGAAAGAACTTAATTAATTTAAATATTGCCAACTGTGTATGTAAAACATGACATTGTGTCTATTTTGATTATCGCCCACTTAATAAATCCCTCTCAGATCGGAAAATGATGAAGAAAACTATGAAACACTAAGAAATTATGATGAAACACAAAAAAAAACTATCTAGATGTTATGTAATATAAATGTAATAATCTATGTTCTATGTATATTTATCTATAACTGTTCAAGTTTAAAAGATTTTTTATTGTTGCGATATCGAATGTCAAAAAGAAATTTCAAAAATTTTAAATTTTAGAAAGGGAGAAAATGTTTACAATCTGAAATCTTTATGTCATATTTTTTATATTTTAAAATCTATTCAAAAACTATTACGCTATTGTGAAAGATTCAAAGGAATTTAAAAGAAATTGTAATTATGTGTAAAGAAAAAATATATAAGAAGTACAGGTCGGCATATTCTGCTGTGTTTATTGAATTTTGCACCGAAAACGATTGCAAAACAGCGTTCAAGTGCTGCTTTTACTAATAACCATAACAAACAACGCATCTTCAACCAATAAACCCGCATAGTTTATCTTTAATCGCTTAAACAATGCTGATTTTTAAATTATTTCTGTTTGTGACGTGTTGCCAGCGTTTCTTTATCCCCACCAAGCCGAAAATGTTTCTTAAATCGCGTTTAATTCGAGTTTAAAGCTGTTCTACAAGAATAAATATTCTTGTAATGTGTAGAAACATTATTATTTGCAGTATTGCACATTTTTATTCACCGGAAATCATTTTTTTACGCTTGTAAATAATTTTTGTTTGCTAGCTTCACACTCGCAAGTTTGCGGTGTTCGGGCGCCATTACCGTCAAATAACCTCCAATCGAGGTGTGAACCCGCTTCTGGGCGAAAATTATTTATTTAGCTTGTGCTCGTACAATCAGTAAATGTTTAATGTTTGTTTGAAGCGTCACTCGTTCGTTTAGACCGTGATTACGTTGGATTTTAATCGCCTAGGTGAGTACACGCAACTATAGCGCGTATAGTGCAAGCGTCATTTCGGCGGCTAACTGCCGTCTCTGCAGTCTTCAGACATAGCTAATCATAAACGCAATTGTTTCACAGACATGGATTCCAGTTCGTTATCAACCAAAGCGAATTTTACACAGACTATGTAAGTATTCAATATTGATCTGTGTGTAATTTTCAGAACCTAATTTTTGTTCCTTGCAGTAATTTTAAGGGATCTGAGACTGAATATACTGCTGAGATAGTTGCACATGATGTAACAATTAGCTGCAGTGAGGGGAATCACAGCAAAGGCAGCTCGAAAGTGAAACTGAAGAGTGTGGTTGATTATAATTGGGAGTTTAAGTACTATATTGGTCAACTGGTTGCTTGTCATGTTAGTGGCAAATATTATGCATACACTTTAAAACCTAAAGGTATATAATAATTAATAATTATAATATTTATTATAAAAATATATAAAATTAATTTTAATAGGTAAAGTTGGAATGTTGCGAGTCGTAAATTTAGAAACCGAAGAGCGCGCATTAGTAAAAGACTTCCAAGGAACAATCCAAGACATTTCGTTTGCTTTAACACCACAGATTATTTTGGGATGTATCGATAATGATTGGAATTTGTATGTGTACAGCGTTGACTCATCCGATAATGTTATGACTTGCAATTTACTTATGCACGTGAAGCATCCCGATGTTGATCCGACAATTGCAAATTATCGAGTTATTTGGTGTCCGTACGTTCCATCATTTGGCGAGGATTCTGATACGTTGGATGATCCAGCAAAACTTTTAGTTTTACTTAATGGAAGCAAAGGTATATAATTAAAAGTAAATTTTAAACTGCTTATAAAACAAATATTTATTAATATCTAGCTGAAGTCTGGGATGTGAGCATTATAAATTCAAAATATGGAACCGGTCCACTTGAAGTAATCGATGATAACGACGGATATGTTGAGATTGTGGGTCATACTAAAGATATAATCGATGCTTCATTCTCTCCGGATGGAACTGCTTTGGCTACAGCGAGCGTTGATGGTTATGTGAAATTTTTCCAAGTTTATCGTGTAGAGTCTGAAAGTCCGCGGTGTTTGCACCAATGGCAGCCTCATGATGGTAAAGCGCTTTCGTGTTTATTATTCTTGGATAATATCAAATCTTACGCTATATCTGAGTAAGTTAATAATTAAAAATAAGTTTTATTAGGAGTTTTAATTTATATTTGTATGTCTAGTTCTAAGTTTTGGAAGTTTGCGATTACTGGCGCTGACCACAACGCAGAAATCAAAATCTGGTCGTGTGAATCATGGACGTGTCTGCAGACAATCCGCTTCGAACCAAATGTGCGCTCCGTCATTCCGAATCTCTTCCTGAAAGTATCCCTGGACATGTCAGCTGAATATCTGTTGATGTCCGACATTAATAATCAAATCATGTACGTTTTACAAATTCAGAAGAATGAAGAGGAACGAATGGCGAGTATCTCCACGGTTTCGGAGTTTCTACAGCCGGCGTCGATTTTAAGTTTTGGTATTGTGAGTGTTGCACGAACCAATTTGCGATACTCTAGCAATGAGGAATTGTATGAAGATATGGAAGAGTTTGATGATGAAACCAGTACGATTGCAATTGCAATCAGAATGATTGTCGTGCAACCAAAGAGTTTGCAGGATTGTACGATTACTTTCAAGCCGGAGGGATCAATGGCTTCAAATATTAAATCTGTTTACGGAACTGTGCCTGAGTTTGAAAGTAATGGTGAAAAACCGGCGGAGGAGTTGCCTAAGCTGAATGATTTGCAATCTTCTGTGACGCTGCTTATTCAACAGCAACAACAGCAAAATACTCAGCCGTTGAATTTAATGACCCCCGATGATTTCAACTCGCCCATTATTAATTCCAGTCCGAATAGTGTGCAAACAATGGATATTCCGTCACCATCAACGAAGAAAGAAATTCCTATTTTGGATGTGTTTCCGATTTCGCATGCTAGCGGCGGTTCAAGTCCAAGCAGAGAAGTGCAAGAAATTTTATCTCTGAATAATGCTAATTATGGAAATCAAGAGTTTGAGTATAATAACACCGAAAGTATGTTATTTCTGTTAATTTTTTGTGTATAATTTAAAATTTATTGTATTTTATTATAGAAACAGCAACAAAAGCCGGTGTCATCTGGGGGCGTAACGATATCGACGAGAAAGGTGAAACAAGAACCAAAGACGGCGACAACCAAAAGTGGAAAATGGAGATGACTGTTATGCTTTTCAAGATGCAAACATTGCTCAAAGAACAAAACGAGCAAATACAAGAGTTAAAAATGCAAGCGTTTAAGAAAACCGTCGACAATGATATTTGTAACATGATTCGTAAAGAGTTGGACGCCACAATGACAAATCATCATTTACAAACTACGAAATTGCTTGAGGGTTTCCTCAAGGAACAGAAACGAAGGGAGACTGAACAATTGGATTATTTATTAGCGAATTTGTCGCAACAATTGAGTAAACAAGTTATCGAGCATTTACAACCGTGCATATCGCACGAAATCAAAATGAACGTGGTGCCGCCCGTGTTGAATATTTTCCAGAGTTTGCAAGATCAATTGGATCTGCACTATAAACAAAAACTCGCTACGTTGGACAATTTGGTCAAGACGAATATTGCCAAGTTGTTTAGTAACAAACAAGTGGCTGATTCATTGAGTACTTCGATTGTTACGATAATTAAGCCAAGTTTAGAATCGTGTTATAAGGATATGATCGGGACGACTTTGATTCCATCCTGGGAGCGTGCGTGTACTACTATGTTTCAGCAGATTCATAATACATTTACGCAGGGGACGAAAGAATGTAAGTTTGTATCATTGTTATTGATTTTGAGCATAGATGGCGTTGGAGTGCGCTTATTTGCATTTAATATTTGTTTCTTGGTGGTAGTGAGTGCGCGCTGCACACCTGTCGGTGTAAGATCACGCGATTCGTGCGCGATTCTTGAACGTAGATCGAGTTATCTTGTTGTTTTTTAGATTGTTGTTGTTGGTAAATTGTGTTGGCGTGAATTCATGCACTGCGAACACAATACTTAAATTTACCTAGCGGTTTGATCCGACGGATAAGATGCATTTATATTTATTAAAATAACAAAAGAGTCTTTTTTGAATTAAATTTCTATGCAACATGATGAATTTAATTTCAGATACTTCTTGTGTGGAGAATTACATGGAGCGCCAAAGAAAAGTACAGGATAAAGGCAAAGATTTGGTCAATCAGATTCAAACAGTGTCCGAAAATATGAAGTTAAACTCTGAAAAGTTAACAAACGCTGTTTCCGAAGAAATCCAGCGACAAATTAATATATCTTGCGTCGGGTAGGTTTAATTTTACAAAATATCAACGATATTTTTATTGTGTTTTTGTTTGTTTATTATTAGAATGCAAGAAAAATTAGGGTCAATGATTTCCGACGTGGTGAAGGACCAAGTTCGACTTGGTTTCCGCACACATTCCGCGCTTCTGGAGGACAGCGTCGTCAACGCAGTACGATCCAGGGCTGTGACTCCATCTCCGCATGTGATTGACACACAGGTAAAATTTAAAACTTTATTATTTTAATAACTTCATTATTGTGCGCAATCATTTGAAATGAATGTGTGATTTTGTCTTGTCTGTCGACATCCGTGTGAGTATTTTTGATGTGTGGTTTTAGATGCAAATGTCACAATTACAATCGTTAATCATCAAAGGCAACATCGACGCCGCATTTCAGCAGGCTTTATCAGCTTCGGCTACCGCTTCCGACTTATCGTTAGTTTTGTATGTTTGCGAAAACGTCAATCCTGATGAGGTGTTTTCCGACATTAAATGCATCCTTCAGCAGCACGTGCTTCTCAGCTTGGTGCAGCAGTTGGGTGCGGACTTAGCGCAAAAAACCGACGTGAAACTAAGGTATCCATCAGTGTCGATGATTTCAATCGAAGGTTATTGTTTTATTGTTATTCTTAATTGTTTTTTCTTTTTGTTTGCTGTGTTAGATATTTACAAGGAGCTGTTCTCTGTCTGGATCCAAGTAATCCTGTGACGCGTGAGCATGTTCCTCTAGTTTTAACCGAATTGACGAGACAATTGAAGAGCTTCATCGCGTCCAATCCGACAAACAAATACGCGACTGGAATGCGCATGCTGCTGATGGCGACGAAGGCGTTCATCAAGTGAAACTGCTGGGGAGTTGTGAAGACGATTATACACTTACAATGCGATTACATTTGTCTTTATATGAAATATATTAGGGGTGTTTGAATGCATCTTGTAAAGACTGTATAGTATTAATAAGTCTTGTATATTTCAACTTTAGTTAATGCGATACTTTACAGTTCATTTTATTTTTTTATATTATATTTTATTCAATAACAACAAACCATTTACAATATATTTATTGGCATCTCTAATTCTTTGTGCTCTTGTGTAAAACGTCTGTTTAATTCTATCCTAAAACACTAAAACACGATTTGAAGACACCATAAACTACCTATTTCTACTTAATTCTTGTTTGTAAACAAGAGAAATTGATTTTGTTGGTGTCTGGGAGTGCGCGCAGCTCTCGTGTCCGTGTGAGGCCAGGTAAACGGAGATATCCCATCGAACTTGTTTGGCTGTGAGTTGTTTATTGTTATCAGTGAACGGCGTGCAGCATACGTTTAACTACAAAATTTCTTTAAGCAGCATCACTCTAAATATACTCTTTTAATTAATTTCCCGCAAGTGATTACAACGAAATATAACTATTATGTGCAATTGTGGTGACACTCAGGATCGTGCGAGTGGAAGCAACTCATATTCTATTGCTAAGTGGACTTCTAATTTGCTTCATTAGTAAATAATTTCAGTGCAAAACCGAAATATAAAATTTGTAACTAATAATAATTAAGATTGGCAATAGTGTCTCTCCCGAATTGCAACATAATGACGATTCGTGCAGCAAGTTCGGCGAGTTGTTCCATTATTCCGACGGCAACATTCAACGAATTCAGAATGCTTAAGGATGTTACTTGCAGACCCGATATTGTGTCGGGTACATCGTCATCAACCAATTGTAAACTGAATCTGTCTCTTGTTTGATTTCTCACATAAGCCACCAATGGTATCCACACTCTGTAAAGTGCGTATTGCATCGATGAGAATGCTTCCAAGGGCAAGTAAATTATCCATTCGTATATCAACTGCGTTATTACAATTGGCAACTGGCCTAAATCAAGGTAAGATGCATGTATTATATTGTTTTCAGGAATAATTAATTAATACTTACTTGAATTGACGCCATAAGATAGCGTTAAAAGTAGAAATAGTATTGAAAACGAGTGCTTCATTTTCTTGCGCAAAATAATTTGAGTCTACGTGAAGTGATATGAAAATTGGCGTCATTTTTTAAAAGTTTACATGAGAATGTAAACAGAAAATGATAAATTTATAAAATCATAAATTTGGGTGTCTTATTTTTCGTTCTATTTACTACGTAGCTGTATTTAAATTAATTTGTGATGTCAGTAAGCAGTTAAGAGTCGAGAAAGTAATACATTGTTTCTTGTTTATAAAATTCATATTAGGATTATAGAAAATACCAACATTTATAGTACAATAATACAAATTATTGAATAATAGAATACCAATAATAGAAATTAATCGTCATTTAAAGTTATTGTAGTAGAACTATATATCTAGCGACTAAGTTTACATTGTAAATAATACTTTTTATCTCATATCATGGTCTGATAGGAAAAAGAAACAACCGATGCAACATTTCTGTTTAACATGCGACATGACGTTGCGATTTCTGTTCTTTCCACACCTCTGCCCCGGCAAGCGACAAAACAAAAACAAGGTAAACGTGTGCTCTTATCTTTTATTCTCAGTTTATCCCGCGCGTTCTCGCGATACGGTCGAGTTTTGCCATGCGTTTTGAGCATGTACTTCAGTAAATCGCGCTGTGTTTTTCCCTTAACCATAGCCGGGATTATGTCTGTTATTATATAGTGCGTAGTGTATTTAACTGTGATTTCATCGTGAGTGGAAGGTTTGAAGATCGTGGATTAATTGTCCTCATTAATTTCAATATTAAAGGTATGTGTACTCTGGTTCTATTGGTGCATAATACAACACACGCGGTTTAACATTTTACGCGGTATTCGTGTTGCTTTCACGATTCTTCACATTTATGCGAAAGATTGCAGCGATCTTATCCCGCAAGTAATTCTTTTATCGTGCCGTCGAATTTTCCGTAGATTAAGAATCGGTGGGATGTTCCTTTTTAACTAGCTCTGTCTTATAGAGAATTTTTCGTAAAGTTTGAAATCCGTTCTTGTGTATTACCGTAACAATGAAATAGAAGTAAATATAAATCAACTGACATTTATACGTGTTTTATAAAGTGTAAAACACGCTTTACAAATTGAAGGAGTGCTAACTAAGCCTTGGTAGGTTGACACAATTTTACATGAAACATCGTACATCAAACATAAATATTTAAATTTTACTTTTTCTTATTAAGTTAACGAAATCATTTATAGAATTATTTATTTTTGTTTTAAAAGCTGTACGGTTACAATTATAACACTTAACACTAAAATACGAATAAATATAACTTTACTGACATTTAAACGTGTTTTATAAAGTGTAAAGTGCGCTTTACACACCACGAATGCGTTAACTAAGTCTTGGCAGATAGACACAATTAAACCTAACATACCTATAGTACACGAAGTATAGTACATAAAACATAAATATATAAAATTTTACTTTTGTTTTTATTAAATTAATGTAATTACTTATATAATTATTTATTTCAATTTTATGTATGCAGTAATATAAATGTAGCACCGTTATACTGAAATAGAAATAAACAATATCTTATTGTTTTACACTCATTCAAAGTTTTTTTAATATAACACGCGAACGCGGTGTCACAATAAGTTCGGAATAATTTTCCCACATGCAGAATTTAATTCTGTATCTCCCAGTATTAAAATATATTGCAAGAAAATTCCGTAACGCGAGTTATATTGAAAGTTGTGGGTATAAGCACTTGTACTCGTTGCGCTAGGAATTGTAGTTTTTTTGTTATAACACACGAACGCGGTCTCAAACTTAGTTCGGAATAATTTTCCCTGACGCGGAATTTAATTCTTTATTTCCCTGTATCGAAATTTATTGCCAGAAAATTCCGTAACGCGAGTTATAATGATTGTTGTGTGTATACGCGCTTGTACTCGTTGCGCTAGGAATTGTAGTTTTTTTATTATAACACGCGAACGCGGTTTTAAAATTTGCTCACAATAATTTTCCTAGATGCGGAATTTATTTCTTTATTTCCCTGAATCGAAATTTATTGCGAGAAAATTCCGTAACGCGAGTTATATTGAAAGTTGTGTGTATACGCATTTGTACTCGTTGCTCTAAGAATTGTAGTTTTCTTGTTATAACTCGCGAACGCGGTCTCAAACTTAGTTCGGAATAATTTTCCCAGATGCGGAATTTAATTTTTTATTTCCCTGTATCGAAATTTATTGCGAGAAAATTCCGTAACGCGAGTTATATTGATAGTTGTGTGTACACGCACTTGTACTGGTATTCGTGGCGCTAGGAATTGTAGTTTTCTTGTTATAACTCGCGAACGCGGTTTCAAACTTAGTTCGAAATAATTTTCCCTGATGCGGAATTTAATTCTTTATTTCCCTGTATCAAAATTTATTGCGAGAAAATTCCATAGCCCGAGTTATAATGATTGTTGTGTGTATACGCACTTGTACTCGTTGCGCTATGAATTGTAGTTTTTTTTATTATAACACGCGAACGCGGTCTCAAACTTAGTTCGGTATAATTTGCCCTGATGCGGAATTTAATTCTTTATTTCCCTGTATCGAAATTTATTGCCAGAAAATTCCGTAACGCGAGTTATATTGATAAATGTGTGTATACGCGCTTGTACTCGTTGCGCTAGGAATTGTAGTTTTCTTGTTATAACTCGCGAACGCGGTCTCAAACTTAGTTCGGAATAATTTGCCCAGATGCGGAATTTAATTCTTTATTTCCCTGTATCAAAATTTATTGCGAGAAAATTCCGTAACGCGAGTTATATTGATAGTTGTGTCTATATGCACTTGTACTGGTACTCGTTGCGCTAGGAATTGCAGTTTTTTTATTATAACCCGCGAACGCGGTCTTAAACTTAGCTGACAATAATTTTCCTTGATGCGGAATTTAATTCTTTATTTCCCGGTATCGCAATTTATTGCGAGAAAATTCCGTAACGCGAGTTATAATGATAGTTGTGTGTACGAGTATACGCACTTGTACTCATGTACTCGTACTCGTACACTTACGTATACTCGTATACTCGTATACTCGTGTATGTCGGTTATTTCAATATTGTGAAATTTTAGTTTGGTCTTCTCAACTACGGGGTTATAACTACGTTTGTTATAAACAACTTTTTTGTTCGACTGACGCGTATTATCGCGACGTACCTGCCTTGTACCTGGCAACGCGCAGCGCACACGGCAGTCGTTACACCGCGTGGTCCGCAGTCGTTACACCGCGTGATCCGCAGTCGTGTCCCTCTAATCGCCACGCGTTTCGAGGTTTTAATTGGATTAATCGACGTGTATTCTTTCGGCCATTATCAAAATATTCGGGACGGGCATGTGCGGCTGTTTTGTTTAATGATTTGTCGCGGTTAGAGTCTTCTTAACTAAGAAATAAGTGTTTGTTTATCCCTACGCGAGTTTTTAGTTGGTAGAATATATTACAGGATATAGAATTTCCTCATCAATGCAAAGGTACGTGTGTAATAAATTTTTTTCACGGAAACTTAAGGCGGTGTAACTAAAATTGATTATTCCATTTGAGGGATATTAATTTTGCTTGTATTATCTTGCAAATTACAAACACGTGGTTCCATTCTCATCAGAATTATTAGTCCCGTTTCCGAAAATAACATGCATGATTTAATTATTACAAAGACAGTTTTAAAAATTATCTGTGGATTATTAAAATGACAATATTTATGTGGTCGACCGCGCTCACTTTGCCGTCGGCTCGGTCATCCTTTCGCTGAACACGTGAACGTTTTTAATCGAATTGCACTTGTTAGCTTCATTAAATTAAGAAGTCTCTTGTTGACGTGATAAAATCTTGTACGGTGAATAGTTCTTCGTTTTCGTAGTCTTCCTATATTTTAATATTTACAAAGAATTAGTTATTTTTATCGTATTTAACGGCTGTAATGCCACGCGCCGTCGCTTGCCGTCTCTTGATTTAGATGTTTTCCATCGGATATTCTATCAATTTATGATGATGCTTCACCCGTCGGTTTAATTAATTAATAAATATATATTCACAATATATTAAAATGTAATTGTTTTCTTTTCTATCATCTTTGTAGTTTCAAAAATTTTCTTTTTGTAACACCCTGTATATTAGTTTTCCTAACCGCACGTAGAAGATTGTCTTTATTTGTGAGTTTTGAATGTTCATTGTTTTGAACTTGGGATTTTCTTTCTGGTACACCCTGTATATTAGTTTTCTTTTGTGTCCGTGAAAATTTTGCTTCAACTGTTGTTTTTAGGATTTTCCTTTTTTCACTTTGAATTTTCTTTCGGAAACACCCTGTATATTAGTTTTCCTGATCGTCTAGTGAAAAGGAGCGACGTTAGTAGTGTTAGTGATAGTTTTTTTGTTTGCGTTGTAAATTTTCTTTTTGTAACACCCTGTATATTTGTTTTTTTTTTCAATCACAAAGAAAATAGGCTATTTGTTAATTTCATTATCCCGGTAGAACTTTACAAAGTAGTACTTATTTGCATGTGTGCGACTATGATGGTCGTAAGTCCTGCTTCAATATGGCGGCACGTATTCTGTTGACTTGTAAAATATAAACTTGTATTCTATTGTAAATAAATAAATAGTAAGATATATTTACTTCTTTGATTTGTGCGTACCCCTTCTATCATTACAGGCACAGGTCTCAAAGAGAGTTCCCTCTCTCAGAGGATGATCCCACTATAAAAAATGTTATGGTACTTATCTTGTATTATATTACATTGTGTTTATTAATAAAGAAATGTTTAGAAATAGTATGTCTTATGCTTTGAATGTACCCCTTCTATCATTTCAGGTACAGGTCTCTAAGAGAGTTCCCTCTCTCAGGGGGATGATCCCCTCTATAAAAATTGTTAAGGTAACCTGTATGATTTGTGTACTCCTTCTTTCATTCCAGCTACAGGTCAGAACTTGTAAGAATATTTCTTAGTGTCACCTCTCTTGAGACGACTTAAAACTTAGAAATATTTTTACAAGACTTAATAAGGATTGTCCTTATAAGGAGTTCCCCCTCTCTGGGGGTGATCCCCCACCATAAAAATTGTTGATATGCCTGATAATTCCGGGGATGAAGCGCAGAGACATCGTAGCTGTAGGATGGGCCGGGAGCAATGGACGAACCGAAGCAGTGGGCGATCGACCAGAGCGCCGGAGGCGCTCTGGGAGATCGACCGTAGACTGTCTTATAACGACACGTGCCAAAAAATTTAAAAATTCTCTCTTTCTTCTATCTCCTCCTCTTCTCTACTCTGTTCTCTTCCTTCTGTCTTCTACTCTTCTCTGCTATTCCTTCATCTACTTCTCCTATTTATTTCTGTTCTCCGTTTCTCCATTTACTTGCTTGCTTTCTTATTGCCTTCACTTGTATTTCAATTTCTCTTATATTTCGTTGCAATTCATATATGCAACCCAAATTTCATCTGATATTTTTATATTTGAGAAAAATGCCTTCCACACCTGAGATTCGATCCGTGTCTGCTAGCATGCCAGCAGGTGCACGTCTCCACTCGACCACCGAGTGTTTTTGTTATTAATATTTGATTCTTCTATTTATGTTTCTACTTTTATCATGTTTTTAAAAACAACAACATAACACAAGCAACAGTGATGTGGTACATGCACTTAAGTTTTATATGGAATATGATTTAAGACGTCAAACCTGAAAACGACAAAGAGGGTACGAATAGAAAATATGGAGATGTTTATAATGTTACATTGTGTTTTATTGACAACATTGAAAAACATATACATTTTTTAAGAATTGAAAATTATGAGCGACTATTATATTTCCTAAACGATTACTCGCCTTGAAATACGCGCATCTCTCCGCGACGACGGATGCTGTAGATTCCTTGGTATGTGTGCTCGTAAACTTCTTCAGCGGACATCAATGTTGTCAGTTTGCACTGAGTAAACATAAATCCAAGTTATTGGTGCGTGTGGACACCCATGTTGTTCACATATAATGCAATTTCACAAGCGTTAAATAAAAACCGACGTCCGACGGATACTCACACGCGCACAGGTGAATCGCCATTTATCACCAATTGAGGAACATAGAGCGCATGCAATCTCACTAGCAAATCAACAATCACGTCCGATTTTAGTAAATGCCGTCGATCGTTTATTAAACATTCTAGGATTTATCTAATTATGATCTGGAGGAAGAAAACTAGTCGCAATGAACACGCGCGATTTATTCGGCGACCGGGATGGAACACTATCGCTGTTGAGAATGTTGAGATACGCACGCTGAAAGCAACAAAAAAAGTTGTTTACATACATTTCTATGCGCATCGAAAGTATACCTGGGTTGCAATGCCAAGTTTAACGCTATGTACCAGCGCACTGGATATCATACAGCGTAGATCTAAAGTAGTTAGAATCTGCAATAAAGAAGAAACAACATTAATCTAATCAATCCGCACAACAATTTTGCTTAAGACACAGCAATAAAAACCGTGTTAATCGCAATAATAGTTTATACAATGATATTAACTGGGTAGTCTATTAGCCAGTGGCGTAACTGTAGCGTAACAATTAAGAATTTTCTATTTGTTTCCTTGTATCGCTTTTAGTTTAAAAGATAATCCCTTTCAAACTACCGAGTAAAATGATAAAATCCTTGCATTTATCGTTATGATTATTCTTTGACTTCTCAAATTTTCCTAATTTGAATATTCTATCATAAAAGTAATTTCAAAATTTTCAAGTTCAAAGAAATTAATTTTTAATACATAAACTCAAAACTAGATGGCGCTAAAATCTACAGTTTTCTGCAATTTCTACAGTTTTCTACGTCTTAGAAAGGTTGCAATGCGTCAGCAACGTTGTCAAATTCCTCAAAACTTAACAAAGTCAACTAAGTCGCTGAAACGCACGTGGTTTTCATAGAAATATCAAATCGAAAAGCCAAACAATGATTGTGGAAGAAAAATCCGTAGAACATTTAGTTGTTGATACTACGGCATTTATCCACAATGCTCCCCTACAGGTAAATAAATCATAAATATTTACATAGAAACAAGTAACAAAATTTGACACAACTTTGCAGCAACTTGCAACAAACATATATACCATTCAAGAGGTAGTTGATGAGATTGTGAATAAACGACAATTAAGAAGATTATGCGTCCTACCGTACGATTTACGCATCAAAGATGTATATCCAGAAAATATACAAACTGTCACAGACTTTTCGAAGAAAACTGGAGACTATCCCAGTCTGTCAGCTACAGATATCAAAGTAATGGCACTAACCTACCAACTTGAGAAAGAATATGTTGGTTCAAACCACATTCGCACAGCTCCTGTGATGGCCAGGACCATTAATCTGGGAAATCCAAATGTTCCAGACATGAATGCTGATCTTACAGGGTTCTATGCACCAAAAAGGAAAAGTACTAGGTCTAGGAATAATACAAGTAACAGCAATACAGACAAAACATCAGAAGAAGATGAAAAACGTGACATTGAACAACTAAATCATGGCATAGATAATATAACAGTTGAAGATAATAGTGATCAATCAGATAACTGTTATGAAAGTTATGAAGAATCAGATGATGAAGACTCCTGGATAACACCATCCAACATCCAAGCTGCTAAGAAACAAGTCAATTCTGAACTGATGGAAGCAAAGAAAGTGGTTGTTTCTTGCATCACCACTGACTTTGCAATGCAAAACGTTCTCAAACAAATGAATCTTAATGTTTCTGCGTTAGATGGCCGCATTATCAAACAACTGCGCACGTTTGTATTGCGTTGTTACACATGTTTCGGCACGACAAGCATCATGACAAAGCAATTCTGTGGCAAATGCGGTAACAACACACTTAAGAAAGTCGCTGTTAGTTTGGATGAGGACGGAAAACAACAAATACACATAAATACGCGCCGGCCGCTAACTGGTCGCGGGAAACGTTTCAGTATGCCGACGATGAAGGGCGGCAAACATGCGAACAACCCGCGGCTTGTCGAGGATCAACCTATGCCCGATCAACGACCGAGTCGCATCGCACGCATGAAAAACAATCCGATGGCGGATGATTACATCGCCGGATATTCTCCATTCGTGACTAGGGATGTTAACTCTAAAAGCGCGCAACTCTGTATTCGTCCTGGGGACGTGAAACATTGGATGAAGAAGAATCCGAATGAGGCGCGAAGACATCGGAAGAAGTAGAATATATTTTACTTGTAGCGCTTATTGGTGGTTTGATTTGTGGCAAACATATACTTGTATCGATTGAATAAAAACACGTAACTGTTATCACCATTTGTGTAGTAATGATGTTCGTTGAAATGCCAGTTGATTGGAGAGTCTGAGAAGCCTTGAACGTAGATGCTGAACCATTGATCCTTGAATGCATTCCTTAACAAAAACCGCCATTTTGAAAAATAAACAAGCAAGAAAAACAAATTGAACATTTTACTTACTTAACTGCATTAATAAACTTAACAATCCTCTTTGGAGTAAAGAAACCTCTAAACTGATGCGTTCCAATTGATGGCACAGTGACAAATGGCGATGGAGTCGTATAACTCGACAGGAACGTGTTGCAGTAACTCTCTGGGCACTTCATAGTGACCATTCCAAGCCACTCCACTACGTCAATTACTTCCTCCTCGTCTTCATAACGCACAACTGGTACCTTCACATCTTTCTGTACTTGATATTGTTGTGTATTCACACACAATATCACCTCGAATCCCAATTCATTGAAATATTTCGCTAAAGATGAAGGACACACTTGCGCAGATGGCGGTTCCCAGATGGCAATAAATGTAAACCGTCCTAACTTCCTTAAGCATTGTGGAACTTCAGAGTTTTTTCGATTTTCCACAAGTTGCCGACCGCGCAGATCAACTGTAACGACTAAAAATCGGTTCTGATATAAATTCACACTCATTTCAATATATGTACACATTACATTCCAGTTCCAAGATACAAAAATATGTATAATTCATATAAGTAATTGTATTTCGTAAAGTATTGAATTAGTGTTGTTTTTGTTTTGATTCATTCTTCTTTTAATAAATATCACAAACGACAAAATAGTTACCAATGCTGCTCGAATTTTGTTATCCAAAGTTATAATATGTACGAAAATTTAAGAATAGAGATTATACCTCCCGCCAAGCATCTTCGTTTGCGTTGCCCTGATAAATATCTCACTCTCACGTCTTCATTTTGGCCCTTTTCAAGGTGCGCAAAAGTATTCTATGAATATCACAATGACTTAATAGTTGCCCCTGGTATTAGTTATCATATTCATATTATATAGAAATGTTAAAACTAATGTTATTGAAGCGGAGATACGAGCACTAGTCAAATTCAGTTAATTGTGCAATCAAATTGTAAACAATCAACGATCCGCTTCAATACTTTGACAACCACGATTAAAAATAGCGTATTAGATATTTTAAGTATGTTCTACTATCGTAGAAAAAAAGTTAGCCCTAGCACTACGACAATACAGTGAAGTAAATGTAAAATAAACAACCCAAAGTGCTAAATGTAAAGCTATCAGTAAGATAAAATAGGCCTAATATCCAAGTCGTAGTTATTCGAATGGATAAATTTCCGAAAAATCTCCAGCTCATCAATGCTAATACCCTGCCAGTTCTCCAGCTCAGAGATCACACGTAAATTGGTACAATTCGCCAAGAGTAACTCCACCGTATTCGTGCTCATATCAGTACTGTAAAGAATGCGCAACTCTTCCAGCTCACGCATCGGATTAAAACCCATGATCTTCACAATCGAAGAATGACATATTCCTGTCGATGAACCAAGATGTATGTACTTAATATTGGTGCAGTGCATGAGTACAAACTCTAAATGCACCAAAGCACAGTCCACAACCCAAAAAAGCCTCTCTAGGCATTGGAACGGCTTCACTTTGAACGACCGACTGTATCCGGCCGCCTGGTCAGTCAAATCACAATTGTACAGCACCAGATTCTTAAGTCTCGGGCAATACTGACTGATATCCATGATGGCCTTTAAGTCAATCTGCTCCACATGCTCCAGATGCAAACTTGTGATATTACATCCGCGTACTTCCAACAATTGTCGTGCATAATCACCGTAAAAGTCGCATGAGAGCAGTTTTAACATTTTTAAATGGTCAAGATGCGCTAGTACTTGCAGATTCGAAAACTGTTCATCATGAAAAAGACTCACATTCTCTAGATTCGGACATGTATCAACCAACATTCTCAATTGATCGGTTGTAAGATCACGTGTGTGTATTTTACGCAAACCTATAGGTCCAATTTTAGGATATTTCGAGTTGATGTAACTCAATACAGCGCCGAAATCGTCACAGCGACCAATATCTTGCAGCCGATATAAACCAAGCAACAACTGTCCGAGTCCTTCAACGCTCACCGAAGTCCGATGCAGATTCAGATCGTACAATTGTGTGCATTTCAATAAATGCGGAATTGAACGATCAGTGACTGACCGCGATGATGTAACATCTAATATCTGCAGATTCGGACAACTTTCACTCAATACCTGTATAATATTATCGGTGCAATCAAAACATAAGCACAACAACCGGAGATGTGACATTTGCGATATTCCTTGAATGATATACGGCTCGTAATCACTTGAACCATTCGTACATGAACCCAAATTTAAAACTTCCAGGCCTGTTAACTTAAATAAATTCTTATAGAGTACATAGCGCATGATTTTTGGCCAGCAAGAGAAACTAATCTGTTTGAGATGCGGATCCAGCACGACTTCAGTGAGCCCAACAGCAACGTACATCTCCGTCATAAAAGTAGCTGTGTTAAAATACATGTAGTAGTTCTTTTTCGTGCGCTCGATGAGTTGCTTGACGGCTTCCAGGACCTCCAGGGCCATGCCATCGTATAAGTAGAGCGGTACGTGCGTGGCGAGGATTGTACTGATACGATCGATGCTTTTCTGCAGGCGGATTTGCGGTTCGTGGTGTTTGTGGATGGTTGAGAGAATCGTAGGGGCAAGGCTTACAACAAAATTACCAACTGCTGAGACACAGAGGGTTTCTAATCTTGGTACAACACAGTGCCGAGGCATTTTCTAGAAGGAAATAAACCTGGCTGTATTATATGTTATGTACCGGTGACACGCAATATTATGAGCAAAGAAAATGGCGACTTACCGTAGCGATCTTTTGTGTTTTTCGTGAAATGAGATTGAGTTCCTTGTAAGCCTAGTGATCCATAGGAGTCTTTTGTCAAGGAGAGTATTAACTTGCCACAAGGTGTTATACAAACACAATTGTCACAATCAATTCTTGTGCTGATTGTTAAAGCAGTGAGTTCACCTAAAATTTCAAACAAAAACAGAAAAATGTATCTATTGATGATGATTCAAAAAGCTATTTACCTTTGATAACGAAATTGTTAATAAATTCCTTTGAAACTAGTGTATCCAAAGTGATATCCTTCAATTTGTAGTAGTCTGAATCATCAAGAAGAACACCTTTGGGCAGCTGTACACCACTGGGAGTGATCAGAGATATCTAAAACACTTAGAAAATTAAAAACAGATCTGTTTGTTTGTGTGGACATAGCGCGTTGTATATGTATTACCAAATGATTATAGTAGAAGGTGTTTATTTTCGTGGGCAATGTGTTCGCGCTGACGGTCGAGGTGAACTTGGACTCGGGTGCTTTGAAGTTCCACACTTCAGGATTCAACATTCTATTTCTCTAAGCAATCGGAAGAAATTCCATAGAACTGCACGTTGCAAGATAAGTCGAAGAGCGTTGTTCGTTCGGCGTGTTACATTATTGCGTTGCGCGTAAATTCACGTAACAACCGCGCACTTGTTAACCAACATACGAGCGCACAACATGAGGTCCGGTAGTGCGATTTGTTTAACACCGTCTGTGCCTGTCTGCTGCTGCTCGCTAGGTAATGTTTACGAATGTTGCCACTGTCTGGGCCTAATTTATGGCGCTAGTTGCTTGCAGGAGACAAAAATCATAAAATAAAACATGTTCGTCTTGAATTACACTAAATGATTTGTTTTGCGGCGCGTTTACATGTGTAATATGTTATTGGATGCCAAAAATGTATTACTTTGTTTGCGTTGACCTTTTTTAACAACTTGTTCGGCGATCGACTGTCGAATAATATTCGCCAGTCAACAGCGGCTGCTGGCGATGGTCAATTGTCGGTTTTCTGACAAACCCAAACCTGCTGAACCGATACCGCATTTTGGAAAAGCATGTCAAATATCAAATGTCAGCCAGGGTAAAACGCAGGATTTAATGCGGAGCGCAGAATGTCGAGTAGGTGCGTCGGTCAAATCAGCAGGAGAAAAAATGACTGCGTTTTAAACATAACTTTGCGGTGGCCATTTTGAATTCAATAAATATATCACCAAGCAATGTAAAAGTAATAAAATATGCCAAAATTAATAGCTGTACTAAAGAAATATGACCAACAATAAATTAAACCATACAAAACCATTCTGTTGTTTTAAATTATCCACAAAATGGCGACTATTTATACCACAGTATACGATTTAATTAATTATATTGATTATCATATTAACTTCATTAACAGTTCCATCCGGCATTGGGCAAAACTGGCGCCGCTCACAAATCACTTCTACAATTTAATTAAATTAATTACCTCCCTACTGGATGACGCATATTTATCACATGGATAAGGGACCATTACTTTTAAAATTAATGGCACGCAACATAACAATGTCCCTTATCCGACGCAACATCAAATTTGTTTCTTCGACTTCTTCGCCTTCTTCTTGCGATTGTCCAGCAGCATATCAACACTGCCGTACTCAGTCAACTCGCAAGACTCCGTCGTGCTCATGCCGCCAACTTTAACAGTTTCAATAATACTAACAGAACTTACGGCCTTCTCAATATTGTCAACATATTCAACATATTTTGCATTATCAACGTCCGCCATTTTGTTCATCGAGTTTCTAGACGAACACGCCGTGCAGGAAGACGAAGCACTACTAAATGTCGATAAAAATAACTCGCTGCGCGCTTGATAGGGAACATGAATGGGAATAACAGGATGGCGTTTGACTGGACTCTGTCACATAATTTTATAGTAGTCGTTGAAGTTGATACGAGTGGCGAGCAGTTGGAGATTCATATCGGAACTCGTCGCTAGCAGAGTTACGTACTTGACGACATATTGTCGGAAGTTGCAGGATATCGAGTTGATCTGTGAGTTCATCGTCGTTAAAAACTGTGAGAATCTACCGGTGCGCTCGCGGTTTTCTAATTCAATCTCGACGGTTATTCCAAAATCGGTATCAAAGAGTTTTTCGTGTTCGATTATGTGCTCGCGTTCTTTTAAAGCTGTACTGTATAATGTCTCCTGGACTGATTCAAGACTTAAAACTAAATTGAAGATGGAGCCTAAATATTTACGCAGCTCCTGTAAAACAAAAAAAAAACATAATCAGTTTTTATTTAAATAAATTCTTCATATCTTACCGCAGAATTTAAATCCAAAAGAATTCCAGTCTGTACAGAAGCGAGAAAAGTGTTATGCGCTGTGATAACATCATCCAGACAAGCAGCTTGATTAACCTGCTTCAACATTTCCGCCCATGAGCATTCCAGGACTTCAAACAGGAAGTAGTATTGAGTTTGATGTAAAAAGTGAATCATTTCACTAGATAACACGTGTATCTGATGTGTTACAACTCTTAATTCTGCAGAATATAAAATAACAACATAATTATGCCAATTTTTGATAAAATGAACAAACAAACCTTTCATTTGTTTCAGCAGTTTGTTACTTGTAATTTGTTGCTTACGCATGTTGGATAAAACAAACTCCATGCGTTTTGCCTTCCATAAACCACCGAATAAACATTTATATGTTGAAACTGTGGGTTGAAATATTGTTCCAACAGGCCCATTTGCACAGTACATTAGTGAAAAAACATCCCAACCGGTATCCTCGTTCGAATGTTGCATCAAACACACATTTAAACATGAAATTGTTTCTTCATCGTCATACTGTGCGTTTGTGACGCGAATGGCTGACTCCAAGATGGCGGACAATGTGTGTGCGTATAGATTATAAGCTGGCTGACATAATTCAGGCCTGTAAAATTAATTTTATAAACAATTACGACATATTTTGTGTTAAAAAATAACTTACGCTAGTAACTCTAGCAAATGTCGAATGAAATCTCCTTGTCCCAGTAATAAATATCTTCGCATCGCTTGTAAATGTTCTAATAACATATACTTATTCTTCAACAAGTCCAAAACTCGTGTGGAAGTCTCTCTATACACGCTTTCTAACCCTGCATGTAGTTCAATACTCCTCTCAGGGTTGAAAAACGCCTCTAATGAATTAGAAAATAATTTCTGAAGAGTTTCGCGACCTGGAAGCTGCGCGGTATCTTTACAAATTTGTCTCAAAAAGTTTATAGATTTCCCCGTCGCTAAAATCTTATTCGCTTGATCGACGGTTATAAAAGTAGGAATCATTGCTTTGCGCACGTGATATTTATCGTGCCATAAGCGTTCGACGTCTTTGATCATACGAGCTTCGATGAAAAACTCGCCGCAAGGATCGTTCAACTCTCCGTCCAGCAGCCATTTTGAAAGCATTACATACAATGGCCGACAGACGGCGGCGAGAACTTTTTCAGATTGTTTTTGTACCGTGTATGAACCGTGTTGTAAAAAGCCATGAATAGCTGAGATTAAAGCACCGCCTTTTTTATCCACGCATTGTTCTGCGATGTAGGCTAGCCATTGAAGACGGAGTTGTGGTTCGGCAACCCAAACTACCATGCGACGCAGTGAGATTTCGTTGGATTCATGTGAACTTTGTTTTTTCGCCTATAAAATTCCAAAATATAAAAAAATAGTCAAAAATATGGATAAATTATTTACTTGTGCTTGTAAATGCGCGATGAGTTCATAGTAGCTGGTTAGTTCAATTCGCAAAATCGCAATTAATGACTGTCCAATTAAACCAATTTGTTTGTCCGCCTCGTCGCAATGCTGTTTGAGTTGATTGTGCAGGAATCCAATACCAGTAAGTCGTAATATCAAACCTTTCTGGCGCGCTGTCATACATTTACTCGCTTTCGGATCCAATGTGAATCCAATACCGCCAGGTTCTTTACGTATTACTTTACCTTCAATGCCTTGAAATGAATAAATGACTTCTTGAAGAAGTTGCGCCTCTGATACAGAACTTGCTACTGAAATAACAAAGGTGTAAATTGGGTTGCCTACCAATTAAAAACCAAATACCAAAACAAATGTAATTCTTACTTGTTGATCTTGATGAACTTGTAGAAGTAGTTAACTGATCCTTGTATATTTCAGAATCACTGTTTGTATAACTCACACCAGAATGTGTTCTACTACTGACATTTGACATCTTTCTATTTAAATTACTCTGATAAATCTTCTTCACACCAGCAGAGGAATCATCAGGCAAGAAACCAATCTGGTTTTTACTGCTCACACTGATTGGATTACTGTGCAGGACTTGTTTTGGTATAGACCACATATGACTACTCTCAAATTTATTGTTTCCTTTGCTCATGAAGAGAAAAAATGAGAGTAGATGTGATTTGTGATGCAACACTGCCTAAATTTCTTATTTTAATAGTATATAACAAAATTATCCAAGTAAAAACTTACAGATTTATGGATTTTTAAGTATAATGCATCAAATAACTTTGTTTCCTCATTGCCCTTTGTTGCTTGAATAAACTTGCGTATCTGTGCAGCAATCTGACTCTCATCTTTGTCTAGTGTGTCATTATGCTGCGGCAGTGAGAGGAATCCGACGCACAGCTTATAGAATCGGTTCGATTGTTCTGTGGAGCACACGATTGAGCATCAATTAAACGCTTTGGTGAAGCAAATAATGCACTCATACCTTCATTATTTTTAGCAAAGTGGCTGCACAGCTTGTTGACCAGCAGCGGAATCGTTGTGGACACATCCTGTGTGCTGCCATTCATTGTACGTGCAGATATCCGTCCGCTTTACTGTGGCTTACTAATAAGTAAGAAATTTTACGGTTAATGTTTACGAGGATTAAAATTTCAAATCAATAATAACTGGACAAACCTCTAAAAATGTCTGATTTAAAAGTGAAGCTGTCAAGCGACGGTTAGTAGACAAGTGACAGGAATGTGCAAGTCGGTAATACAGAAAGTGTTAAAAAAAATAAGATTTTCTGAAATATATCCGCAATAAAACTTTGAATTACTGTATATAAATAGTATATAAATATGTTTTAAAATAAATTTTATGGTTTTGTTACCATATTAATAAAATTTTAGGTAAATATTTGTAGATAAAAGTTCACTTTGCGGTATATTTTGACAGAAAATTAACCCGCAGCGCCCTCTGGGTACTCGGCGTTCTTCGTCCGCAAATCTCCATTTTAGTTGCATACCTTCCAATTGCGTTGCCCAACGTCGAGCGTCGGACACATTTGTTTAAAACATTCATTCAGGGGAGTGCATGACCACATTTCCACGCAAACATGAAAATGAAACTGGTGGATCAGGTGGTGCGGAGTTTCCGCGTGGCGAAGGTGTTCCGTGAGAACACGGACAAAATCAACAGCATCGACTTCTCGCCGAGCGGCGAGACGCTCATCAGTTGCAGCGAAGACGATCAGATCGTCATCTACGACTGCGAAAAGGGCACGCAGGCACGCACCGTCAACAGCAAGAAGTACGGCGTCGATCTCATACACTTCACGCACGCAAAGAACACCGCCGTCCACAGCTCCACCAAGGTGGACGACACCATTCGCTACCTCTCTTTGCATGACAATAAATACATACGGTATTTTTCCGGGCACACGAAAAAAGTCGTCTCGCTGTGTCTATCACCCGTTGAGGATACATTCCTCTCCGGCAGTTTAGACAAAACACTACGGCTGTGGGACCTGCGGTCTGCAAACTGCCAAGGGCTGATGAACTTGTCAGGAAGACCAGTTGCTGCATATGATCCAGAGGGGTTAATTTTTGCTGCTGGAGTCAATTCAGAATGTATTAAGTTATATGACTTGAGATCATTTGATAAAGTAAGTAAAAACAACCAAAAATAAAAACAAATTACTAATTATGTTAAATTTTTCCATTTTCAGGGTCCATTTATCACTTTTAAACTAACACAAGAAAAAGAATGTGATTGGACAGGATTGAAGTTCTCCCGAGATGGTAAAACAATCCTCATCAGCACAAATGGTTCCTTCATCCGGTTGATCGACGCCTTTCATGGTACACCACTGCAAACGTTCACTGGTCATCTAAACAACAAAGGCATTCCAATCGAAGCCTCCTTCTCGCCAGACTCACAATTCATCTTCAGCGGTTCCACTGATGGCCGCGTGCATGTATGGAACGCTGATACTGGCTACAAAGTATGCGTCCTGAATGCCGACCACCCTGGGCCGGTACAATGTGTTCAATTCAATCCAAAGTACATGATGCTTGCCAGCGCCTGCACAAACATGGCGTTCTGGCTGCCGGCGATTGACGAGACGTAAATTTTTTAATGAAACAAGTATTTTCTCCACTGGAAATATGCGAGTAAGCATATGAAAATGTATAAGAGAATTGAGATTGAGTGGAACTTAAGTGTACATAATTGTCATAATTCACTTTCAGCACTAAATGGTACTAATCAATATGTTGGTATAAGAAAAGAAATTGATATCAATTGTACATACTTGACTTCACATGTGAAACTTTTACATTTTATTAAATATTCATTAATAATCATCACTATATTATGTGTTTTTTTTTTGTTTCCCTGTTGTTTGTTAGTGTAAATTTCCAGAAGAAAATAAAAATCATTAGTTTTGTGAATATTTTAAAACCAAAACCTAAGAAGAAACAAAATGACAGTTCTTTCAAATGTAGGCAACCCTACTTACTAGTTGCTTTCAATCAGTTACCTTTTTATTAGTTATGATTTATTTTAATGTTATTGCATGTTTATTTTAAAGATTTAGTTTAATGTTACTTTAGAATTAATTTATTGTTAGTTTTAACAACTCGTAACTCAAAAATTCGTTGAATTTCTTGTTCTTGATGAGGTTATGTCACCACACAAATCTTTCCATGTCAGATTCATGAATTTTGCAAATATGTAGTTGGTCCCATAATACAAATAAAAAATTTACCAAACAACGCAAATATCCATAAAAAACCATTTAGTTGAATATAACTTTTCAAATCAATATATCTTTAATCAATAGTTTCAAACTCAACACAATATTCAGCAACAGAGCATTAAACCCAAAGTTACAAAGTTACTAATGTCGATTGTTTTTTACTCACCACAATGAAACTCCTAATTAACAAACCATTTAATACTGTTATACAAGATATAGAATTGAAACCTAACCTTATTTTGTCATTTTCCGCCATTTTTATACCTCTAAACACAAAATAATGAAAAATAGTCTCAATAGTATCGTGTTAATTAGAAGTTTCATCCCACCAAACAAAACAAAACATAACAAACAATAACACCTTCTACACCCTCTGCACATACACCAGCTATAAATGCAATCATTAAATCTCATTAAGAACACATCAACAAACTCGACCAACAATATCGTAAGTATAGTACAAATGTGGACGGTAAAGTTAATAATTAAATTAAATTCACATTCTCGTTCAACAATCAATATCATCATAATCGTAATGTCAATAAAATTAATAGCAAACGTAATAATTACTTCGGCAAATCGTCAGCGTCCCTGCATGATAATAATAATATAATCTCTTTTTATATATAGTTACGGCCCTGCGTTGAAGCATTTAAGCGTATGTATTGTTATGTATTGTAAAACGTTCGAAAGCAATAAATAACAATATGAAATGTACGCCTAAACTAATTGTAACAACATCTCTGATTGCCTAAAATCCTTGAGGGCAATCACATACGTGTGCATCTTTTACACACGTTTTTCTCAATTCATTAATCACTAGAATACAAGTACAAGGTTTATTTGGTTATAACAATTAACGTGTGCACGTAAAATAGGGACGGTGGTATTGTAAATTGCAATTAAAGTGTGCTAATTGTCCCATTGCTTCAATACTCGTGAGTTTTCTTTAAGTTTTCTTTAGGTTTAAGTTACAAGTTAAAAGTAGTAGCAAACTTTAAAGTTGTGTAAAAATATGGCACTCATCAATTCATAGCATCCAATGTTTTAGTTACAGTTTTGTAAATATGGTCATTCATTAGCACTTAGTTTTGAAAATAGAGTGAATATTTCTAAATTTTTATCTTGTGAGAAGGCAATTAGTGTGAAAGTCAAGCTCTAATCTTATAAATATTATAAAACTCTTTTTAAATTTTATCTTAAATATTTGATAGAGAGATGATTGAATGATTGATGCATATATTGCATCATATAAAATTATGTTTGTAAATATCTTTTTAAAATGTCCATAGAGTGCATATAATCAAGCTCACAATATATTGGTTTATAAAACTAGTAGATTCGATGCACTTTTAATTCATTATGTGATGTATTCTATATATTTATGTTGGATTATTCAAGGGAGAGTTTCAGAGCGACACTAGCGACACTCAAAAAACGTTAATTTTTGGTACTAATCCAAAAAGTTTAATATTTTTTAAATGTAGTTATTATCGTCTTGAAACCATCTCATAAATACAGTGTAGCCTCTTTATAATCACGTTTTATCACGTACGAAGGCTACACCGAATATTTTAAACATTTAAGGCGATTTAAGGCGTTCAGTCAAAGCCCGCATAGCAAAATCTGCTTTTAAACTCACATGGCACAATAGTTAAACATTAAATCTCAATAAGAATCTGTTTCCAAGCTGCCCCGATAAATATCTCAGTATAATCATCATATAAGCAATAAAAGTGTTAAGTTAAGTAAGTTATTCATCATCATTGGTCCCCGAAATAAGCACAGCACGCATTCTGCTTGTAAAACATTAAGCCTTGGCGTGCGTTCCCCATCCACCGTGTATAAATCATCTTAGGCTTCGTTTGCAACGCCAACAATGCAAAATTCAGAGCAAATACTGTTATTGCAAATATATCTATGTAATAATTGACTCTTAAGTACACAAGTCGATCGATTTCAACCATCAAGTGATCCAGTGTAATGTAATGACGCAAAATAAAATTTTGTGCAGGTTGAAATGAATCTTAAATGCTAGACGATGAATTATAAATGTCATTCGTGTGACCACGGCCAGCATTCGTGAACATGCGCACTTTAATCTAAATCCCTTTTTATGATTTGTACTTGATGGCGACGTCGTGCGCCATAATTAAAAACAGCCGACATGTGAAGCAAGCCATGTGCTATATGTCGCATCAGCGTACGCGAATTAATAATCAACGATAATGGCGGCGTTTAAATATTCAGCGCCTTGTGATTATCTCGCAATGTTCGTTGGGAAACCGTGGATAATCAAAAAGATATCGGGATTACATTATCAGCGCGCGATTGAAAAGTCGATGTGTGCCACGCGAAGATTATCGGTAATCTACTTTTTGTACGCTTCAAATAATCAACCGACTACCTAACAAGTTTTGCTTCAATATTTTAGCAGTCGCTTAACGGTTTTTACATTTTTTCGTTGAACATCGCTAGAAAAACAAAATTTTTTTCTACCCCGACTAAAAAAATACACACACCACACACCGTACACCCCACAAGTACTAAATTCCGCGTGACTCCATCATGCGTAAATTAAATTAACATAACAAAATCGCATTAAAGCAGTTTTTACTAGTAAAATACCGCAGTAAATGTAAAAATCACCTCTGCCTGTGGCGACGTCACTTTTGTACTACACGCGTTGTGCTTCTGCATGCGTTTCCGACATCACGTGCCCTTCTGTGCCCACTTCATGTCGTCGTCGCGCGGTCTGCAGCCGATCGTATGCTCGATGATGAATTCAAGCACACTCCAGAAGTGTAGCTTCTCTAACGGCCAATTCAGCCAGCCGGTGGTGATGCAAAAGTAGGTTTCATGCGGCGCAACATGATGAATGCGATGGTGGCGCCGCGGTAGGATGATGTGATGGTCCTGCAGCCACACCACCCACCCAGGCAGCCCGAAGTACGTGTGTGACCATTTGTGTATCTGCACAATGAATATGAAATCATGCGTGTTACATCATCAGCTATGAATAAATATTACCAAACGTCATAAATTAATATTAGAAATCACAAAGTAAAAGTCATGCAAAGATCAAGTGTATGTTGGGTTGCATACTTATGCAAAAAGTATACTTCAACTCAAAATTTGATTATTTGTGTAAAAATGAGTAAAAAACTATAAAATTTAGTGTAAAAATGAGTAAAACTATTGTTTTTAGTCATTATTTGTGCGAAAATAAACGTAAAACATGAAAATATTATGTCTAATCAAACATATTAATCAGCAAAAAGTTGGGCGCGTTGATGTTTTATTACCTGATTAGTCATAGCGACAAACAGCGCGAGCAGAAAAACATAGCAATTCCAATTTAAATTGCGCTGCACCTCCTCCTCGGACGACACCAGAAAGTCCCACAGCATTTTCCCGAGGAACGGAATCGTCACGCTAAAGTTATCGCCATTGGTTTCGATAAAATCATGCCGTGTTATACTCGTCGGGTCAATGTGATGCTCACGAAACGGGCGCAGAAAGTTCTACAACAGAAAACAAAAACGACGAATGTACAAACAAAAATATCTCGCACGCGAACTAAAGCCAAAGAGACGACGTCAATAAACGAACAATCAGACAATCATTAACTCAATCATGCAGCGCTTAAATTTAACTTGCGCAAACAGCAAACAAACAAAACAAGAGAGGTACTTTATTACACATAGCACAGACACAAACCCAACAAAACAAAAAAAAGTCGAGGCATAGAATAAAAGCAAGTATACACATATATCCCATATCAGTTGAATATATATGCATATTGAATAACGAAATAATGATAAAAAAGAACCAATTACTTTGCCAATAATAGGTAGGTCTACAGATCCCCAGGTGTCGGCCGCCCAATGCACAAACCCAGAACCAAAGTCAGCCGTGACAATCCCACAGAAGGCACTCAGCAAGATAATGCTCCAATTCTCGCGCTTGAAATTTAATATCAAGAAGCACAGGTTCGATATCATGAGAGCAATGCAAATGCCCACACAGATACACTCCTGTGTTCTTTTACCTACAAAACAATCATTTCTATGGGTCATCACACTAGTATTCTAAAAACTACACAATACCATTAACCAAACATTCGCTATTATTCTATTCTCTAATATTTTTTTAGAAAAATTGTATGAAAATAACCTGTGCTGTATAAATTCGCCAATTCCTGCGCGCCTTTGTGTTGTGGGCCCCATCTTGGTCCCTGTTTCGCTTCGGTTTGAATCTGCGCGACCGTCTGAATCGCACAATTCGCATTCGGATCATCTTCAAGCATTGAGTTTTCCAGGATTTCCTGCTCTGTCTTGACTGGAGCGAGGATTGTCGTCTCGATGGATTCGATCCCAGTGGAGGAAAGTGCTTCCTTCACTCGTTGCGAGCAGGATATCGATAGTGGTAAAGCCATTTTTCGTTATTTTTTCACTTTCGATTAATGATTATTTTAAAACAATGCGATTTTCGCGGCGGGCATGACTGAAGTGCACATTTTTAATTGATTAATTAACGCGGCGTGAGTTGTGGTTCCACTGCGTGTGGGTTGAAGCGCGTGAATCGTTTCCGAATTGATGAAAAATTGAGTTTTTTTTCGGGCGCAGCGCAGCACGACCGACACAACAGCGAGCACGTTCGCGTTTGACGCTGCGCTCGGTTTTATTACCGCACCGAACACCTCACAGTCTCACACTGTGCTCATCGTGTGTGCTGGTGGCGGTGGCACTGGCGCACATGCTATGCTATTTTTTTCGCGGTGGCGGCAGACGGCGCTTTTCACTGCTTCACACTGCTTCGCACAGATGTGTAAATATAATTGGCTAGAAAATGAGGCTGCACGCTGCGAGATGCACTAGTATGCGACACTACGACAGCCGCCGCCACGCCGGAAAATCTATGTCAACGTGAAGCCAGTGAAGGGTGTGTGTGAAAGCTCGGAAAGCTCCGAAACAACTGAAAACAGCTGAAGAACGCTGATCAACAATTAAATGACGCCGTATGCCATCTGTCGGTGGTGCCGTATTAATTATTTACCAACCCCCATGATTCCAACTTAGCCGCCGCACAAAGAATCGAATCGATAACAAATTAGTACTTTTCAAGTAAGGCACTAGGCACTGTTTCTACCGCTTTGATATACATGTTGATATTATTACTGTAATTACATATTTATCGCGTTTGACCTGAGAAATGTTTTATTGATTTTGAATATGCTACGATTTTATTCTTTATTCATGCATTTGCGCTACGAATCATCGTTGCATTTTTAATATTTGTGGCATGAATTGTATGCGGTCATTTTATGCAAATGAGTAAACAATGAAAAAAAGCAAAACTTTTGCGCATTCTATGTGAGTGCCATCTGTCACAAACAATGGAAACTAAACAAGCTAAGATTTATTTACGTACGCACAGCACAGTTACATTTTAAATGATGTCTTCTGCGTTGCTATAAATACAATAGCGGAAGATCAATATTTTGTATTTGATGTTCTATTTTTAAATGATCATATTTGTTTTTAATTGCTTTTTTTAGTTTCAACTACCATTGCGTCCGATGTTTCCCGAAGGTCTTGTTCCGCCTCTTTTCAGACGCTTCGCTGTGATGGCGATAATGCGCGCTCGGACGCCATATTTAATATCGGCGTTGGAGTGTGCCGCTCTTCGCTCGCAAATCTCCGCTCAAATCGATTCAATTCGCTTTTATCCCCTCAAAAACGCCGCGTCAGAATGAGCGTCGAGGAGGATGTGTTGCGTATTCAAAGACGCTTGACGAAAATGGCCTCAGAGGATGCCAAAGTGAGTGAAACTCCAAACATTTCAAAGCTCTCAATCACATAACCCTTCAATACTTCACTCGAGATTTGTTTTTGCGCCGTTTTTCGCGCGATTTGAGCAATGCCATGCCACCACTTGATACGAATGTTTTTGTTTATTATAGGGACAAGAGCAAGCGCTGGATTTATTGAAGGAATTACAACGCATGGATATTAATTTGGAGGTGCTCACCAAGACTCGAATTGGCATGACAGTAAATGCACTCAGAAAGTCCACAAAGGATGAGGAAGTCATCAGTTTAGCGCGAACGCTCATCAAAAACTGGAAAAAGTTCTTGAGTGCCAGAGATTCAGCTGCTGCTGGTGGTAATTCCACATCAAATTCAAAGAAAGAAAAGAAAGAAGACAGGCCAAAAGATGATAAAGATAAGGAGAAAGATAAAAAACTACCATGCTCATTTCCACCAGTGTCAAATACCACAGACTCTGTTAGATTAAAGTGTAGGGAAATGTTAGCTGTGGCAATAGGTGCGGAAGTTGGAGGAGAAGAATTTGATGGTAAATATATCACTTAAACTGTTAAAAGTGTTTCTAATGTGAAAGATTTTTAGGTTGTGCATCACCAGAAGATTTGGCTGAGGAGTTAGAAGAATGTATTTATCAAGAATTCAAAAACACTGATATGCGGTACAAAAATCGCGTGCGCTCACGAATATCGAATTTGAAGGATGTGAAGAATCCACAATTGCGGATGAATTTCCGCGTTGGAGCTATTCCCGCAGCGCGTTTGGCTGTTATGACTGCTGAGGAGATGGCCAACGACGAAATCAAGAAGGTTCGCGAGCGTTTCATGAAGGAAGCAATCAATGATGCTCAATTAGCCACAGTGCAAGGTAATAATTATAAATTCAACCAAATATCATATACTTTACATCATATTTTTGTTCATAGGAACCAAAACCGAGATGTTGAAATGTGGCAAATGCAAAAAGAAGAATTGCACGTACAATCAACTGCAGACGCGATCATCCGACGAGCCGATGACAACATTCGTGCTCTGCAACGAGTGCGGCAATCGTTGGAAGTTCTGTTAAGGCGACAAGCACCTAACTAGCGCGCGTTGAATTGTATTTGTTGGTTTGATCAGTTTTTTGGTAATTTGTAATGAATTTTATGAATCCTAGAGTTAATTTTCGCTTGATATCGATGAACTCCACTGGACTACCCGCTGCAGTTCAACAGTTGTTTGCAGTGGTTCATTTAATCTTAAACGGAATAATTAGATTTTGTTTAATTACACACTTGTCTTTTTTATGACTGACTGGTTGGTTTTCATTTACTTGTGTACAAAAAGGCGAAGTAAAGTTTTTTTTAGTGTGCGCATCATGCTTTTCTTTACTTTTCCCGCCAATTTATAAATCACGAGTTTTTAAGATCTTAGACAGAAGACCAAAAGAGAGCTTAGAGAAGGACGTAGAGAACTGGGGGGACTGGACTGCTGGACGACTCGGGCACGATTGAGCGCGCAGCGCACCGCGCGCTGACCTTTTATACCAGCGCCCTATCCGCAAAAAAGAGTGGGGGCAGGTGCCAGGACGCGAGTCAAACGGTTCGCGACACCCACGCAGAGCCTCGTATCCCCACCAATTGATTTAGAGTTATCCACAGCGAATAGGAATGCGGCGTCTTACCCCCACCACTTTTTGCGGGTTGCCCACAGGTATAAAAGGCGAGTACGCAATGCGCTACGCGCTCAGTCCTGCCTGAGTCGTACCCAGTCCAGTCACAGCTTTTAGGTTCTTCTCTCCTCTCCTCCTTGGTCAAATGCCATTTATGTCAACATTAGAAACTTCAAACTTCAACCTGATTAATTTCTAAACCTGTCGTTGTTATTCATCTACTATAATTTTTATTCAATTTATTTTATTGCAATGGATAAACCAAAAAGGCACAAAACTATCAACGTGAATCCCTACATCGATAGTAATCCTATATCTAAGGCATTATTCACGTAAAATTAACAAAAATCTCAATTATTCCGTACTAAATAAGCAATACTCTTTTAGTTGGTGTAGAAAATTTCTAAGTAACATCAACGCCACTGGTGCAGACCCAGATAAACTATTCCTACCTCGTATAGAAGATCAATGTAAATTTTTAACAGAAGATTTACTTAAGCGTCTCTACTCAGACCGTCATCGACGCATTCGACTAAATCTACTCATGATCATTAATATGTTCGTGGGACGCAGCGAATTCTTTCAATGGTTCATCATAGCGTTATTTTGCACGGTCTTTTTAAGGTTTGACTCATCAACTAAAAAAAACTAACATTTAATCATCAATATTAACATAAAACTAATTTCAGGGTAATAATAGCTATTACACTGGTGTATTCCTTGACTGAACTGGCTATGAACGATCCATCCAACGTCTATAGCACAGTAGGCATTTGTATCATCTCGATATTTTACATTTTAGTTATTGGGATCACCATTATCATGCGACAAATGCGTAATTTTTGGGGATTATGCTATGGAGAACGACTTAGAATCGCTATAACCGGTGTAATCTATCATAAAGTAATCATGTTAAGACAAGAAAATATTTTAAACACCTTACTGAACAGAAAATTTTCAGATAACGAAATTACCACTGAGTATACTAACAAATGAGAAGATAAACGAAATAACTAAAATACTATTCACCGACTTGGTGGTTCTACGCGCATTACCGCTTAGATTTCAAGATGTCTTCGTGTCCGTCTTGATGTTTATAGTCTCCCAATTACTTTTATTTCTTTACGTCGGTACCGCTGGAACTGTAGGCTTGGCGTTGATTATTTTCGTAGGAATACCAATGCAAAGTATTATTATTTACAAACAAAAACTAAAAAAATTCAAAACAACATCAAAATATATTCCAGTATTGGCAACTTATGGCTCTTTAAAAATGGAACGCACTTTAAACGTCAAACGTGCAAGAACCGAGTCGATAATCTCCGATGTCCTCAACGGCATTGAAACAATCAAAGCGAATTGTCTTACCGATGTGTTCATCCGAATTTTACGACGTTCTCATGATCGAGAACTCGTCGTCGCTTCAAGGCGCTCTCTCCCACAGATACTCCTCTGGTCAGCGAATACATTATGGCATCGCGTTGCTACTCTCATCACTATTATCATCTACTTCCTCCAAGGCAACATTCTTACCGTTGGTCAAGTCATGATGGTCATCATTGTCTTTGAACACCTCTGCACATATTCACTCAATGTAATATCAAGCACCATTGAAGTTTGTATGAAATCTTCAGAAGTGTTAAACACAGTGAACGACTTCTTGTCACTAACAGAACAAAAACACAACAAGTACACACCTCTGAATGTCTGGGAGATACAATTTGATCATGTTACCAGTTTGTTATCAAACGACAACTTCGCATTGAACGGTGTCACCTTCACGATACCAGCGAGGAAAATGACTGTAATCTGTGGCGCGTACAATAGTGGATGTCGAACCATTATACCAATATTAACTGATGATGTATGGCTGGTTTCTGGAAGTATCAAAATCGGTGGTGTTATCTCATACTACTTCAACACAGCGGTTTTGGTAGAAGGTTCAATTAAGAGAAATATAACACTCGGGAGGAAATTCGATAAACATCACTATCAGTTTATCAAGAAAATCTGCGGGTTGAATTCGGAACTGCGTCGGATAGATGGTGGAGATGATTGTGATCTAGCCCTTCGCGAATACTGGCCGACTCTAGAAAAGAAAGTCTTGTTAGCGAGAACGTTGTATCCTGTTGCGAATATTTATGTTTTTCAACAGCCGCCTGTAAGGATAGTCAACAGTCGCGAACGGTTAATATTCGAAGATAGTATCGAAAAGTACCTTAAAGGTATTACCCGACTGGTGATAAGTAATGAATATGTGTATTTGAAGCAAGCTGATAAGATCTGCTACTTTGAAAACGTAAAACTAATAATATTCAAGTAGTAATAATGAATTAAATAATGAATACAAAATTTTAGGGGAAATTAAGAGCGGAAGGCACTTACAATCAAGTCCGACGCGAAGTTTCCGACTTTGAATTGATAATAAAACATGGCGTCTCCGAAGTACGCCTGGATAATTTAGCTTTAGTGCCGTCGACAGTAATAGTAATACCTAACTTTCTTCTTAAACTATTTTACCTTAAGTTTCACTTAATTTTAATATGTTTAGCGCTCATCAAGACATTCAGTGATAAGTTTAGCGATTGCATCTGTACCAAACATCTTTGTAATGCTCAAGAGACGCCACAGAGTCATCTATCAATTCTTCGCACGACGTAAAGACCATTTTGCATTGGTGTTCCTCTTCACTCTCATGGTCCTAACTGGTTTCTTACCCTTCCTATCAAAACATTTGTTATTTAAATGGTCCACGGCTAATTTAATAACAAATTTTACCAAGTATGCGCCTGGTTATGAGCGTCACAAGAGAATCCACACGCTTAAATCGGAAAATATGCATCCGTTCAGTGAATTCTTGGATGTCTATGAATGTCGAGTGTTTTTCATCCTCGCTCTTATATTAATCCCGCTATATTCATTGGTTTTTGCATTGGTCGCTCGAATAAGTATTAAGCACGTGCGGATGATATACCGGAAATTATTGGATAATGTACTGCAGAAAAATGTTATGTATTTTCATAATACCTCGACGTTGATGTTGTATGAACTGCTCGTTAAAGATGTGCATGTTATTCAGGATTATTTACCGGGTAGTTTCATTGGTACAGTTGAAGTAAGAGTAAAAATTATTATATTTACTCAGAATGTTATTTTTTATTGTTTGTAGGCATGCGCAACACTACTCTGCGCCGTTGCTTTCTTCATGTATTTGAATTATTACTTGGCCGTGGGGTTAATTCCGTATTTAATGGTCTCTTGCTATATGATTTTGTGGTTCAAAAAGACTGGAAATCGTTTACAGCATCTGGAACATGACTGTAATCTTAATATAACTTTCAAATTAATTTAAATAATACTTATCCGCCATTTTGTTTTCTTTTACAGTGAAATTTCCAATAATGATACACATTACCCAAACACAAAACTTATTAACCATGCTCCGATGTTCCCAGTTAGTGGATAATCAAATAAGAACGTTTTATACCTTGATAAACAAGCATACAACAGCTTGTTTCATGATGTTGACACTAATGCAAGCCTTCCGGACATGGCTAGCTCTCTGGACGCTTTTATTAATGATTGTGATAATGGCAGTCTTTTGTTTCTTGTATATAGCAAATCAAGAATACACCTATGTGATTAATATGGTCATGTATTACATGACTGTTATTATTCTCTTCTTGAATAACTGCTCTGAGCATTTCTTCAATATGGCGTACTTGAATAATCAAATCAAACGCATTGCTGAACATGATAGTGTTAACTTGGAAGATACCACGAGTGGGCTGCGATATCCAAAAATATGGGCCCAACCTCCAACGATTAGATTCTCTGGTGTGTCGGGGCACAATTTAGGACACGCCATTGTTGATTTTCAAGGACTTAAAATAAACCCTGGGGAACATGTAATAACGTCTTAAAATGATCAAAAATAACAAAAAATAAAAAAATATTCTTACAGGTTGGTTTAATTGGTCGTCCTGGGTCAGGCAGACGTATTTTGGTCAAAATGTTGTTACGTATGTACCCGCACACAGGTACAATTAAAATAAACCAAAGAAAAATCGAACAAATCAACGCATGCACGCTACGCCGTAATATTTTCTACATATCATCAAGCACATCTTTATTTGCACCCACATTGCGCTTCAATCTAGATCCCAGAAATGAATTCACTGATTCACTTTTATGGATGGCCCTGCAAAGAGTTGGTCTCACTCCCAAAATCATCTCTTTAGAAGCAACTGTCAAACCTGGTGGAAGTAACATCACTCTAGAACAGAAAATTCTCATATTTTTCGCGCGTGCGTTATTATTGAAGAGTAAAGTTGTAATTCTGGATCAAATATTTGAGAAAATATCAACTGACGAATATGATATTGAAGAAATCTTCTTTAATGAATTTAATGATTGTACTCTGGTTGTGATTGAATCAAGATTGAATTATATTATGCGATGTAATCGCATTGTGGTCCTGGATTGCGGACGCATCATGGACGATAACATTCCTACAAATGTGTATGGAAATCGCACTGATTTCTTGCATACAATTGTTGATAAAACTGGATATGTAAATCCAAATACATTAACACGAATGGGATACCATAGCTCTACTGAAATACAATCACTTGAAGATTTTGATGATCAAACACTATAATTATTTTGAATAATTAAACGTTTAAACCACGAGAAAATCCGAATAGTAACGATTATTGTTTTTAAAAACATGATATAACCTTATTTTACTCATTCGCAGTTTGTGTTTTCTTTGCTTTTGTTTATATAACTTCTAATTAATAACAAAATGAGTGATCAAAGTGATGAATATTCACAATGTCCGATTTGTGACCGTCCGTATCCTTCGCATCAAATTGAAATCCATGTCGATCGTTGTATATTCCTAAACTCAACAGAAACTGATAAAGATAAAGAGAAAAAACCAGCATCCTCAACACTTAAACCTTCTTTTCCATTATTTACCCAAAAATCTCCAGTGAAAACTCTAAAACGTCCTGCTCCACAATCACCACCACCCATATCCAAACCAATCAAATCTCCACGTCAAGAAACACCATCTTCATCAAAAGTTAAACCAACTACAAGTTCAAATACAAGTGTTATTAATAATAACAATGAAAGTGAGAAAAATATAGACTTTACTACACCTTTAGCCAAGCAAGTGGAACCGAAATCACTTGAAGAGTTCTTCGGGCAAAAGAATGTCCTTGGTGAGGCTACTGTCCTGCGTCAGTTGTTGGAAAAAGGCGAAGTACCTAATATGATCCTATGGGGACCTCCTGGTTGTGGAAAGACATCCCTTTCTTCTGTAGTAAAAGAGATCTGTAAAAATAGCACAAAACTGTATTTTAAAGCATTATGTGCTGCGAATTGCGGTGTAAAAGATGTGGAGAAAATCGTAAGTGACGCAAAAATGCAGAGAAAATTCGGAAAACAAACTGTACTATTCATGGATGAGGTACATCGCTTCAATAAGCGTCAACAGGATGTTTTTCTATTACATGTAGAGAAGGGTGATTTGATATTAATAGGAGCAACAACGGAAAATCCATCGTTTACCATAAACAGCGCGCTTTTAAGTCGTTGTCGCGTGATAGTCTTGGAAAAATTGGACTGTGATAGTATGGTAAAGATATTAGAGAAAGCAGCGAAGAGATTTGATGTTTACGTACAGAATAAAGGCGCACCATTAAAAGAAAAGTAAGGATATCATTCAAAATGGCCGTCAGATGACCAAACTACTATTGTTTTACACCATTTTGTGTTGTTTTTTAGTATTTTGCAAATTGAACGCGATGCATTAGTCTGGTTAGCGGATACTTGTGACGGCGACGCAAGAATAGGCCTTGGTAATCTACAAATGCTCTTGCAGCAAGCACAAACTAACAAGAAACAAGGCCTCATCACAGTACAAGATATAAAAGACGGAATAAAAGTAAAGTAAACCACAAACAACATAAATTTCTTATATATACTAATTATTTTTGTTATTTTTAAAGAAATCTCACCTGCTTTACGACCGTCGCGGTGAGGAACACTACAATATTATCTCAGCAATGCATAAATCCATCCGCGGGTCGGATGTTAACGCCTCTCTCTACTGGACGACACGAATGATAGTCTCCGGTGAAGATCCCCGCTTTATCGCTCGACGTCTGGTACGCGCCGCATCAGAAGACATCGGTAACGCGGATCCTACTGCTCTACAACTCGCCGTTTCGGTTTTCCAGGGTTGTCAACTCATAGGAATGCCTGAATCCGACGTACTTCTAGCTCAATGCGCGATTTACTTAGCACGCGCACCGAAATCTCGTGAAGCTGACAGCGCGCTCGCCGCTGCGAAGAAGACAATTAATCAGTGTGAAGGTTTACAACCCTCAGTGCCAATGCACATTCGCAATGCGCCCACAAAACTAATGCGCGAATTGGGTGCGTATCACAAATTACACAACAAATGTCAACATATTATTAAATCCTGTTTTAATTTTACAGGATACGGTCAACTAGAACGCGGCACCAAGGCGTCATTCATGCCCAAAGGATTAGAAAACGTAAACTTTTTCAAATAAATACACCACAGCAATGAAACTACGCAGGAAAAATAATGGTGTCTTCAGACATTCAATATTATTGCGCAACCAAGTGCAGCTTATAATAATATACACATTTTTTTCAAGTTTTCCTTCTATTTTGGTCGCCTAATAATAATAATAATATTAATCCGTATGAATATCTACAGACACAGTATTAAAATGATTAATTAATATTCCGCTACGCTTCCAATTCGTTCTAATCGTCACTTTTTGCTTTTTGTTTCGTTTTCATCACTTACTAATTCCTCATGCGTCATATAAAAAAGAAGATAAATAAAATTACGATATCGCATACAATGTTGTCGCGCCGCTGCTGCATTTGCTATAGCCCTAATTCTTTTAAATCTTTAAATATAAGTCACTCACGAATGTCTTCATCAATTTTTCGGCATCACTTAAATTATTTACCAAAACTTTCAACTCACAAGTCTCCGAAAAAAGAACGCTGTCTGTGTGTGTATGTGTGTCGTGTGAACAACGTAAACATAGTTGCTGTTTCATTGATGCAATAAAACAGGGAATTACTTAATTAACATACATTACATCATTATGAGGGGGTTGTTGGGAGAATGCGAACACACGCAAAAAATTCTTAAATTCTTTTAAAAGACATAGTCGGGTCCGGCCATGTCAATCGCCCAGCGGAACTTGTCGCGCTGCGTCTTGTTGTAGATCTTCTCGATGGGCACATTGTACTTCTTGCACCACGCCACCGATATTCTCGGATCCAAATAATTCAACTTTGACGTACCGAGTGCAATCGTCTTATTTTCATCACGATCGGTTTCCTGAATTTCGAGTTTCGTGAGTTGTTCGCGCATCTTCTCCAATTGCTTCTTCTTTTTATCGTAGATTTGCTTCTCTTTGACGCTACCATGTTTGGCATCCTTGGCTGCGTCCTTTAGACCGCGCTCAGCGTCTTTAATCTGATCACGTTTGGCGTCAATCTTCTCTTTCAGCTTCTCCATGGATTTCTCGTGGCCTTTCGGCACAGCACGTTGATGGTTACAGAGAATCGCCACCGCACGATTGGCGCGATTATAGGACAGAATCATTTCCGAGAGTGAATCGCCCTCGTTCGTAAGCTCATTCAGCTGCTGTTGCAGCGTGAATGACGCATTGTATGTACGGAAGACCTTCGCCGTGAGGCCCTCCATGAGTTCATTGAGATGTTTATTCATAACGGCAGTGTTCAGCCGATCAAAGAGATCATCGCCCGGTGACTTATTCTCCATAAAGAGTTGTAAATTCTTAAAGACGCGCTTCTCCACCGGTACTTCATTGTAATAGCGAATTGAATCCTTACCGAGAAAGTCAAACACAACCACCGACTCCTTGTTGTCCTTCTGCTCGTGCAGTTGAATGTGTTCGACGCGCAGCGAACAGCAACCGACTGTATCCGCCTGGTCCTCGTCCTTTTCGTTACCCGCCCTAAGTGCTAACCTATCGATAAAATACAACGCGACAGCGCGCTGACGAATGCGCATCTCCTTCGACTTCCAGCCATCTTTATACTCCGAACGAATCTTGTCGATGCACTTGTGCAGACGGCGCGCCATCTCATACTTCTGCCAATCCTTCTCGCCCTTCAGCTTGGAACTGGGATTCAACATAACGTACTTTACTTGATTCTGTACGTTTTCCGTCCATGAGGCGAGCCACGTCACAGTTGGATCATGCCGCACCTCCTTCCATTTGTGACCTGGAGGTGGTTTGGGCACAACTGAATCTTGGCTGCAGTTGATTAAAACATCTTCAGGTCGGACGCGTTTTTTCAACATGCCCATCTTCGGATGTTCACCACGACCTCTGAAAAGACCCGGTGGTTCAATTTTAAAGTTACCAATCTTTTCCTTGTGCCCGTCAATGGTGCAGAAACCAAACTCCTTTAGAATTTCTTCATTCTTCTCCTTTAAAGCAAGTTTTTCTTCCTTGGTGCGGTTGCGGTTCTTCTCCGCCATGTCCATAAAGTACGTGTACATCTTCTTAAAGTTGCATTTCTTTAAATCGGTAATGCGTTTGCGCTCGCTGTCAGTCATCACCTTGCGCCAATCCTTGAAGAAGTTGGTATTGAAAACCTCCTTGGTGGTGTAGTCATGGTCCAACATTCGCGCGTAGAAGCCGGCGACCTCCTCGGCCTCCTCGCTCAGACTCATCTCTTCATTATCATAATAGAATTTAACACTCTTTGGAATGCCTTCGTACGGCGGCGCAAATACTGGACCCTTATGTTCAAGGAACTTCCACTTTTTACCATCATCGCGTTTTTCTTCCTCCCACCTAGAAAAATTATCAAATATTATTCAAAGTTTAAACAAACTTTGCTTTTAAGTCCACTTGCCTATGATTTGTACAAGCAAGTCTAACCTTACTTCTCAGTATGAATAAATTACCTAAACTAGCAATATTACGCTTGCTGAATAAGAAACATTTCGTATATTCAAGCAAATATTTAATTCCTATCATTGTACAGTCGCATATTGCCGAAAATTCCACTAAATACGGCTTGGACCGGTTGAGTTTATGTTACCGAAGCATGCTTGCAGGTTATCTATTTCTCGCTTCAATATACCGCATGTAACACGAAATTGTGGTTGAAAATATTTCTAGAAAACAAGTGAAGCACTAATAAACCGCACTTAATTGACAAAAAAACAATATTACTGCCATGAAACAAACTAATTGGTTGTGTCAGCAGTAATATTTAACTTACGTAATAATAAAACCTAAATAAATGGACGTTTGAAACACTCTTTTAGCAAATACGTACAGCGCCTCTAGTGGCGTATTTGCGAACTAACCGAACACGTGTGAAAACTAGTTCAACCGAAATATGGTGAAATATAAGCAAATAAATTGCACTCACCATTTCCACACCTCCTGCTCCTCCTCGGCCTTATTCTTACGTTTCTTCGGACTGCCAGCTGGTTCTTTCTTGACAACCGCTGGCGTAGACTTCGACTTTTTCTTCTCTTTCTTAATTGGCTTCACGTCTTCATAGTCATCGTTATCTTCCGAGTGCGAGCGCTTTTTCGATTTGGACTTTTTCGCCTTCTTCGATTGCACCGGTGGCTTTTCATCCTCTTCACTATCGTATTTCCGTTTAGATGTTTCCAAACGCATCGCCTATACAAATTTAAATTATTATAAAATTTGAAAATAAAAGAATTAAGAAAGTATTTACCAATGGTTTATCCTCCTCAGAATCACCATCTTCAGGTTCCTCTTCGGGCTCCTCGTCGGCTTCAAACTTCGGCTCGTCTTTAAATTGCGACAAATTGTAATCGCAACTCGACGCTTGCGAGCTGTTCATCTGCGCTGCATACTTGTCTTCTTCATATTCCGGAAGGATTTCTACCTTCTTTTCATCTTCGTGATAGAAACTGCTGCCATTCTGTTGTGATTCCGGTTCAGCCTTGATTTCAACGTCAATTTTTTCCAGAGATTCTGTAAATACACACAATGTTTGAATACTGTTAAAAATTAAAAAAAAAATTACTACCATCTTTATATTTGTCCGATTTTCTATCTTTTCTATCCCTGTCCTTTTCACGTTCTTTATCACGATGTTTATCTTTGCTGGAACTGCTGTGTCTATGTCTATCTTTATCCTTGTCCTTACTCCTATCCTTATCCCTATGTTCCTTGCTCTTGTCCTTATCCTTGGACTTGTGATCTTTGGAACTCCTATGCTCCTTATCTTTATCCTTGTCCTTGGACGAGCTGGACTTGTGCCGGTCTTTGTCGCGATGCCTATCCTTGTCCCTACTTGAAGACTTGTGCGAAGAACTCTTGTCTTTGGAACTGCTGTGATGGCGATCCTTGTCCTTGGAGCTCTTGTGGTCCTTGCTGCGACTCTTGTGATCACGATGCTTGTCGCGATGCTCCGACTTGGAACTCTTGTGCTTGTCCGGCGAGCTGAACCCGTTCGTCATGCCATTCTCGTGCTGGTGGTTGTTCTGCAAGCAACAAAAACTAGCCATAACTAACCGAAATTACCACCGATGCGCTTCGCATTTTACGTTTAATATAGCCGCAGGCATCGTCTAGCGATGTGCGTTCATCGAATTTCAATCCAAGCAAGCCGACCGGCGCAAATAAATAAAACGCGTGCCGGCGTGCTTGTATAACACGCGAGACGTGGGACTTAGTCTCTGACGCCATTTTGGGACTTAGAAAAATTTCGCTCGAACGGCGAGCGTCGGCGATACGAGTAAACCGAGCCACTAGACGCCTTTCGGCGTATTCTAAACCAGCCAAAAGCAGCAGCAGGTGAAAACAATATGAGATTGGTACATACCGACGGCGAGACAGGCTCAGACGCTGAATTATCGACGTCCATAGCGGCGTGCTCGGAACACAACACTTTGCCGTTTGCGGGCGCTGCGACGTCCGGCGACGAGCTTGAGCTCGCCGTCGACAAAGTACTGCTTTCGCGCAACTGCGCATGCGTGAGTGTGGCGGTCGCACATACAATCCACCAATGAGCGCGCGTGCTTTGAAAATGGCGCCGTGTTCGCTCCGGTTCGAATCACAGGCGAGCGCCACGCGCTCGGCTTCACTTGACGACTTTCTATGAACGGCGAATGTTGAACGAATACAACACGAGTGATGATCGCTAAATAAACCGAACGAATTTGATAATGGCGTCGACATTTTCGCACGGGACACATCTTCAACGCTTTCGAAACAACACGAATGTTTGCGTAAATGTCACTTGTTTATAAACCACGGCCCGCTGTATGTAATTCCGCCGAATCACAAAACAATATTTGTTTATCATCACATGATTTATTGATAATCAATAAAATCTAAGCTTAGTGTATTGTTTATCCTAGTAACACCCAACCAATAATCACATCGTACACGATTTTAGTTAAAATTTATCAACAGGTCAACAGGTTTTTGTGTTTTCTTTTTTTGTTTCGTGTGAATTGTTTGCGCTCGCTCTACATACCGCCGTGTGAGATAAATATTGAATTATTTCCTAATTTTTTTTTACACAGATCCTTCCAAGTTGTGAGTTAAATGCATCTCCGAGCCAAAATAATATGTACACTTACAAAGAGTGCTTCACTTACAATTAGTGTTGAATAAAAACTAAATAAAGCTGTAGCGTACGTCCGCGCACGTTTCAAGCGATGTCGTCGACGCTGAGTATCGAACGTTGAATCAACTTAATGCTTATATGCCGATTGCCAGCGGCGCCGCCGCCGCCGCCGGGCGCTGGAGGTACGACTGGCGGCGGCAGCGCGGGCACGTTTAGCTACCAAATGCGATTTTCTGTCTGCGGTGCACGCATCACGCCAACACCGCCGCCCAATCGACGGTAGTTCATTGCGCCGCATAATCGCCACTGATTCTGCTCCGTGTCGTACACTTCTATCGTTTTCAGGTATGCGGTGCCGTCGAAACCACCCACGGCAAACAATTGACCATTCACTACTGCCAAACCAACCTAAATACATAAAAATCATCAATAAAACATGCAAAAATCCGCAATTTTTATTTTTAAACTTACACCACTTCTGCGTGAAGTCATAGCCACAATCGGACTCCAAGTATTCGTATGCGGGTTAAACCTCTCCGCACTGCTGAGCTCCATACAATCATCCCGCCCGCCGACAGCGTAAATTAAATTATTAAAAACAGCGCAACCGAGATGTTTGCGCCGTGTTGACATAGGTGCCACTGGCGACCATTTATTGCACCGCGGATCAAAGCGCTCCACTGTATTCAACGGCGCTTGTCCATCGGAACCACCAATGGCGTATAAATATCCACCGAGGACAGCAACCGCTACACCAAGACGACGCGTCGTCATCGGCGCAACTTTACTCCATTTATTTTCTTTGGGGTCGTAACGCTCGACGTGATTCAAACACTGGACGCCATCTTGTCCGCCGACGGCGTATAACAAGTTGTCTAACACTGCAACGCCAACTGAAGTTCGACATGAAGTGGTTGGTGCTACATCACAGGACCATTGATCAGTTTGTGGATCATATCTATAAAAAAAACATTAAAATAAATATAAAATAATTAAATTTAAGTATCATTTAACAAACCTTTCGATGCTATTCAGATAACTTTGTCCATCATGCCCGCCTACAGCATATAACAAGTCGTTTAAGACAGCGACACCTACACCACAACGTCGTTTACTCATCGGCGCCACCATTTTCCATTCCATTGTCTGCGGATCAAATTTTTCCACCGAAGCAATCGCATCGCCACTACACCAACCCCCAACAGCGAATAAAACCTCTCCTCTTCTTGTAGGTTTCCGCGGTCGTGTCCTCGGTCCTTGCATCAACGGCCTCTCTTGCGGCAATAATAAATAATTCTTCGCCTCATCAACTAAATCCCTACAACTCTCATCTGAACGCACCAATAAATCCGACCCAACTGTACCGACCAGAAATTTAGGACTCAATAAAGGTAGCCGTACGTGTTGTAAGACTTGTGGAAGATGTTGACGGCGATCAGAGACATTATACTTCACCCAAGACATCACCGCATTGAAGACTTGTTCCTCAGTGCGCACATTTAATTCATCGCTGGAGATTATATCAACCAATTGTGAGACAGGCAGAAGTAGAAATTCCTCGCTTTCCATTACCTCTTGGAAGTTGTGTTGGGTGAATTTATCGGCGATGCGCAGCAATTCACGACATGAGTGCGTATCGGCAAATGCGCGTATGCCGAGACAATTGGACGGGTCCAGTTGGCGCTTGAGGAACTCGCAGCAAATGTCTTGTATCTCAGTAAGTTGGAGTAAACATGCGGCTGGTAATAGTGTTTGCACGTTGGATTCTTCAACGACGATGTGTGAAGTATAACAGAAGTCGATGAGGAGATCCATTGCCAATTCATCGATATCTCGGATGGTTACTTCGGTTTGACGAGATTCTGCTAATTCTCCAGTGAACATTGCCCTGGAAATTTTTTTTTTTTGTTAATTTTATGTTGAAATAAACATAAAAATTAATGTTTTACCTGAAATAAGGACTGCACGCAGAGAGAATGACCCTATGCGCGAATATTTTCCGACTTCCAACATTGAGAACCACATCACAAAGCTCTCTGTGTCTTCGCAGTAGGTTGAGTTCAGTGAGCGTGTTCTTCGGATGTTTGTCTGATGTGTGCGAGAGGCGCGCCGGCGACGGCGGCCGCTCGCCCACCTCAGCGCCCATCCTGCACGCCGGCACCCGCAGCCCGCTGGTGAATTGCAGCCTTAGGGGCGGCGAAGCCCAACCCCACACGTTGTCAATCTAAAAACAACGCGTCAATCAATCAGTCATTTTTCTTTGTTATTAGAAAAACAAAAGTTACCTTTACTGATTTTTGCAGTATGTGAGTATGAAATGTCTCGCGGGGAGTTGCTTTGCGCTAGTTTCAGGTGGAATGCTTAGTTGTCTTACATTTTGTGTTCAATACACAAATTCACGCGCAAATATTATCAACAATGTTGTGGTAGACGCGTGAAATTTGCGAACTAACCGCTGGAATGGTAGTTTACAGTTGTGATTTCATTGAATAATGCTTTTTGCAATAAACTAGATGCGAATTGTACGCAAGAATTGCTAAACTATGACGTCTGTTTGAGGTTTGACAGGCCTGACCTCCCAGGTACGTCAAAATTATAGACAAGTTTGGGGCGCAGAAGTCGACACTATAGGCAATCCAATATACACATTCTTTGTGTTTACGACTATGCAACGCCATTTTCTTATTTGTAAATATTTGTAAGAAAATAATCATTTTGCTAACAGCTGTTTTAGTTATATTCTTTACAAAAATCATCTTATAGCTTATATTACGACAATCATATCTTTCATTTGTTTTTTAAATCTTTTAAGAATCACAGCGATATTTTATGTAAATTATCTCACGAGCCGACCCTTTGTTACAAAAGGCAAAGCTCCCGGTTAGTTTCCTGCTTCGTAGCTTAAAATTAGATGACTAATTTTGATTTCTCATCTCATACAAACCCGGAGACAATATCTCAACAAACAAATCATCAATGTCCACTTAGAAATAATCCGTTAGTACAAAAAAAAAACGAAGAAAAAAAGGTTTAACGAAAGTTTTTGACTGTAAATCACATCATTTGATCAGAAATGTTCGCGTGCGCGAGGCTTATTTGCACTTCGACGTCGACATAATCTCGGTGAGCGTCAACTGTCGCGCTTTTTTAATATTATTCCTGCAAGAGATGCTGCTGCGCGTCGTGTAACGCTCCCTATTGAATTCTTCCTGAAGTTTTTTCGCCAGTTCCAAATCACTGCGCTCCTGCTCCAGTTTACTAAACTCGGTGATTTTTAATCCGTTGAGAATGCTTGCAGCGGGCAGAAGATGCGGCGGTGATGAATTGGAAGGCTTACGTTCACGCAACGTCATTGTATGCGGGATTTTCAACAGGGATGTTGATGATAAACACTCATCAACAGGTTTCCGTAGTACTTTATCGCTGAGTTTACGTTTACGCGACTGTGTGATAAAGCGGACGAACGCAGAACTTCCTTCGGAGAAGTTTATCGGTTGTGTCTTATTAGGCGGTCTGAAAATGATACAAATCAATATATTGAGCAATATATTGTGTGAGATACTTACTCGAACTTAAAACTATGATGCTTATTCATGGTGGCTGGTACTTTTAACGGCGTTCTGACGGTTGCTGGCAGCGGAATATCGCTATCAATAGGCTTGAAGTATCTGCATTCGTTTTCAATGGAATCATTGCTGTCGGAAATCTCGATCACCTCCGCGAAGTGCATCAGATTCTTTTGTTTTGTGCTCTTTTCAGGAATTGGACAAGCGCTGCTCGTGCTTGCGATTGATTGAGGTAATTCTGCGGCGGTGGGAAGTAGCTGAACGTCCGCACGCGTTGCATGCCTACTAGGAACGACGTTCAAGTGCTTCTGCATGTTCTGAATGAGTTTATCTAATGGACGTTTCCTGAGAGTATTGAGTGAATTATTCGGTTGGAGTGATGCGCGCTGTTGACGCGCATCTTCTTCCTTCAGTTTCTTGATGAGTTCAGCACTGGCGGCTTCCTCCTCGCGATGCTGCTTGGCGATTTGCTCGCGTTCGCGTTGTAGCTGCTCCTCGTACTCGCGCCGGATCTCACCCGCGTTCGTGAGCCGAATTTTCGGCGCTAGGAATAAATTTAGAAATGTAGTGCATGTGAATGGTATTGTAAACAATCATTTGTTTTGATTGTGCATGTGCTTGTGCAAGCTTGGTACCTTCGTCAAGGTGCTCCTCAACGCCAGCCTGACGATTGCGCACCTTTTCGCTGAACTTGCTCTGAATCTCCGTCCATAGTTTACCATTAACAAGGCGGTCTTCTTTCTTGGCGATGCGCAACCAGGAGGCGAAGCGTATTCGACACAGCGGACAGGTGAGGTTTGCGTTCGCCACTGTGCCCTCGAAACACGCGGTGCAGAAGTTGTGATTGCATGGCAACGTCACCGGCAGCACCAGGATGTATCTGCATATCGGGCACAGCGCGTCTGATAACGCCAGATTCTTGTATTCGTCGTTATTTACGAGTTTCGTCTGCTTCGTTCCCCGTTTGGGAGCCATCTTTGAAAGTGCCATGGAGCGCAGCGCGTAGGCAACTTTCAACACAAACCAGTTTCTTCTTCACAGCCAGATCATATACAACCGTGATACCAAACAAAGTGGATGTACATTTGAAAAACTCAAACATTTTTGCGTTTACAATAAGTGTAAATCTTTTATAATTGCTTGTTTTCCATTGTTTACGAAACATTAACAAGCATAACTTTAAAAAATGAAACAGTTTCGAATTCGAAATAAAACAATTAAATACTTACAAAATACATACAAAAATATACGATTTTAAATTCTATGAAAATACAAACAATTATATTTAACGTTACATGCTTAAATAATTAAACATAACGCAAGTAATTTTTAGCAAAACATAAATCATCTCATTTTCTGCTGCGATAACAATGTATAACTTTGTTTGCGCCAAACAAAGTAACATTGCGACGCACGCTCACAACTCAACGGCCATTTTGTCTTTTTTAGCGTCTTTGTATCATAAGTCAGTCGTCAGTCTTGGTAAGTTGCTTAAAGATTCAACTTTAAAAGCCGTAGAAAAACCGTGCGGGAAACTGTTCGACATTGTGCATATTGGAGGGCGACATGGTTGAACAAATTTGTCAAACATTAAGTAGTAATAATAAAAATAGAAAAATTCAAGAGTTGCAAACGATTCATGAGTATCCTGCCAATAGTGCGTGCAAACAATTCGCGCACAGTTATAACATCTAATAAAAGAATCTATCCGTTGATAAATATTACATAAACATAAACAAAAACGTTACTCCGCCAACAATAACTTTGCGATATGAGAAAAAAACAAATAAAACATAGTTTTGTTAATTCCGAACGGCAATCTTCTTCTGAATTAACAAATCACCAATCACCACATCTTGATTGGATGACTCGGTGTCAATCAGCTTGAGTACAAGCACTTTATCGCATGGATAAAGCTCGTCGTTTTCCAATGCGATGATTACCGACACGTACTCACGCTGTTGCACCAACTTCTCAAAATAGCGGCAATCATTAACCGACCATTTCTCTTGAATGGGTTTGATGCCTAGAACAAAACAAAAACAAATCAGATTTATGTGTGAATTTGATTTCTTCTGATTATTACCTGCTAGTTTTGCCTTGATTGCCTGATACGGCAGCTCCAAAAAGTGTTTATCCAACGAAAACAAATTCTGATAATTTAGATTTGCATAATAACCGAAATCGACATAGAAGACAACAATGGCGCTCGGGTAGATTGTCTTCAGTACGCAGACGCGACACCAGACGCCATCATCGCGTTTCGCAGCGTACATAGAACCGGCTTTAATATCTTTCAGATTAACCGCCTCCACGTGTCGATTAGCGAATGTCGCTTGTAATTTACTCATCATCTCAGCCAGTTGATTCGCTGTATCACGTGGTTGAATGAAAAAGTTCCACGGATTGACGGCGAACGGTACTTTTACCTCGAAATATTCTTTGGAATTCGGAAGATGCGGTGCTTGCAAAACGCCGGTAGATGGGACATTGTGCGGGGAGTCTGGTGGAGTAAAACGGCCATTTGGTGATAACGGTGAAATTGGTTCCCTGGAACAAAAATAATAATAATTAATCAATCATATTATTAATTTAGACTAATTTAAAATTAAAATACTTACTTTTTAAAGTTTTCAAAACTTAGACTGTCATTCACCGATACCAACCCGTTGACATTCGGCACAAACAGCATAACACTCGGAATTCCCTTCTCGTCCTTACTTTGCACCCGCAGTAAAAGACTGGCTTGTTGCGGCAACAATTCAGTCATCTTCGCTGCTAAATCACTTGGGATTCTCTTCATCTGCATGCGTACTAATGTCGCCTGTGGTGGAAACTTCGCCAATAGTGGATTCAATTTATCCAGAGGTAAAAGCGAAACATTGCTTAATTTAATCACTCGTGTTTTACCGTGATCCACGTATAATATCTGCGCGTATTTGAAGTCTTCCGGTGAATCTATGATCTTCACGCGGTTGTAACATGAATCATCTTCTAGTTTAGCGAAATAAAGCTTATCTTTACAGTTTTGACGTGTTATAGCCTCGTGGTGCGTGTGTTTGGATAAATATTTTGGCAGTTCAGACTCTTGTTCAGTCATCATGGTATTTAGGACGTTATAACCGGGTGAACGTACTTGTACGTAGAATAATCCATCTTTGGCAATGTGTGATACATGCACTTCAAATGATTTATCCTGAAAAATCAGAAAATAAAAATATTTTACTTGTTTTAATTGCATAATTCATTTATTAATTGATTAAAAACAGGTTTTTAGTGATTTTACTATTTTTATTATAAAATAGTTGCTGAAAGACGCCGCAGAGTTTAATAAAAATAGTAAAATCCCTAAAACCTTTTTTTAATTAATAAAATTTTATTATTTTCTTTTATTTCATTTTAATTTTCTTTCTAATTACTTACGATATCAAATGTATGTGTAGTATTCTCGATGGCAATCATCGCCATCAATTCCGTATTGAATTCGACGCCTGTTTCAATATCGTACATAACAACACTAACAATCTTCTTTGGGGTCTCCCCATTTTCAGTATCCTCGATGAGTTCCAGAGTAATTTCAGCGTCTTCTAATTCTATGATGGCGTCGGTAAATTGTGATGCCTCGTAGAGTTCATCCAGACCAGCGAGGCGACAAACAAAAGCCTGCGCTCGTTCGCGCGCATATTGACGATGCAGTGCATATATATTTTCGAACGGTATGAAGCAATCATCGCCGCGGTCGACCATCAAACACAGCAGGCCGTTTTCGCGTACTTCGAGAGCCTGCGCCCGATGCCAGGTCTTGTCCCAAGCGGCGTAGTAATGCCCTTTGACGCAGCGTTCAATAAGCATTCGGGCGTTCTGATTAAACATATCGTTGTAGTGTTTGTTCATTTGTTCACACATCGTGTCAAATGCGGTCTGAAACAAAAAAATATATTTAGATTTGAGTAAAATTTCATTTTTTATAAAAGCTGTTTAATATTTTGTAAGCTGATTATAAACTCAATTATTGTAGTAAAATCGCCGGAAAATATTTCGTGGCTACGTTGTATCATAATAATCTAATAAAAAATACTTACAGCTTCTTCTGTACAGATCTGCCTACACCAAACCTCACCAGCTGACACCGCACAAGTCACCCTCGCCGTCATGAACCCATTCTCATCGAAATTCGCCGAACTGGTTGGAATAGACACGTCGCACGCCAGCGCCGAATGCACCTTGCCTTTCTGTAACAACTAAAATAAACAAACGTCCCACATAAAAAGCCAATGTTAGTCCCCATCACCACAGTCAATCATCTACAAACAGTAAATACACACAAACAACAAGCAAAACACAACAACCAGCAGAATAAATATCGCATAAAAATAAAAAAGAACAATTCACACTTACGTCTTGTGGGTTGCATACTCGCAAAACAAATTTATCGCCAAACTGTTCAACGGTAATCATCGGACTAACATCAATAATTTCCAACCAGTTAGCAGGCAGTGCTTCATTGTACAAATCTTTGTAATCGGCTTCAACTTGCCAGCTCCAGACACCGTTGTAATGTTTACCTATAAGACTGGGGACACGTTCGATGATGGACGAATCCACCGTGATTGGAATCGACTGTTTTCGCGTTCGGCCATACTTTTTTAGGAGCTGTTCCAGCGCCAGTTTGGTAGAGTATTGAACCGCAGACTTTTCATCGTGGAATTCTTCAGGGTAACTTGAAAATGTCGATCCATCAACCTAAACCAACAACAAAATATTAAAATACATCATAATTACTTAAAAAAACATGAAAATTTGTTATTTAATCTTAATTACCTTAACTTTGCAGTAAAACTGCGGCCGTTTCTGTGATTTTGTCTTCGTCTGCACACAATTCACCTGCGGTTCTTCAATCCGACGAAACCTCGTGAAATTCCACAAATCCTTCGAGACATCACCACTCTCACAGAACTGATTCCTATCATCCGCATCACTGCCGCTAACTGAAGCCGCCGTGCTGCTTAGTCTCTCCCTCGCACGCTGCATCACCGCTGTAATATTAGTCTTCTCTTCCTTCGGAGCAGCAACTACTTCGGGTAATGGTAATAACGCCGCTGACGGCCTTTGATTCTCCTTATTCGCCGTCGGTTTGTTTTGCTCGGGAGAAATCTGCATTCTACTCATGTTACGCAGATTATTCTGAACATGCTGATTGGTCACGCCGGAATATTGATGATGTGTGGGTGCTTGCTGTTGATGTTGATATTGCGCTTGTGGTTGCTGCCATTTCCTGGGACTAGTGATAAACTGATTGTGCTGCGCGATACGCGGTGAATTGTTGGCATATTGCTGATGCTGACCGTTGGAGACGACATTCACCGGCCGCCATCGTTTCGGTTGTTGTGGATTCTTCGGTCGCAGAGGCGCGTTTTTCTTCTTTTTGGAGTCTTTTGTCGTGCAACCATTTCACCAATGTGTTTACTGCGTGGATCCGGAATGGCATCGACGAGGACTTGGCCATTTGGTTGTTTATCGAGCACGAGTGATGGATCGGAACGTAGAAAATCTTCGAGGGAGTTGTAGCCGAGTTTCTTGAAGGGAATTGGTGTGTTCATGAAAGTGTTGTAGTCTTTGGCCAATTGGCGGATGTCCAATGCGCCTTTCACAATCACCAGGCAACTGCGCACATTGCGGATGGTTTCCACACGTAGAGCGTCCATCGTGGTTGATACACTGGAGATAATAATACACTTTAAAAATGTTGTTGTGCACTTGGCAATGGACAAGTTTGAAATGAATCGCAAGATGTGTGGTTGCGTCTTAAGAAGGAAAAATAGCAGGTCATAAAACCCTAATGTTCTGATTTTCCAAAAAAAGGGCAAATGGGGTAATGGGAAAGTTCAAGTTTATGTTATTTATGGCACTAGCAAATATTTACAGGCTGAAGTTTCAAATTTCCAAAAATATTGTAGGTTTTTGGTTGTAATTTAAAATAAAACTAATCGTTACAATGTCATTTGGAACCACTTGAAAACTATCGATGCAAATGTAAATATGGTTCGATTCTTATCACTAAAATATGTAAAAATATCGAATATCTCTGTTTTGTGTTAAAACCAACCATATTCACACAAATAAAAACTCTTGAAGCGATATTAAGTTAACTTAAGTGTCAAGAAATAGAAAAACCAATAAAATACAAACACACAACAAGAGAAAAAGCCAAAAAAAGAAAAAAAAAACATGTTTGAAGTCAAGAGGGTTAAAAATTAAACCAGATTTTACAAACAACTTTTTGTTTTTGTTTCTCAATGGCCGCCTTAGATGACAATGACATTTTTCACTCAAATTACTAAATTAAATCAGAAAAAATTATAAATTTAACATGATTTTCCCCTGTAATTTATTTTATTACTTGGAATTTCCACCCCCCTGAACTTTGTCAACCTCCCATCGAGTTGCTCCACATTACTAAACGCATTCAAACGATATGAAAGTGCTGACCGTTTTGACCCTTTCTAGAACAATCCGACAAAAGCAGGCAAACATGAATGCCAATTAAAGTTATCCTCACTGGCGCAATGAATTCAATTATAAGCATCTACAATAAACCGCCTGAATGCCCTGCCTGGCCGATTATGATATGATTGTTCCGTTTATGATGAAAATTGCACTAAAAATTGCATTGATAATATCACTATGCACCGTAGGATTGCACAACATGCACTTTTCGACAGCTAAGCAACCGCTGGTTGTGTGTTGATTGCGTTCAATTGCGGCCTGTCCCAAATACATCGCGCGAATATTTCGTACAAATACAAAGGATAGAATGCAAATCGAATGGATACTTACAGCCACGAGGCGTTACGCTCCTCTAGGAGGCGATCCGGCACTGCACACACGCCGGACGACGCACAATCAGCGATTTACTGCGCAAACCATCCGCCTGCTTATCTTAAAAATCTAAAGCGTCAGACGCGACACACGGAACCGCTGCCGCGTACTGACACCAGACACACACGCCTCGGCTTTGGAATGTATGTTTTCGGATAGCGGATTACTGCTGTGGATAACAGCAGAGTGACGAACAGTGCGAACAGGTTGGTGAGGTTGGTTTTTGCCTTCTGCTGCTACACTACGACGGTTTAACCGGTATTATCGGTTATTTACCGCCTTTACTAAAAAACAGCGTGAAAATTTACTTTATCTAAACAGGAAATACCATGTTGACTTGAATTTCTGATGATATTTCACGTTTTATAACTAAAACTTTACACTTTATAAGACAATTCCTGTTAACTTTTAATAAAACTTTAAATTATGCGCCATTTTGTTACGTGTGTTGCCTGTAAAAAACAGAACAGAAGCAGATCCGATTATTCCCGATTATAAAACATCGTATGTCGGCCATTTCCGCTCACTGCTACTCCTGCTGGAAACATCTGTCATCCTCACGGAGTCCGCTGGTTGGCTGATACGTCAGTTGGTGTTTGGCATCTGCTTGTGCTGCTCTTGGGGACGTCAGGGCGACATCATCGATCTATAACATGGTAAATACTCCAAATGAACAACCAAATCACCCGCAATTGTTTTCCATCTACGTCTGAGTGACATCTATCGTAACTAACAAAATGCGCCGTTTGTTTCATAGTCTTTCTCCGAGAAAATCGCGCAGATCATGGCCCGGCCGGGGCAGGATCCGAACGCCAAAGACGATGTGCCATGGTGGATGCGCTACGCAGGCCGGGGTCTCGGCACAGCCGGCAGCTTCCGTAAGTTAAAAAATATAAAAATTTAATGATTATATACTTATTATGTGTATAATATTCCAGTTGCAATTTTCCTGGGTTTCTGGAACTGTCTGGGCATCATCACCATCGACATGGGCTGCGTCATCAGCGGCATGTGGCAGATCCTCGCCGGCTTCATCGTCGTGTGCTGCGAGGCGCCGTGCTGCTGCATGTTCATTGATCACGTCCAGCGGTTGAGTGAAAAGGTTGAGGCCAGACCATATTGGAACAAAGCAGCTGCATATGTTGGGTATGCAAATATTCACCACAATAAAACCATCCTAATCCTTAAAAAATTTAAATATTATATTAATTTAGCTTGGCTATACCGGCGATTATCCTCTGCCCGGGCCTGGCGAGCATTTTCGGCAGTGGAATGATCTTTGGCACTGGAGTTATATACGGCATGATGTCCCTAGGCAAAAAGTAAGTTTTATTTTTATTTATGGGGAACTGATTGAAAACTTACATTTAATGTATTACTCAACTAATATCATTGTAAATGTCAGCGCTAACGTGTGCGTGTTGTTTTCGTCATGTGTGTGTAACTAATTGAATGTTGGTGATCAGAGGGTCTAGGGAAGACATGGCCGCGATGGCCTCGCCGCAGATGGCGACGTCGCCAACTGGCATGGGTGGCGGTATGGGTGCTGCTTCCGACCACCACACGACGCTCATGGAGGACCCGGACGTCTGGCGTCCGACATAAACGCCCACTCATTAACCACAAACTCACATAACTCACCAACAAGTATAATCATTATCTGCTGTTGTCGATTTTTCAGTTTCTTTTTAGTGCCTGTGTTGTAGCAACGTATTTTATTTATATTTCTATATAATAACAATTGTAGACGTAGCACATTCATTTATTTGCTAATAATTATCTCCACTTGCATTTTATGAACAAGAAAATAATTTTAAAATATAAATTTTTAGGGCGTCTGCGGAGGAAATGCGTTCGGCGGCGATGGCCAGCGATCAAGCGGGTGTCACCCGCCCGCCCAACTCGTCGATGCACTCCAACCTGGTGGCAAATGCGCAGCCGATGGGTTTCACTGGCGCGCCCGTCTTCGATAGCAACGTGTGAATCAACTCCACTCCGAAAATTCGCGGTTTTCCCATCGAAAAGTACTTCCAATTCACACAGCAGACACGAACACAAAACACGTACATACCCTTTCGGTGGTGAAACCGACGAGGCGGGAGTTTTAAAAAGCGTATAAAAAACAAAAACATTAGCAACTAAACACGAGTCAAGTGTGCGAGGGAAAGGTGCGCGAGCGAAACTCAAATAATCTACATAAGAGTAACTAATTATGAATTAATTCATTCAACTGGAAGACACAAATGTTTAGCTTCCCAAATAGCTATATGTCTAGATTAATATTTCTTCCGTTGATTTTTAAACCATGTTGTCCATGTATATTGATTAATTGATGATTGTAACTTATTATCATTTCTCTTGTGATTTTAAGACGTTTTAAGACTGTTTTATTATCGTATACATATTGTATTATACTAAGTCGTGGTGTTGAGGTCTCCGCAGGCAGCCGAGTTAGGTGTTAAGAGCAGGAAACAAATAGGAACAATCCTCGCGATTCGAGGATAGCATATATTAATTAATCATTTTTTTCCGGTGAAACCAAATCCGATTGGAAAGCAGCGCAGCGCGATCGATGAAATAAAAGCTAATCGAGTTAGGGGCAGTCACGCAAATGTCACAAGAATCAACTTGTTGGGAACCAATTGCTTGGAACACTGCCATCAGATACTGATTGGACGATAATTACATTTCAGCTCATTGAGAGATTATATAGTAAGATGGAAGGAAAGAAGTCAATGCATTACTAAAACATTTTATCTAAGGTATAATAAAACTAAGTAAAAACGCAGTAAGCTACGTATCGAGTATGAAAAACAAGGCGAGATAAGAGATAATACATTCCTTGAAAATGAGATGAGATTAATGGCGGTTGCATTTGTTGTAAGTGACATGCGCAATGCCGCACATATCAGCAATATTTACGCATCTGAGAAAATAAATGATAAATTCGTAGACGGAACACAAATATAGATGAAAATCATTCAGAAACAGAAAAAAAAAATAACACACACGATTTGTTTTAGTGTAACATGTCTAACAACAAAGTGTAAAATGTAAATGTACTAAATTAAGATGATGATGATTATGAGGATAATGATGGTTAGTCTTTGATGTGTATTATATAAGCATATGTTATGCCTAAATTATAAAAAATGAGAAACCAATTGTACCATAGTTAACGTGGTGTAAATATCAGTTGAAACCAATGATTTAGCTACAAATACTACAAGTATAACAACAAATAAAACAGTGTAGTGGTTTATAGTTGTAGCCGATGACACACACTTGGTATATATTTGACTCTTTGTAGATTCAACGTGTATGTGTGTATTCAATTTCGAAAAAAAATAAGCCAATATTGTTTCTGGCAACTGGCATCAAGTAAATAAATGTAAATTATTAATGTACCTAATGCAACAAACAATCTGTGGACTCTGTTTGTTAAAATTTCCCGTTTTTTTTTGTTTGTTTTGCGCATGTCAAACATTAATAATCAAACAACGTTGAAATTACATGTCAAAATTGTTTCGTTATAAATATTTTATAATTTTTTGATGTTTAAAGAAATTATTTGTTAAAATGAGTGAATTAAATTCAATTTTTCGGCCGCACACCTCCGATACTGTGCAGAAAGACTCACAGTTTAATGCACATGCGAATTTAATGTCTGCCTACGCATGCGCGTTGAAAGAAAAGGTCCAATTGGAGAAGCAAATTACAATTTTGAAGTTTACCAACTCTGATTTAGAATCGCGATTGAAAGAAGCTGAAGAAGACATGAAGCAATTAAAGAATAAACTACATCTTAATGAAGAGATGGTGACAACTTTAAAGAGACAAATTGAAGAGAACAAGCAGAGTTTGGTTAATGAACAAGAGGTTTATAAGAATTTCAGTGAGCAGCGCGAGGCGATGATCGCCGATTTACGTTCGGATATTAAAATACTAAGAAAACGGTTGTGTGGAACTACAGCGGATTTAAAAAAGTCAGAAAAACGCACCGAGATGTACAGAGAAAGATGTTTGGATTACAAAGACAAGTTGAGAGGCTTCGCCATTTTGTTTACATATTTCAATGACCCGCAAAGAGAAAAAAGTGAAGCAAGCGATGAATTGATCAGTGCTTCAAACTGTACGAGTTCCACGGGTGATCAAGACGTGCAGTCAAATTATAATGATGAAATTCTAGATGTTTTTAGGCGGTAATCGCGTCGCATTTGGCTTTATTACTTTTATTAATTGTACAATAGTACAATTTACGTAAAAACGTTTCAAAATTCTGTAAATATCTTCGTTATTCGTTGTTTTATCCCCAAAAAAACATAAAAATCCCAATATATTTTGAAGATCAACAATTTCACAATGTTAAATTCGTGTTAATGTACGAAAAATTCGCGATATTAAACCATCACCTCCCTCTAAACAAGTCTTCACAAAATAAATAATAAATTACTTACACAATCTTATACATAAATCGTGATTTGTTTATATCAAACCTCAGGTCTAAGTGCAAACATATACACAGTGTACAGATCTTTGGGAAAATGCATCTGCTTCTGTTTCTTGAAGCATTTCAGGCCAGCCTGCTTGAAAATATCCATAAAATGTGAATAGGATCTTGTAATTGATGAATCTGTGGAGTCCATTTCTATATTTGCAGAAGATGACATGTTTTCTTTCACTACTAAGAAGCCTTTTTCTGTTAGTGAAGCTCTGATGCAAAATAAATCAAAATTTGAAGAAAATTTATTCTTAAAAATTAAAAAAAGTATCTTACTTGCATCTGTTGAAAAATTTAACCAAATCTTCATCGATCAAGTGTCCTAGCACCCACTGACACCAAATAACATCATATTTATGCTCTGGTTGAAAATCCTGTAGGCCTACAGCATAATATTCACCTATTCGCTCTGTATGATTCACCAATTCAACTTTAGCTTCCTTTAAAAACTCTGCATTCTGCTCCACCAAATCCACCTTTTGAAAGAAAGATGTAAGGAGGCATCTGGTGATGCGACCTATACCTGCACCGCAATCAAGGGCGCGATCCTTGGTCAACTGCTTGTCTGTTGTGTATATTTGGTGTAGAAAATTTCTAGAACCTTGGATGTCGATCTGGGAAATGTGGCCGTAACCGCCGAGGACGGTGTTCTCAGTTGGAGGCAGGTGCGACCAGTAATCTTTGGCATTTTTGTAGAAATCTTCGTTGGATTCAGTGTTTTCCGTGGATATTTCGTTCGTTTCTACAGTCTCTTCTGGAAACATGATGGATAACCTCAAAATGTAACTGTTTTTAAATTCAGGGGAATGTGACACAAGTTACCAAGGATTCAAAATTGTAAAATTTCTATGGTTTTAGGGGATGAATAGTATAAAAAAACTTGTAAAAGCGTTTTTGAACAGCTAAATAACAAAAGAAACTTGATATTACTCTATTTTAGAGCAGATTCAAAGTGTTTTTGGTTAAAGTTTTTAAAAATATGACAATTTCTGAGGTTTTTTTTTACAGATTTGAAAGGTTTCCCTGATCAGTAGACACCAACACGAAACTCCACAAGCAAATTTAATGCTTGATATCACTTCTATTTGAATAATCATAATGCTTAACATACAAATCAATAAATATTCTCTCATTTTTTACAAAGTTCTTAATATTCTCGGACGTCCTGGCTGCAACACACAACCACATTACAAATAAAGAATTGTAGTAAAATAATGGAGCAATAACAAAAATAAATTAAATTCTTTCCCCTGTCTCCCTCCCTTTCTCTATCTCATATTCTCATTATGATTATGTTAAATTAAATTAAATCTAGTAATTATCGCATATATGTTCGTGTTTCTTTCATTGTATCACGTTCAATATATATTGTTGCAATGTCTTTTTTTTCATCAAAATCACAAAATACCATTCTATATAATAGTTTCGCGTTTGTATCATCGCTAAGAAGCCATCTAAGCCATAAAATATTCGTTGACATCTGCTACGGTTGTCGATAATAATTACTCTCTGCTCTGTTTTTATTTAGTAAGTAGAATACTACGCTTTTTCATGTGTGTTTTTCTTCTTTATACACAGCTTAAAAGTTAAAACTTACAAATTGTTCCAATGTTTCGTTTGGTTTGCTTCGAAAATATGTATGTATGTGTATGGTTGGTTGTATATACCTATTCTTAGAGTATAAGTATGGCTTATAATATTCCATTTGCTTACTTTGTTCCAATTTGTATCAAAAATTAGGCCTGTTATCGTTATTATATTCATTATATATTCATTCGTGTGTGTGTTTAATACCTCTTTTGTTTAGTGTCGGTGTATTTGTTCCTTTCTTTTCATTAGATTATTGTGTGGAATGTTTGCGCTTTGCTCGGAAAACGCGACGCACCAAAAGTTACAATTCGCGTCGCTTCTCCTCAAAATATTTACAAGATACATTGTATAATATCAAACAAAACCAGCGGAGCGCGTGACGCAAAACTCGAAAAAATTGTCATCGTTCACTCGTCGCTTCAAATTTTGTTTGTGGGTTTTTTGGTGGTTGGTCCTCTATGTGTTTAAAACTCTATATAAATATATAGTGGCGCAGGAAGACGTAAAAATGAAGAATCATACGCCATTAGACCATGGGGTAGTACAATGCCAGCGTGACCACTAGCAGTGTAGCGATGAGAAAACCAGACGCATCAAAGTCGTTGTTTAGGGGATGCTAGGTGTTGCCATCTTGATTTGTAGATGCCGTCGTGCTAGAGGAGCAATTCCAGGAGGACCGTTTTTGTATTCCACTGGTTGACGCTTCTTCTTTCTAAAAAATAAGAAATGTATGCAACCAACCTTACAATATATAATATTTTGTTACTTTTATATCATCAACGGTGCCGGCAGTGTGATAACGTCGGTTATCACTACGATGTGCACGCTTCATTGCTTGTCGATGATGACCGCGGCTGAAATCGCCAAAATCCTTCCCGTCCTCAGGACTAACACCTGAAAAATCATTAAATAACAACGTTTTCTTTCACTAAAAATCATTTTTGAAGTTTTTACAAGTTTTGAGCTTGTAATTGCTTCAAAAATGTCTAAAAAAGTAACAAATAACGAGATAATAATGCGAATGAATGTAATATTGATCAGCTAAACAAAAGGCGTGTGGGGTGTCCATCGCTAATTAGCATTCTAATCAAATATCGCAAGATAATCCACAAAGTCACAAAAAAGATCAAGAAGAAAGAAAGTTTCAAAAATAGCAGTGTTTCAGTGTTTGCGGATTAATTAATTAAAAAAGAGAGATTTAATTAGGGGAAACAAAAGCGGTGCTCACCGAGAGTCATTCATTTTTGTGAAGTTAGGCACTGATTGTGTTCTGTTTTGTTCATTTTTTACTTTTTTTTCGTTTGTCATTGTTGGTTGCGAAAGAGACAAAAGTGATGTTTGTGCATTTTCGTACGATTGCGTTTTCATTTTTGTTTTGCTTACTCTTTGAGTTTAAGGTTTTGTTAGTGTTTGTTTGCGTTACAAAGAGAGTTTGAGAGTTGCAGTTACGTCGCCTCACTGTTTTCTTCTTCTAAGAGAGCGGAATGAGATCAGAGACGAGACGAGAGACCGAAACAAAGCAATGAGTAAATATCATGATATCACTTTCAACACATCCAAGACGCCATCTTACGCTACACATAAATAACACCAGATGGCGTCTTTATACAATTTTACTAATGTATTACTGGTTGTTTAAGATCTTACCTGCTATCACTGGTACATCAAATTCACCCCCTGTTGTCGTGCTAGCACAAGCGGAAGTCACGTGACGTGTTTTAATCAATGGCGGATTTTTACTTTGGTTGATCGCCATTCCCCGCCTTAGATTCCCTCGTGTCGGCGATGGCGGCGGATAAGATATACCACGATGCGTCGGACTTAACAAATGCCCATTCTTGCTGGTGCTTGGTACGGAGAGGGTGTTATTGCTTAAAGTGTTGGGCGAGCCCAGCGCCAGATTGGGCAGCGATTGACCCAAGTGGTGAGCGTAGGTGGGTTGCACCGATAGAGTATTCGGAGTTTTGGTAAAAATTCGATGGCCTTTAAAAGAATTCTTTGCGCTGGTGCCACCCGAAGGTGATTTTTGATCCGCCGGTAATGGTTGCACACCTTCATCGCTAGATATCGACGCGGTGCGGTTTTCGTTTTCGACAGACACAGCTTTACATGATCCCAACGAGGATTGGTCATTCATTTCTACCGACCCGCTGTGACTATGCGCAAGAGATGATACTCTTGACGCACGGCTTGATGAAGCAAGCGGGGAGCGTGGTGCTTGCAGGCAGAAATGGTAATCATTTTCAGGGACATATTCAAAACTATAATCAGTTTCGACGCTTTCAGCTGGTTCAGTGGAAGGCATGAAACTGATTTTGGCTTGGGAGTAGAGCGTTTGCGCTTTGCAGATACCCTCCTTCCAACTTTTGAGTTTCTTCGCGTCGCTGTTTTGCAGAAGAAAAGCGCCGATGGCCATGTCAAGTTCGTTTTTATACACGCACGCAAGCGTAGGAGTTTCTTTGTTTATCTCCGTCACAACTAATTTATCGATGAGGTAGGGCATGCGGATTACACGCATTGTAGCGCCACCTTTCTTCGTTGATTGTTTACAGACCAATAGCATGTCCGTAAGAAGAAAACAATGAACTTCCATCTTAAAATAAAATATAAGAATAAAACATCATTAGCGACATCTAGCGGATGTTTTTAAAAGTTTACCTTTGACGTATTGCTATCTTTAAACTTCAAATCGCCTTCTAACAATAAATGTCGTCTTCGTTCTAATGGACAACCAAGCATTGGTTTGGTAAGATCAAGTTGGTTGTAGTTTTTCACTAGTTTTTCCAAATCATCATCTTTTGTTTCCTGAACAAGAAAAAATTAAAATTTTTAGGTTATATTACAGTTTTTAAGTGTTTATCACTTACCACAATATCATAACTTTCAATCCTTGCAATAATACCCTTAAGCCTCTCATTATCCTGCTTCTGCTTCAAACTAAAGTTCACATTATTGACAAAATCATCAACAGATCGAATCTGCAACAAAACCAAAACCACACTTATCCCTTGTCACACTCCCACAAACATAACCAATAAATACTAACCATAATGTTTAAGTTATCCCTGTCAATATCATCATCGGTATTCCTCAAGATAGCTTTCAGCAGTAACCCATACTTGGTGAGCCTCTGCATTGGCTGAACCAGGATATCCATTAGTCTCAGTCGATTGCACTCCTTCTGCGTCTCGCACCACGCCAGATACGCAGTGAACAATTCATTATGCGACAAGTTCTCGCGACAATAGTGTTGACACCGCGACTGTTCGCCGCAGAAGCGATAGTAAGCATGGAAGCAGTCCTTCAGTTTGAGGAAACCATCGCACATTGTTTCCAAACATGGCGGTTTCCGATGCGCGCGCATATCTTTCACCAGCGGGAAGAGGTAATTGCGCCAGAATTGGACGTTTGCGTCGAGGATATCGCTGATGTTGGAGAAAAGTTTGTTGGTGTCGATGTCGCGGAGGATATTCGACGCTTGCAGGTTGATGAGGCACGCGAGAAACAAGTCGGTGACCACTTTGAGGGTTTTGATGTAAGCTACTTCGGTTTTTATTAACTCCCAGAGTGCTATTTGTTGTTTTTGTTGCTTATCAGTTAATTCTATGGATAAAAATTTATATTAATGTTGAATGATTGAATTTTTAGGGAGTTTTACCGGTGATTTCGATTATTTCACGCCAATCGTCCTCGAGTTTATTGAGTGCTTCGTGTGAATCAGATCGAGAGAGGGTGTAGTTCTGCGCGCGTGGTACGCCGTAGCGGGAATAGTGGTTGAGATGTTCGATGAGCTGCTCCATCGATTGCTTGCCCTCCTTGCTGTTGCCAAAGAGGTTGGTCGACCACCGCTGTTTGCTCACCTTTTTATTCCCGTCGTAATCGCCGGTGCTGCATTCTTCAGTGCTGGAGCTGAAGAAACTCGTCGTGCGCGGCCGGAAATTCTATTTATAAATAAAATAACATATAGGTAAAAACTTATATAAATCGATATATAGGTAAATATAATTTATATTTACGCCTGATAGTTTTCGCGAATGCGAAAAATAATGCGTCTCCTTGGCTTGCTGAGGATGTTGCAGTGATAATTGGGGTTGAAATTGGCCGGCGTGCGATAGATGCTTGCCGCTGGTGCGGCCATCTTTGGCGGTGACCTTAACGTGTTTACCGACCAGACAGGCGGTATCCTGTGAGAGGGAGAGCCAGGATTGCACGTTGGACTCGCGATCACATAGCCATACGTCGCATGTGGATAATTCAATATTTCGCAGTTCACAAAGTTTTGTTAAAGATTCACTGCAAAGAAAAAAAAATGAATTTTAATTTATTTTTTATGAAATTAATGGAAACACTCAGTATATATTCATTAATTTTCATTTTATATCGTTTTGCGTTACTTATATAATGAATTTATGGAAATAATGAATTTTTAAGTTGAAAATGCGGATTATATGAAATATGGAAGTAGATTAAGTATCTAGTGTGCTAAGTGGCACTTTAACAACGTTTAGCAATATGATGCTTATGATATTTTATCTATTTTCACATTATTTCCACTTTAGTTTTTGTATTTGAATTTTTTATGCACAGGCGCAAACTCCACCCCGTGACTAAAGTACTTTAGTCACAGTTTTTCCTGTTCGTGATTAAAATATCACTTTTTGTGCTTCGAAACCGTGAAAAAAGTAAAAAAATAAATAACACAACACTTAATAAACAATAAAATATCAAATTATTATAATTCTGTGCACTCTCAGTAAATGATAACTGCTGTGACGTGATGAAATATGACCTAAGTTAGCCGCAGTTGTCAAGGCCGAAAATTGCTAATTTTCTGGCGGCGCGAAGGACGCCCGACGCGCGCGCGACGTAAGACATTTGCTTTTAACTAAAAGGTTAATAAATCAATCCGAATGGAAAGCTCGGAAGGACGTGCCCGGCAGACGAGCGGCGAAATTAAGGCCGGGCGTAACGCGCATCGAATGTAACTACGTCTGTACGTGTGTCTTTTTCATTGCCTAACGATGCCCCGGCATTCGAGGGTTTAAACTTGCGCTTTGTCGATGGGGCAAAACGCGAGAGAGGATTAAGATCCGCATGCCAGCATCCCGACATTCAATGCGTATATTTAAATGTTGTCCTTTCAGTAACAAGCATTTTCTTGACTGGAAGCTTTTTTGAAAACTCGTTCGGAGCTTTCTGCTTGTTTTTGCATCAAAAACGAAAAGAATGAAGAGAAGAAACAAAAAAGAAGACGAAGGGTATTGACGGCAATTCAATGATGTTTGTGCGATACGCGCTTGAAGCTTCGCGATTGCTTCCTATTTACTCGTCCTTTCAGAGCGCAGAGCGCTGTCGACGTGATGAATTGGGACATTCACGTTCGACGGTGTGTAGTTCACCTTTTGCGGTTTTCCTGGTGATTTTTTTATATTATTTTTATTTGTAGAAAGATGCACTTTAAAGTGTACCAAAAATACTCCTGTAAATTAATTTTTGCTCTTTTAATATTTAATTAAATTTTTGTACTCGTATATTGTGAAGGTGTAAAAGAAGCTTGTCACGCTCGTCACGTCTTGGTTTCTTCGCGAAAGAGTGATGGCGCCGAAGGACACAAAGTACCCTCATAAATAGTCCTTTTCGCCTTGTAAATTAAGTGGTTCTCGATGCCTTGATACTATCAAGTTAATTGCGATCGAAGAGGACGCGCCGGCGTGAATAATACAAATCCTCTTGATGGACGACTTTTCGTACGCTGGCAAAGCGTCATTTCTTTTACCAATTTTCGATTTATTTCAATCGTCAATTGAGCTTCCAAGCACGTTTTCAAACAAATAAAAGAGGGAAAATGCTAGTGTTTAAACTGTATATAAAACAAAGTTGTTAGTTACATCTTTTATAACTCAAGAACGGCTGGACCGATTTTAATTATCTATGATTTTCCTGACTTGTCTTGACTTAGAATAGAAGAATAATTATTAAAATATTAAAAATTGTGTAGTTAAGGGTGTTAAATAAGGGCTGAAAGTTGGTATAGAGCTTAAATTGCAGTTAGAGTTGAATAATTGAATTCCAGATGGCGCTAAAGTGCATTATTAGTATTTTTTTTAACTGGAAAATCTTTTTGATGAAATCAACATATACAGGGTGTTTTAATTAAATTTTAACTAAAAATTATGAAGAAATCACAGCAAAAAGCTAGTTTAACCTATTTTTTTCTTTCCTAAACTAAACTAAAATGACAATGACATATATTTCCTCCCCAAAGACATTTTCCCCAATTTCCTGTGATTATTAATAGCTGAGTTATAGACTTTGTAACTTACTGCAATGTGACACCTCTGGCAGCAGGAAAAAACAACTCCGTATCGTACGTAGACTCATCGCCGACCTCAAAATTGACACTGAAGCATTCACTGCTTGATTTCTACCAAAAACAACAACAATAAATCAATATTAATCAATATAAACTCTTAATTAAATATACCTGCGATCGACTCAACATATGCCGTCGATACGTAGGAGATGGCGACGCAGTCGGCGGTGAAACACTCGCCGGCACTTGTTCAGGAGGTGCCAGTAAAGGTCTTGTAGTAACAGCAGCACAATCCGACTCAGACTTTGCGTCCTTCAAATGCCCTTGAGCCTCTGGGCTAGGACTACAACTGGGGGCGGCGGTGGCGGCCATTGTACTCGCCGGCGGTGCGCTACCCTGACGCATTTCCAACGTGTCCAAGTGGTTTAAACTTCGTGAACGCACCTGAAACAATAAAAAAAAATTAAAATAAAAAACGAAAAGAAATGAAAATTTAAAACAAATTACGATAAAATTACTTGTGTAAACAGGGTGTGGCATTGGTATTGAAATATCACAGTAGGATATCAGCAGGAAGTTTAATATCGTAATGAATTCTTGTTATACTACTTAAATATACCGAGAGATAAAAAAAATCGTAAAAAAGTAAAAAATGAATTTTTCTTAATAAAATTGTAGTAAATTTTGTGTTACACCCTGTATAAATAATTCTTATTTGTACTCCGCGCCTTTATTTTACAAGACAATGGACGACATGCCTACAGGATAACGCCGGGACGCGTGTAAGTTAATAAAGTCTCGTTGGCGTCGCCAGCGTCGTGCGATAAATGTCCTCGCCTCCACCATGCGTGTTTTTTTTAACTAAACAATACAATTTACGCACACACACACACAAACGCACAAAGATGGTGTTTAAATAGTAATAAGTCTTGTTTATTGCTTGTTAGCTTGCCGAAACCCCTGCGCAAATAACACCCCGCCGCCTAGTGGCGAAATAATGAAGCAATAAATAACAGAGGCACAGACGCCATGTTGGAATTTGTTTTTCTTTTGCTTACAAGAATAAAACGTTTCTTTACCTGTTTTGTTGCGAATTTAGTGCGGAAGCATTTTATTCCGCGCAATAAAAAGTTTAAACAGACGACAAAACGTGTAAAGGCGTGTAAAAGGATGTAGTAATATCATACTGGCGAGGATTGCAGGCAATTGTAGCTGGGAAATTTAGTAGTTTGCCTGCGAGCGCAGAAATTTAATTTGCTCAAGCGCGTTCGAGTCAAACGTGCTGACTTTATATCAAATAATATTCCGACAGCGTGCACAATGTGCGAAATTTTCATGGAATAAGGTGGAAAATGCTGGTACAATAATATAGAATCAAAATTTACTCAATAGATGGCAGCATTTACACGAAAAAATGAAAAGAAATTTTTTACGTTTTTTTTTATAATAAAAAACTTATTTTCTGTTTCTGTGAATATGAATAATAAGAAAAATAAGAAAAAAAGTATTTTTGTGTGTAAATATGCTGGTTTTATGCATGTTTTCGGTAACAACTGTAATGTTCGTTGCGGGGTTGTTTTATGGCTTCGCATTTCAGCGCCTGGTATTGCCAGTTGCTTAGTGCTTAAAGCGTTTATTCGTATTAATTCCGTCGGAGTTATTGCGGAATTAATGTGCGGAATGCGCTCGCAGCCGCCGCCAGCCGCCACCGCCGCACAACACCCAACTAGACATTCGAAACGTACGACGCACATCTAAACCAACGCCATTGTGTACTTTCGGTGACGGCGGGGTGGGCGAGAGTTGTGCGATGTGATGAATCCGGCATCGCAAGTCGCCGACGAAATTAAACGAGACGATGCGCATTGGGAAGAAGTTGCGCGTTGAGTGAAACATTTGCGGGTGTTAATTCATGTGTTTTAATTAGTATCTACCTGTGTTAATCGTTCATTAAGTAATTTAAGTAATAAAAATGTTGTTAATTTGAGAAGGAAAACAAAAAACAAAATTTTGAGATTTTAATTTTTTAATTTTTTTGTTAAACTGGTTATATACTAATTATTTTAGTAAAAATGCCGGTAAATATTTCCTGAAGTAAAATATGAATTCCGCGTCGCTCAGTTGTATTCACTTGAGTTATGGTTAAATGATTTTGTAGTAACGCAACGTGCACCCTTACAAATTAGCTGAAAAATCGTGCTTAAGTTATAGAAATTTGCATTGCAATTTGTATGTATGTTGGGTTGCATAATTACAACAATATTTCAAATGTTACCGTCGATGTCATGTCTTTGAAAAAATATTTTAGCTCATAATTACTAGAAATTAAAATATTTTTCGTCGTTACACAGAGAAAATTAATAAAAACCAACAAAATTACACAAATTTTTACGTTATACGAAGTTTTTCGTTAAATATTCAGCAGCATTAAACCAAGAAAACATAAATATATACAATTTATGTCATAAATTCGAAGAAATGCGTCCTGAAATCGTAAATACTAAATATTTACATCGCAATGAATGAATACGTCTTCTGTGATTAATGATTCAACTTCACACAAGTTGTGTTAAAGGGTGTCAACGCAACTATAAAATAATTACACGTTAAGAAAGTGATAAATTGAGTTTTCTTCACATTTATGTCGTTTCTGAATTTATTTTCTCGCGTATCTAAAGTAGTTACACACATATACCCATACACATCAGCAACTATTACGATACGATAAGAGCTTAATGTTTCTTATCAATTTGAAACTTTAGACGCGGCACGTTGCCCTTTCGGAGGCGGCGAATGAGGCGGCGACAAACGCGCCGCGTCTCATAAGCGACGCTCAATTAAATGTAATTGAATTGTCAATAATATCAGACAACTGGAAGATTGAATCAGGCAATCAACGGCGACGTGCACGGCGCAGTCCTTCGTTAGTGACTAACTAACATGACGTTGCTATATTATACAAAGTGCGCAATTAACTCATAAATGTTTAAAATTAAAAAATTGATTTTTTGTTGAATTTATAACCAAATTGTGTAAATTGACAAATTTGTGTATTTTAAAATTAAAAAGAGAAATAAACAAAATTGTCCCATTTGATTACGACCACGACCACAATCCTTGTGATTAAATTAGACCGGAAATCTGGATCTAGGAAATCTCACTGAATTGGAGATGATTCGATTGTGACGATGCCTGCGCAAGCATACAGCCAACTTGGAAATGTATATACGCCGGGAAAACTTGAGGTTTTCCACTTGCGCGATTAGTTTCGAGGAGTCCCGCATCCGCAATCCGGTCGCGTATCGCCTCGAGTTTGACTTTCGACCCTCGATACTTAGTTTGACTTTCCACTAAACTAAAACTATTGTATTAACTATCCATCCGGGCACAGGAGGGGTGAAAAGTCACAGGACACAAATCACAATTGTCAAAATTAAATCAAAACAGTTTTTTTCTACTTTTTCCATGGTTTAGTGACAGGAAAAGTGAAAATTTAATCATAGGTGGCTAAAATCGTGACTAAAGTACTTTAGTCACGGGAATGGAGCTTACGCATGCGCATAAAAAGTTTAAATACAAAAATTAAACGTGAAAATAAAGTAAAAATAGAAAAAAATAACTAAACGTGGATAAAGTGTCACTTAGCGCACTTGTTACATAAAATACATAATACACTCAATATAAAGTATCTAAAAATAATCTGTTTGTTTCCAAAGCAGTTAAAAACACATAAAATCACATAAATAAAAAAAGATTACAAACGGATTATAATGTCCAGCATGCGAAGACGGTATAATCATGGCGGGTGTATCGTGTATGCGTGCGTGATGTGATTTAAATAATAAACAAGCAAATAGACGAGAATAGATTACAAAAGGACAAAGGACGAGGAACGCGCAGGCAACATTTGAATATTTTATTCGCAGCTGAATGCTCATTTAACTCACTGTCACAAATTAATAAACATGTGTAAAACGCATCCCCTGTTTATCGTGCGCACAACACGAACTTTTTATCGTTTTTATGAAGCTTTAAAGTGTCACTTTGTTACATTTTATTTCCGTGTAATCAAAATTAACTTATCGTTTTATTTTCTACGGAATTAAATAAAATTTGAATTTTATTTCGTTATATTTATATTTGTTTGATGTTTTCAAAGCCTTTAAGAAAACGATATTTACATCCCTGAAGGGTTTTCGATACACCCGCAGCTGATTATTGATTCAACACGGAAACGACGCGAGCAAACGATGAAATGCGAAACTCACAGCGCTAGCAACAGAAATAAAAAAAAAACGACCGCGTTGTAACGTGTTGTATAGTCGTGCTGTTAGGTTATGTATGCATGCGACCGGAAGCCGCATGTTTGCGCATATTTTCCCATCGATATGATACGTTTTCATTGCATAACACTCCGCACACGCCAAGGCAACTCTTTTCACTCGCGCGCCCTACGCAACTTATTGAACGTGACCGCCGCGCAATTGGTGATTTCCCAGGAGGGTTATACCATATTATACCATCGACCTAACCTCAATTATAAATCACATTTTTCTCATATCGTCGTTTTTTAAAGATGCCCGTGTGATGGTATGCTAAGAATTTTGAAAGTTTCGCTGAATTTTCGAGAATATTGTGATATTAATCGAGTTTATTGGTGGGGAAATACCCCCACGGAATGTTCGGCGTGGCGGGTAATAAATATTCGCGTATGCCGCGCGTCACGTTGCGGTCTGACTTCGCATTCCTTAAAGTCCGTCTTCGGGCTTTTTTTTCATTCCTCCGCGGAGGGGTGAGAGCAGCGGCTTAACTGCCAGCGCGTAAAATTTACAGGATGTCGTAATATCTTCGCCTAGTTTGGTGATATTTTACTGTTTCGTCTCGGGAGCTCGTAAACTCGTGTGGAAGTAATTTGAAAATGTGAAAATTTCGGTTTTAACGCGTCAAAAATTATTATAGTCGTGAATATTCACTGTTGGAGCTATTTTGTCCTTAGGATATGGATTAGGGGTGTGAAATACCGGTATTAATGTCGATATACCGGTATTTTTAATAAATACCGATTTTTTAATTTTCTTTTATAAAAACGTCGAAAAATTCGGTATTAACCTTCAAATACCGGTATACCAAAATACCGGTATAGAACTAAAAATTCACAATCCTCGTGTGAATTATTGTATTCTTGGAATCTGAATTAGTGGTGTGAAATACCGGTATTAATCCCGGTATTAATACCGGTATACCGGTATTTTTCTTAAAATACCGATATTTTTCAATTAGTTGGGATTTCTACCGGTATATAGATATTTATGATTATTAAATTATTTTTATAAATACCGGTAATACCGGTATATCAATATTTTGATTTAAAAATACCGATTTTTGCCTTAAAATACCGATAAACCAAAAAACCGGTATTAAAATAAAAATTCACATCTCTCGTT